GAATGGCGTGGCAGAAGTGAATAGAATATTTTTTTAATATAACAATTAATGTCCGATGGCCCATTGACTTGAAAAAATATTCTATACGTGTGAAATTGACAGTGGGCGGGGGTACCCGCTGAGCGGGGCTACCCGACTCTCCCCTATGTATTGAAATTCCGATATATCCGCGATATTGAAATTCCGATACCGACCAGCAGTAGTTATTATTGTCCCTTTCACCACATAATTATCGATCTAGATTTAATGTAGTTCGGTATAATGTTAAGTCATTGGAATAAAAGAATCAATTTTCATAAAAGAAAATCAAAATTTTGTCTCTTTATGAAAATTAACTATTGTTAATTAACATTAAAATGTAATTTTAGAATATATTTTTTAAAAAAAAGTCTATTAAAATAAGCTGGCAACTTTACTCTAAGTGCATATTGTCGAATTATCTCTTTTCTACAGAAGAAGATGAAAACAACTAAACCCGAGTTGAAGGGCAATCGTTAGAAACATTTCTAAATTTCAGCAATCAATTAAACTGGTTTTTATATCTTTTATCCTAGAATTACTATTTTTATACTTCGTATACCGGGATACTACGGATTCGATAGATTTCGATGGTGTTTTTGTATCATTTTGCGTAAAAAATCATTAACGTGTATCCGTATATCCGAAGGTTGTATAAGTCGACCATCTATTTTAGATCGCGAATTTCTGATTTGTCGGACATAAAAGTCGACTGCTGAAAAAACCCAAATGTGACGACATTACTGTTAACGTTACTGAATCCGACGCAGATGATGTTCAAGATAGAATCTTTTAAATTTATATCTTTATGGTTTGTTTTAAAAGTTTTACATTGAGTTAATTTTTTTGAAACACTCATGAATTTAAAATATTCTTACTAAAAGAAACCATTAAAAGTAAAGAAAATACAGAATTAACTATATGCAAATATATTAAAAATAGTTTTTGAAAGGGGTGGATTGATACAGATTTGTTCATATCCATCTCATTGTTTATAATGCATTGATAATTTCACAGTCAACGAATGTCCGACTTTGTTAACGGTATGTAAGTTGACCTCTTGATTTTCGTAAAAAAAAAAAAAAAAAACGACTAATACTTTCGACAATGATTAAAAAAATCTACATTAAGTGCGGTAATTGTGGAACCGTTTTTACTTTTGAACTGAAATATGTGTGCCTATTGCAAGCATAAATACAACAAAAACATACCTTTTTGCTGTTGGAAATAAAGGGAATGTTTCTGTGAATGTAGTTCATTTCTCTGGTACTAATTCTAGGATGATCAGCAGGAGAATCATAAACAAAAAAGGTGAAAAAACCAAACCACACAAAACCAATAATTCCTAAAAAAAATTGAAAAAAATAAGATATTGAACCTGAATGCTTAGATATCATTCATCAAATGTGTTGTTTAACGGAACACATGTTTAGATATCATGCACATATTGTTTAACAATATTTATGTTTTGACTGTTGTTTAACGATATTTATGTTTAGATATTAAACATCATGTGTCGTTTAACGATCCATGTTTTGATATAATGCATCAAATGCTGTGTTATGGTATCCATGTTTAGGTATCATACATCATAACGTGTTTGACGTTTTCTATATTGAGATATCATACATATAGTCTTTCCACGATGTTTATGTTTAGATATCAAACATGTGTTGTTTAACGGAATCCATGTTCAGATATAATGCGTCGACTGTTGTTTAATGGTATATTATATATCATAACTTATTTAACAGTATCTATGTTTAGATACCACACATTAAATAATGTGTAACGTTATCCACCTATAAATATCGTACACCATTTGAAATTGAACGGAATCCATTTTCATGTATAATGAATTCATGAACAGTTAGAAGACATCAATTTTTATGTGTAAGTCATAAAATGTTAAATGGTTTCCATGTTTGTCTATCGAATTCCAAAGTTCTTAGTTCAGACTTAATTTTAAATGCTTTCCTTTCCTTCAAAATGTGAGTTTTCCTTTTTTAATTAATGCGAACGAAATTGTTCGAATACGAAAGAAAGAGAAAACAAGTTTTAATAAGCAAATAAAATTGCCTAATTTAGCAGTTTCTTAATAACTGTGTCCCGCAGTGGACTGATCGTTAAGACACGGTTCCCAGTAGAAAATCGAAGTCAAGCATCACTGGCTGGTGTCAGTGGGCGGGTGGGTGGCCACTTGGATCAGTCTATGAAAGGATCGAGGATGTGCGGTAGTGGTCCTCGTTAAACTGTTCTACCGTAAAGTGCTCGACTTCGCGCGCAGGTCGTTGGGCTGGTTGGGCTGCCGAAGCGGGAGTGCTATCCCCTCCGCAGAGGATCAAAATTGGGATGGCATGTCTTCGGATCATCCTCAGGGATGTTTCCCAGACCGTCGCTAATAACCCATTGTGCAGCTCTAGTGCGACGTAAATAACTTAATAACTGTAAAACATTTATATCCCAGCGTACTATTTTGGAAAAATGTAACCGGTTCAATATAACGGGTACGCTAAATAACGGTTATTTTAACTTCACTTACCCAGTGCGTAGAAAGCAGAAGGCCATCCTCCGACCAAGTCGTTCTCACATAGATATCCAGTGAGAGGCATTGACAACACTACACCGAAATGTGTACCTATTACGCAAAGAGACAAAAGTGTACTTCTTTCCTGGAGAGGAGCCCATCTTGCAAATAAAGTGTAAGCACTGGGATAATTCATGCCCTTAAAAAAAAAAAAAGCATGCTTTTAATTTTTAAATTAGCAATTAGTTATTATAAATAGAAACTTTTTTTTTCATCTATTTATAGAAAATTTAACTACGAAATCTATCAATGTTATTTTAAATTCAACTATTTCAACAAAAATCTATTTGACAACGCCATTTGTATCTGGTTGAAACTAATCCTGGATCATGCCCAGGGACCACCGATCTGGAGGGGGGAGGGGGCAGTGAAACAAAATAGAAAGAAAAAAAAATACCGTTCAATGAGAGAGGGAGAAAGAAATAATTTATATCTATACAATTTGTTTTTAAAATTTTATTTTAATGTTCAAACAATTCGAATTATGAATTTAAAATTGCAAATTCGAATTCTTAATTGCCCTTTTGTATGGTTAAGATAATTCGGACCCGGTTAATACTAATATATATATTGATATTGATATCTTTTGCTTTGGCTATATTGATACAATATTAGAAAGCACTACTTTTGCTGATATAATCGTGTGAGCTGATGAAAAGAATAAATATTTTATTTTCCGAATTTTTATTAATTTTTTTCCTTTTTATTGATTTTTTTCAGGTTTCTTATTATTTTATTTTTATTCCCCCCACCCCCTTTTCTTTCATTGCTCTGCTATTTTTCCATGTTTTTTCTACATTTTGAACTTATATATATAATAATAATAATAATAATAATAATATATATATAATTGTATATAGCCTTCTCCANTCAATATTTCGTGGTTTTTTCTCACCATTTAACGTAAATGAAGATTAACTTATTAACAACAATTTTTCCTTTCGAACTAAACACTCAAGTATTTACTTACATGAACGAAACCAAGCAAAACTCGAAGAACAATCATCCAAATCGGTGTTAGACTCGATACATACGGCGTCAGACATGTAATGACGGATGATAGAAAAGTAGCGCAGCCAAACAGTCTCTTGGCTCCGAAAATATCAGCCAGTCTACCTCCGACTATCTGAGCCACAACATACCCATAAAAATAGGAACCGATGATAACACCTTGAATTGACGGCGTCCACAGATAACTGCCCTGAAAAATCCAGATAATATTTTCAAATTTCAAAGATAATTTAAACAAGCATTACAAACAATCTTAATATTTTATGTATTACGGATGATCATTATAGAATAACTATCAAAGTGAAATTAATTACGTAATTTAATATTTAGATGAGAAAAAAAATGCTTTCTGTTGTGGTTTGACACAACAGATGCGTACCTGTTTGGATTTAAGCGTGACGTTCATGCTTGATTCAGGGACCGGACAACGGCTCTCGTCTGTGTCCGAATCCATGCTCATAACTTCAACCTCAGCACTGCTGTTTACCATGGCCACCATGGCAACATTCAGGCACACTCTTTGTCCGAAAATGAGGCACATGCCGCAGAAAATTAAAAATGTCAGAATGTATCTTGCAGGAATGATATCTGAATAAAGAAAGGCAAATAAGTTATTAGAAAATATCGATGAGCACAAAAGTATAAAAATATAATTTAATTATTTAACTTTATTAATTTTTTTTATCTTTATTATAACTTATGTATCTCATCTTTACTATAACTTACTGTTTTTATCTTTATTATAACTTACGTATCTCATCCTTACTAGAACTTATTATTTTTATCTTTATTACAACTTATATATCTCATCCTTACTATAACTTATTATTTTTATCCTTTATAAGGTATGTATCTCATCCTTACTATAACTTATTATTTTTATCTTTACTATAACTTATGTATCTCATCCTCACTATAATTTATGTATCTCATCCTTACTATAACTTATTATTTTTATCTTTATTATAACTTACGTATCTCATCCTCACTAGAACTTATTATTTTTATCTTTATTATAACTTATGTATCTCATCCTTACTATAACTTATTATTTTTATCTTTACTATAACTTATGTATCTTATCCTTACTATAACTTATGTATCTCATCCTTACTATAACTTATTATTTTTATCCTTACTATAAACTTATTAATCTTACCTTTATAGCTCAATAATCTTATGAATGAGGGACAAATTAGGTCTTTTAAGGAATCGGATAACTGTTGTTAACTATAAATTATTAATCTTATCTTTACTATAAATTATTAATCTTGTGTTTTCCATAACTTATACATCTTTACTACGACTTATTAATCTTATCATTACTATAAATTTATTAATCATATAAAACAGGAGGAACTTGGTCTTTTTTGGAATCGAATATTATATTTCTTATCTTATCTTTACTATATTTTATATATTATTGAACATACTTGTAAATTTCAATGTTGCTATAACTTATTGATCTTATTTTTACTATGTGAGTTATTATTACTCCAATTTGCTGCAACCTTAAAATGATGCTATATTGAACCATATTATCGTACTTCTTACTCTGGATTACCATATATTAAGGTCTAACACGAACGAAAACATGGTGCAATTTAAAACTTTGCGTTAAGGGTTCAGTAAAATTGCACCATATCGGGATATCGATGTTATGGTTCACATTTGAACTAATTTTTCTGAACATATCTTGTGTTTACTAAATAATTAATCTTGTAAATTATTAATATAATGAAAAATTAAATTAACGGAACATACAGGAAATATTGATAGTTAAAATTTTTAATCGGTATTTCCGGTACCGGAGATTAGAATATGGGTCGCGGTATCATTTCTGCTCAAAACGAGGGTCAAAACTCCCCTACGAAAAAGTAAATTAGAACATATCTTTATATAAACGATTTGTAATTTTCTTTAAATAATTTGAGAAATTTTATTTCGAATAGTCTTTAAATTGTACCCGACAGTAGGATTGTGTTCTAAATGGTCTCTCATAGGCATCTAATGCTTTCTTTATATAAGATTAAGAAAAGATATTCTCAAACTTTCTAAGAAACTTCGACAATATACATATTAAGACAAATAAATTACAGTCGAACAATTTTATCCGTTAACGCTCTAAATTAGAGCTGGACAATATATAGCGATACTTTTTGAGCAATATTATAACGATATTTTAAAGAGTTTTTTCAAAAATATCCAGAATGCTATTATATAAATATAGCAAACACGTTAGTAACCGGCAATGATAATATTGTGGTCCTTATCAACAGCGATAAAGATAAAGTAGAATATTAACACGATTATAAACAATGTAAAATGTCGACTATTACAGAAAACGACGTTATTGTAAGTGCTGATAAATTTTCTTCGGGTACTAAAATTATTGATCAATGTAAAAATATAATAATTGAGAAAATAAAATAGTAAAACAAATAAATAGTATGGAAAATAAAATAACAATATTTCCACACACTATATCATAATATTAAAATTCTGATACCACAAGGATTAGTTCGACGTGTGATAAATATCGAATACAATAATATCGAAAATATTATACATAACGATATTTATTCAATGCTATAATATTGGGACCGTCATTGGCATCGATAAATATTGAATACGATAATTATGTAACAATTATTGAAAACGATGTTTAACAAATACGAAAATTACTGTGAGTTTTGATAAATTTTGTTCGGTAAACGATAATATTGATTTAATTTTTGAATAATTTTTGAATCTGAAAAATATTGTGGTATATCGTAGAACAATCAATATCTTTTGATTATGTATCGCTGTATAAAATTCCTGACTACTTAACCGTTAAGAATAGTTCCGTTATAAAAAAATTACATTAGGGTCATATTTGTTATATTATAATAAATACCAGAAAAGCCAATATTAAAGAAAAATTACATTGTATTTTTTAATTGCTACCCTAAACAGAAATTCACAATTATTATTTCGAATTAAATCATCAATTTCTTCGAATTTCAAACTCACCTTTGCATTCGATTTCCGGTTTCTGTTTAATATTTTTCGCTGCCTCCATTTCTGAATTTTAAAGTGGAATCTAGAAAAATATGAAAGATCGAATATTTATTTAATTTGCAAAACGTGTTCCTTTTTATACAAAAATGAGAAGTGAACAGCCTCTCATTAGCATTAATATTTTTTTTTATCTGATAAAATCATCTGACAGTGTCAACATCAGTTTTACGCAAAATGCTAGAGATGAATTAAGAGATGATTGTTAAATGGAATTTCGAACAGTTGAAAATCTTTGTCCTTATTTACTCCTCCTGATAAGGATTTCATTTCTTCATCTTACTCTCCCTGTGATCCTGAATCTCTTAAATCAATATTCTTAATACCCTCACTGACATAACTTGTTGCTAACCTAGCTTTTCCATTGCTTTCGAAGTTTCTTTTCTCCTTTTAAACAATTGGTTAATGGTTTCAGAAGTTTCGGGACTGTTCTAAGAATCCATTATTTTTTTAAATATAAATTTGACATTAATTATTCTAATTTGACATTAATTAATTGTTCTAAAAAAAATTTTTTTAATATAAATTTGACATTAATTATTTTTAAGCATTTATTTCTTTTAAATTTTAACAATTCTATTTAATAATAAGAATTCGGTTTTGACCTTACTTGCACTAACTGGTAAAGATTTCATTTCTTTTTTTATCTTACTCTCCCTGATTCTAAATCTCTTAAATCAATATTTCTAAATTTTCTTCCATCATAACTCTTAAATTTTCTTTAACCCATTGGTGCTTAGTGCCCCAGTTAAAGGCCAGTTATATAAGAGCCTTATTTTTCCGATATAAATTTGATATTAATTATTTTAGATATTCATTTCTTTTAAATTTGAAAAATTCTAGTTACAAATAATTTTTCGCTTTTGATCTTATATACTTTTTCTGAGAAGGATTTCGTTTTTTTTATCATACTCTCCCAGATCCTGAATCTCTTAAATCAATATTTTTAAAATTCGTTCTGGCATAACTGTTACTAACTCGATTTTTTACTTGTCTTCGAAATTTCCTTTCACTCATTGCTGCTTATATTTTCGATATAAATTTGGCATTTTTACAACTATTTTTAAGTATTCATTTCTTTTAGATTTTTACAACTCTAATTGGCAATATAAGTGTTCAGTTTTGACCTAATTTACATTCAGTGAAAAGGGTTTTAATTTTTGAACGTATTCTTCCTGGTCCTGAATCTCTTAAATCAATATTTTTGAGCCGCGATGGCTCAGGGGATAGAGCGTTCACCTTCCAATGANCGACCACAGTGCTGACTTGAAATATCCTCAGTGGCAGACGGATCATGGATCCCCTTGCCATCAGGTTAACCGTGGGAGGTTTTCGTGGTCTTCCTCTCCATGTAACGCAAATGGGGGTTAGCTCCATCAAATAGTCCTCCACGAAGGCAAATTTCTCCCAATTCTCGATCCAAACGTTCCCTTGTCTTCTGGATTGGGTATTGGAGTTGGACATTAGTAGTCGAAAACCCATAAAATTGGATCTGCTTTTCAACGACGGTTATAAAAGAAGAAAAAAAATCAATATTTTTAAGTTTTCTTCTGGCTCTGTTGCTTGTACTAACTCGCCTACGAAATTTTCTTTAACCCATTGGTGTTTAGTGTCCCATTTTAAAGACAGTAATAAAAGTGCATTTTTTTTCGATATAAATTTCTCATTAATTATTTTATAGCATTCATTTCTTTTAAATTTAAACAATTGTAATTAGTAATAAATGTTCGATTTTACCTTACTTACACACCTCAATACTCGGTTACAAAAATAAAGTTAGAAGCAGACTTTTGATGGCAAATAGATGTTATTTTGGACAGAGAAAACCAATCAAAGTCGAAATTCATCTGCATAAATTCTAAAATAAATTTATTCAAAATATTGATTAAACCAATGACTATGCATGGCTGCGAGTAGGATCGATGCATCGGAAAATATCGATTCTATGCAATCATCGCCGATCCGATATTTGGATTTTATTTTATTTTATAACCGTCGTTGAACAGCCGATCCAATTTTTGGGTTTACAACTATAATGTTCAACTCCGTAGTCTTGTAATTTTGAACCTAATCCTTAGGACATGGGAACTCCTGGATGAAATATTAAGCGAAATTTCTCTTCCTAGAGGACTTTTTGTTATGGAACCAACCCGCATTTTCCTTACATGGAGAGGAAAACCACGAGAACCTCCCACGGTTAATCTGACGGCAGAGGGACTCTAACCCATGACCCGTCTACCACTGAGGATATTTCACGTCAACTCTAAGGTCGGTGCAAGCCGGATGCGGGATTGTGATTTACTGAGATGTGTGCGATATTTTCCGATGTATCGATGTCTACACGCGCGTTGTAGAGCATCGATGGAGCGATGTATTGCACGATAGTACATCGATGTCTGTAAGCTAGCGCGAAGATTATTTTCCCCCGTAAGTGTGCAGTGATAGCTGTGGCGATCTTCGTTAGCTTTTCTCGATTTTTTTTCTCCATCGTGTTGCTGACATGATGAATCGGAATGGATTGAGAATCGAAGTGTTGCACAAATCCTGTTGATTGTTTTTACAATAAATCCAGCCGTTCAATGTTTTTTAACCGCTATTTTGCAGGCATCGCACGTCTTAAAATATTGAGAAATAATTATCAAAAAATGCAACGTTTATTTTAAAAAAAAGATACAACGTACTAATTGAGAATTTACGCAATACTTAATATTAAACAATAATGTATCGAAACATCGCGATGCATCAAAATATCGCGATGCCAAAATCCTAACATCGTCCTGTCCTAGCTGCGAGAGCTAAGCAATCAATAAATTTGAGGAAAATAGATTGTTTATTTTTAAAAAGAAAGATTCTTCTGTCAATCTTTGGAGTCGATAAAGAAAACAACATTTGGAAAAATTTATATAGCTATGTATAATAAATGAAATGTATAATAAATGAATATATGAAATGTATAATAAATAGAAACAACCTAACATTTTGAGAGTTATTAAGTCCTATAAGATCAGATAACTCAATGCAAAGATCTAGATCCAGTCAGCCAAAAAAATTACGTTTATTTTTAAAGATTGAAGGAACAAGATGAGGCAGACCACCTACGAGGTGGCTAGACAGTGCAAAAAAGAATATATTATTAGTGTCGGGAGTGAACAGGTGGAGACCCGGAGAAAGCACGATGAGGAAGCCTTGACCTGCACTGGTCTGTGGTGTTGATGATGATAATGAAAAAGAAGATAAGGATTTTATTCTTTTATCTTACTCTCTCTGATCCTGAACATCTTAAATATGACTGTTGTTAGCTCAGCGTTTTCATCCTCCCCTTCAAAGTGTCCTTCCTACTTTAAACTCTGGGTTCCCACTGTACCGTCCCTTTTTAGGGACAGTTCCAAAAATTTATTATTTTTCCAATATAAATTTGCCATTATTTAATTATGAGTATTTATTTTTTAGAGATAATAAGGCTCGTTAGTAATGAGGTTTTGTTTTTAGTTAGACCTCCCGATAAGTATTTCATTTCTCGATCTCAATCTTTCTGAGTCCCGCATCGTTAAGACACGGTTCCCAGCAGATCACCGAAGTCAAGCATCACTGGCTACGGTCAGTGTGCGGGTGGGTGACCACTTGGATCAGTCTGCGTAGGGACCGAGAGTGTGCGGTATGGGTCCTCGTTAAACTGTGCTACCGTAAAGTGCTCGACTTCGCGTGCAGGTCGTCGTGCTACCGAAGCGGAGGTGCCATCCGCTCTGCAGAGGATCAAAATTGCGAAGGCATGTTTTCGGATCATCCTCAGGGATGTTTCCCAGACCGTCTCCAATAGCCCATTGTGCAGCTCTAGTGCGACGTAAATGAACAACAACAACAACAACAATCTTTCTGAACCGTGTAATAAATGGTGACTGGTGAACGTTAAATTTGTCGGGTCCCAACGCCCTCCATGTTCCTATGACAAATCATACCTCTGGGGGTACTGATCCAGGAGTTTCCTTGTCTTCTGGATTGGTTCAAAATTACAAGGCTACGGAGTTGAACACTAGTAGTCGTAAACCCAAAATTTGGTCGGCTGTTCAACAATGGTTATAAAATAAAAATAAATATCTGATTTAGATAAGTAGAGGCTTAGGGGTTATAGCGCCCACCTCCCAATGCTCAGGGTTCCAAACTTAGAGATGGCTCACCTCCACCAACTTTGCACCTGACTCGTATTGACCTCAGTGCTAACGTAAATTATCCACAGTGGAAGACGGATTGTGAGTTAGGGTCCTCTTGCCGCCAGGCTAACCACGGGAGGTTTTTCTCTCCGTGTAATACAATTGCAGGTTCGTTCCATAAAAAAAGTCCTCCATGAAGGCAAATTTCTCCCAATACTGAATTGGAGATCGATCGTTCTATGTAGGTCAAAATTACGATCTGTGGATGAATGAATGTATGTATGAATTTATCCGCTCTGGAAAAAACCGGTAAATAAAAATTCCCTTTCTGAAGCATACTCAAAGTAGAGCTCATTACGTAATAGAACCGGTTAAACATCTTTCCTGGCTTCAGAGATCGCCTTAATATAAAGCCACTATGAGGCAAATATTTACATTGAAAACGAAACAGTTAATAGGCTTCATCCGATTCTGGTTGTGTATTGACAAGTTAAAGTTGAAAGCGTTATCAACAAAATAAGTTCATTTGTGCTTCTCTGACTAAAACATTTGGATTTTATAACGGGAAATGTGAAATTTAAAAAATAAAAATAAAAACAGCATTTTTTAAATTTTGGTGCGTGGAGTGGGTTCTAAATATTATTTTTTTTCCTTAATTAAAACTTTAAGAATGTTAGTTTTATACCAAATGACATCTTTTCAGAGGACGCGGTCAAAGAATTTGTATAAATTGGCAGTTCTGTAGTATTTGTACAAATTTATTATATTGCTGGGAAGGAAGGAAATTTGGTAAAGCGAAAAGATTTAAATACAATTTTTTGAAAAAGCTATACTGTAAATGACAAGTTTCGGAATCATTTCTTAATTTCTAATTTTGAGTTATGTAATTCTTGTTTGTATAAGTTGATTCTATAATTGTCAGTAAGGCACATTTTGAAAATGGTGGTCTTTTGGAAACTATTTAGAGCTTGGTAAATGTGAGTAAAAATTAGTTAAATGTGAGTTAAAATCAGTAATAATGTGAGTTAAAATTAGTAAATGCGAATGTAATAATCTATTGGTGTCACTCCCTTCATTGTGTTACAGAATGAAGATCAATTTAAATGGATTGAAAATTCAAAAAAGTTCCTTTTTCGCAATATTTTTCCGGAGTAAACCGCTTTTCTAAGGTTGCGTGATCAAAATTGGGTCAATAATCATAGAAGATTAAGGAAATCTCCGCTTTCTCATAAACTCTCTTAAATTAAGGAAGAATTCTCTTAAATTAACCGAGAGTTCTCTTAAATTAAGATGTCAACAATCAGACGATGTTTACGGTTGGTCATGGTCCGCCTTATCATTTCTTATCAGCTCTTCTCATTCATTTCGACAAAAATATATCTATATTAGATTTACTTTAAAACTATTTCATTATTTGAGAATATGGAAGTCGAATGAATAATCTTATCATATTTCTTTCCAGGTTTGAGTATGAATTTACGAAGCTTGATTTTATTCATTCTCTTTTGAAATTATCTCTTTCCGTTTTTCTTGTTTGTCCCAATTCTTTTTTATCGTTTGCACAAAGCATTCAGTGTGATCTTCTAAAAAAATGTTTCGCGTTTTCAATATGCATAATAAATAAATAAACAAAATTGTGACAACCTTCTCTTGCTAAATTATTGATATGAAATCCTAACCCACAGAAAACAAGGTATGTTTATTCAGAGATCTAATCATATAACTTAAAACATCGTCTGCACTAATTAAATAGCATATTTAAAACAATCCCCTACTAATATTGCATTTTAGTACGTGATAATCCAGTTATTAAACCAAAAGTTATTTAAGCATTCTTTTTATTTTTATTTTACGCTCTGAACATAGGAGTGAGGTGGCTACTGTGGACATGGGGCTAATGCTGATTTAGGGATACTATGGACAAGAGGAATATTTATGTTATTTATCAAAATTTTGGCGGATTCTGCAAAACTTTATAACACTTTTATATGCATAACGACGGATTTGACTCTTAAAAAGCAGATTAAAAATTTTTATTAGCTTTTTAATTGGCATATTAGGCTAATTTTGTTCATTGATTTTAATAATAGGTGAAGTTGAGAATGAAAATGGGTATTACAAATTTAAATAGTTACCTTTGATTAATCTTTTTTTAATTAACTGATAATAAGCTTTAACAAATAAAGGGTTCATAGCAGACACGAAAATAACTACACGGCACTTGGCAAGTCAACAAGAAAGAAGTGGTGATTTAAACTAAATAAATGAACGATGGATTTTTTTAAAAAAAATATTATTAATCCAAGCAACAAAAAAAAAGTTTTCAAAAAGGGCTGTTGATTCAAAAGGATCGATATCGGTCACGGATTCATTAGGTTTGAAAAAAAGTGGCTGTCAAGTTATTAAAGACTACCGGCCGCTAGCTTCGAATAAAAAATTAAAAATTTCAAACCTAGTTCATCGAGCTAGTGTGGATACGAAACGGTTAAGTCAATATTAGGCTCTTTGTGATAAAAAATGTGAGTAAATGATTGATTAAATAATCACTAAATAATTAAGTAAATAATCACTTAATGACGTATTTATTTACTAAAGATGAATTTTATAAAGCATTTAAGATTATTTGCAGTTTTTCTCCATTTTTTGATTTCCTTGATTCTTTTATAAAGGAAAATTCAAAGTTGGCACTTAAAGTTTTATCAGTTTAAAATGTTGATAACCTATAGAATTTTATTATTTCCATAGCGGTTGTTTATATTTTAATTTTAGCGTATCAATGCATTTGTATCAAATTATTCCATAAAATAAAAATCAAATTCGACTTAATTAATAAAATAATATTCCTTTTTACCTAATAAATATTATAAAAACTTGCCTTTAAAACAATTTTCTTTTGTGCATAATTTGAGTACAGTTCACCTTTTATCTAAATTAATATTTGTTAACCTTTAATAATAATCAAAATGAACATTACGAATATTTATTCAAAACTGTATTTTTAGACTAAAATTTGTTCCATTTTAATTTTAATAGCTTATCTATTAATAATTATATATCTATTAATAATTATATATCTAAAAATTAATTTTATGACTTTTCCATATCAACCCCATATTATACGGCTGCTAAGCTAATCTAATAATGTAAACTATTTTTTAAATTATTTTTTTTTAAAAAACTATATACATGCAAAATGAACTTATGTATAATCTAAAATGAATATAAAATAATAAAAATAAATTCCTGATATGATTAGTAAACTATGTTGACAAATCTATGAAATAATCCATCTTAGTTCTCCTCTTTAAAAGTAAGATTTATGATTTTTTGCGCACGTAGCTTTAACCCTTACGTTTTAATATTTTAATTGACAATATTAATTCAAGTAAGATTTAGAGAAATTATTTATATCATATTTTTTAAATGATAAGTTCGTTTGCCAGATATATTCTAAAACTTACAAGGCATTAAAAAATGATAGAAATCTGTTTGTTTAGTTTTTTTTTCAGCATTATTTCTTCATTTTATTTGTTACTTATTAAGAATAATGCTACTTTTGATATTTAGTAATTAAAACTTTAATTAAGCTTTAATTTTGCGAGATAACTATTTCATGAATGTTTTAAAACATTTTATTCGCATATATATAAAACTAATATTAAATGTTTATTTAACCCTTTATATCTCAACATCTCTGATTTTAATAAAAATTACTCATACATTAGAATACATCATTCTAAGTATGTAAAAAATAATAAGAAAATTTACAACATAAAATAAGAAAAATTATTGGAAAAAAATTGATTGTTGCATTTCTGCACCCTTATGCAAAATGACAAAAAGTGCTTGTAGCATTCCTGCAACATTGTGAAAAATGGCACTAAGATTGAAAGATTCAAAAATTTTAATTCATATGAAAATTTTTAAAACAGTTGTTACTTTTGTTGTAACAAAGTCCTACACCACATTTCTCAGAAATAGTTTGTGTAAATTCTTTGCATTTTGGGTATTTGCATCTGATTCTTTTGTTAGGTTGTTTGTTAGGTTCACAGGTTTTGGCCGACAATCACCGAAATCGTCCTTCAAAATTTGTTGGGGCAAAGACATAGGCTTTTTGTGTATGTTGCAGATATGCAACACGGTGATATAAAGGGTTAATAATATCTACTAATATTAAACAATGCTATTTTTTGATATTTAACAATTGCACTTTGTTATATTTTAATTTTAGAAAGCAAATATTTTAATTTATGTATTAAATTATTATCATTATTTTTTATTCTCTTTGAACAGATATTTAATGCTTATTTTAAAAAGACTAATATGAAATAATAATACTTTTGTTGTTTAAGAATTTAACTCTGTATTACAATTTCATTTTACGTATTTTTTTCTATGCATTATTTAGATCCAATTAACTCTTTAATTTTAAATTAAAAGCGTTATTTATTTAAAAACATGTAACTTATTTAAAATTCCTGTTTGATGTTTTAATAATTTTCTTAATTATACTCTAAAATTGAGGAATTTTTATTTTGTTTTATGCATTTTTTTAATTTTTTTTTTACAATAATTTTTTTACTTAATTTTTAAAACGGTTATAATATTCAAACGGTTAAAAAAATAAATATCTGTTTAATAATTAAAAACTTATGATTCTAATTATTCTTTGTTTAATATATTGCTTAAAATACTTTGTAATCAATAAATCGATAAAATAATAAAGTTTTTTTTTAAAAAATACATACCTCAGAGATTTAACAATAAACAGTGCTTTGGACGGTACAATAAATTAGGCCACACAGGAAAACTTATTTTTCGAGACCACTAAAAAGCATTGTGAGAGAGTTCGGTTTTACGTTCATATTTGTTTTCGATTGCAACATTAAAATTTTAAAATGAAGGTCAATGCATGGTGAAATAAACATTCGATGAAATTCTAAATGTATCGGAATTGTTTCATTCACTTCTTCAAACGCGAAATTCCTATTCGAAATTTAAATCAATAGAAATATTAAGATGGTAGGAAAGTGACAGATGTTCTGAGTTGCTAATTTTTATATGAGTCTTAATTCGAGAAAACTTTCAGATTTCACTGGTCCTAAATAATAAATTAATAAAGTTACCAAAACATATTCATCTCGTTGTGGTGTTTTTCGCTTGAAAAAAAATATCGTCCTTGGAATGCTAGGAATGCAAACGATTTTTTTAAGACGTGTGCTGAACCTATTTTATTTATGTATTTCTTTCTTCTCTTTGCTGTATGTGCAGTGGTTCTTCTTTTCATGACAGTTTCTGGAAAACTCTTTTTTAATTGCTTCATTGTAGAGTAATCGGTGGCATCAGGGTGACTGGTTCCTGTGACCTCCTAAAACTTTTCCCTATTAGGAAGTTCGGGAAACTTTGTTTGTCACTCAAAAAATTTTAATAATAGTTGATTTCGCCAAATGCGCTGCAAATGGAGCCAGAAGTACTCTTTTATATAAGAATGATAAGAAAGCGCAATGAAGAACATTTTTTTTTAAATATTTATTTTGATCACAAGAAATTGGCGTTTTTCATATATTTAATATACTTCATTATTGTATTTTTAAAAAAATTCACCTTAATGATATTCCGTGAAAATCAAATTTTTATTTAAATAATTAAGTGCTTACAGTTCCTGGTCACATTATTAGAGGCACTATAAGATTCTATGTAAAATTATAATTACTAGCTGATACAATACAGCTGTATTGTTTTTACTCTAATGAGACTGGTTTGCATTTGTTTATGCTCCTGTATCAATTGGTTAACGCTGTAATGCAATACGTTAAACATAAATACAAATAGGAAGTATTTACGCGCATAAAAAATCTCCTGAATAAAAACCCATTACGTGTATCTTTAAATATAAAAGTATTGCCTATAAACTCGTGCAAATCATGTCATTATTAAAAAGCTACAGTGCGTTTAATAATTGATCTAATTATTACAATATACTAATAATTAGAGCCCGGATTTTGATGACCTAAAAAATCTCAATTAATGCCCTTAAAAAGTGCAAAAAATGCCCTTAAAAGTGCAGAAAATGCCCTTAAAATGCGAAAATTGCGCTAAAAATGCCTTATGACATGCCTTAAATAGAAGTAAAAATATTGAACTAAAACAATGTTTTACTCTTTAAAATTATTATGAGTCGTTTCAAAAAATATAAAGCAATGCAATACTTGTTCTACGTTCATTAAAGTTTGACAAATATGTTTTATATCCAAAAATAACAAAAAAAAGGAAAATATATTGACTCCAAAACATTTTCATTTTGTATAGAAACTTAAATGAATATAACAACTTCCATCTCATAATATTACTAAATATCAGAATTACAGTGGATTATTAATTTTTTTTTTAATATTTTGAAATGTAAACGAGCGTCTCTTGTCTGAAAGCAAATTTTTATACCAGGAGAAGCTTCTTTCAACGTCTACTGATGTTATTGGTGCGTACTTGAAAAGGACGGTCACACTTACTGACAATTCTTCTTCAATTCGAAAAGATGTTGCTTCACCTGTTAATATCCTAGAGATTTTCTTCACTGTTTAAAAGCCAGTGTAATAATAAAAAATTACAAAAAATAATAAAAATTAGAAAAATTTAACAAAAAATTTAAAAAATGCTGTAAAATGCAAAATACGCCCCAAAATTTTAAAGAAAATGCCCTATAAATCTCAAAAAATGCTCTAAAGGACAAAAAATGTCCAAAAATGCAAAAAATGCAAAAAAATGCAAATGTCATCAAAATCCGGGCCTTACTAATAATGCTTGATATAATAAATATTCTATATTTGTATAATATATCGTCTAATTTATCCTATCGTCAAATTTATGTTATGTATCGTCTAATTTAACTAATTAATACACTAACGTAAACAAGTTCAAACAGGTTTCAGTCACATAAAAACAATAAAGCTGTATACTATCACCTGATAATTAAGATTTTACATAGAATCTTTTAGTGCGTCTAATAATTTGGCTAGGGACTGCAAAATGTATTGATTATCAACATTTTTTTAATAATATTCCATGGTTCAAGGTAATAATATGACACGAAAAATCATTCAAGATTGGCATAAATTTATGTGATTATGAAGAAAAAAATCAATTGAATAAGTTAATTTCAAAATACATAAAAAATAAACTATAAATTACATTAAATGAAAATTGTAAGAGTTAAGTATAAATCCAACATTAAATTGTAACCTGATGAATAACAGCATAAAAGACAATACACCAGCAAGTGAAATATTAAAAATTTTGAGTTAGTAAAATTTTGCATGAGAGCAAATTATACACATGTCATTACACATCATAATTTCACAGCTATTCAGGTTAACCACTTTTCATAATTCAGTTAAACCACTGTTTTTACTATTATTCAGTTAAACCACTTTTCAGTTAATCCAACATATGTAAATCCAAGAGCATTTACTTCAGAATTTCAATAATTGTAGTAAAACTTCGTTCTACAGTTTGATGGGTAACAGTCCGAAATTGTACAGGAACAGTCATACAGAAAAATACTGAATTTAAAGTTAGATGTATAAAAAAAAATGGAAATATCATCAATGAAATAAACCAGCCATAAAAGTACTCAAATAAAAATAAAAATCAGTAGCTTTGTGCTGCAAAACCTACAAAGTGAATAATACACAAATAACTGCACAAATTCCCAAAATAGAATTTCTACACCTTTTAATTTTATAGAATTTCTTCTACTATTTAATTTTATTTAATAGAATTTCTATAGAATAGATAGAATTAATAAATAGAATTTCTTCTACTTTTAATTTTATTATTAATACAAAAGTATTTATAATTTTTGTATTACAAAAAAAAATTTTTTTTGGTAAGCCAAAATAAAAATTTTTAGAATACTTTAAATTTATAAAATTTAGGTTGATCGCCCGAGCAAACAATTTTTATCAAAGAATGCATGGTCGAAAACAGAACCCAAAACCATTAGAGGGAGTCAAAAGTCATGTTCTTATATGAGGCAAAAACACACAAAGAACGATGAAGTTAAGTTATAAAAGCAAATTTAATGGCATGTGATTACAATAAGCGTTCAAAACAGTGGCTGGAAGCGGCTAAGCACGCAGTACAACGGCGAAGAAAAGATTTTCGAACATTCTGAAACACACCAGGCATATCGCGAACTTCCCCTGCAGCGGCCGAAAGCTTGAAGACAAGTTCTTCTGCAGATTCAATGGGAGTCTTATACATAAGAGCCTTCAACTGCAAACAGAAAGAAATCGAGACATGAAAGATCTGGCGAGCGCGGTGGCCAAGCTAAAGGACAACCAAGCTCTTCCCATAACATGCAAATAATTACTCGCAGCAAGGTAATTCGCAACAGGATTGGAGCTATCTCGTTTGCATAAAACAACTTTCCAAATGCGCCAGCTCCTTTACGTTTTGTTTTCGACAATGCATTCTTTGATAAAATGTTTGCTTCGGTGTGTACTATCACTTCCTAAAATTTTGCCTATTTTTTTGCCCATCTTTAANGGTGTTCATACTACACTATTAAAAAAAGAACGCACAAAATAATGTTAAAAACATGTGAATCAGTTTTTATAAAAAGTTACTTACACGAGTTTTAGAAACTCTTATCAGTAGCAAACTAAAAATAAACAACCGGCAGCAATTCTGAAATCATGCAAATGGCCCATAAATTATTCAAAGCCCTGCTTAAGAGTTCCAAGAACGTTGACTAAATAAATGACTGAGGATAATGCATCATTTGAAGGCAAGACAGAAAAAAAATTAATTTCTTTTCTTGCTGTCAGTATCATTGCTTTGAATAGTTACTATGCGATCCAAGAGATGAAACTGCTTTAATGTGTGTTGAATCTATTCATTGAAATTTGAGTTTAACGAATATTAAAGAAGTTGAAGTTGCAATGATTGTTTATCATTGCAAACAAAAACAAGAAAAAGTGAAGTACAGATTATTAGCATATAGTTTGTCTAAAGTAAGAACACCCCTAGCCATTCGTCTGGACCCTTTAGCGGTGACTATGGTAACGAGGTATAATTATTTAAAGTAGGGGTGTGGGGTCATTGTTTAGTACAGGTTTTGGCTCGAGGCGAGAGAAAGAGAATCTCTTTTTTTCAGTCTACTGTGTAAGCCCTACAGTGAAGAGAAGCTACCCTCCCTGTAATGTGCTATTCTTGTTTCCATAGCAGCAGACTCCCTCAGACTTTGTAGCAGGGAGAGTTCTTACCGTAGACAAACTATACATATCTTTAGAATTTCTTTTTTGTTTGTTTTTGGTTTTTAACTTTTGATTTAAGTGAAAATTAAAGTGTAATATTTCAATCTTGGAGGGGGTGTAGTGATTAGCTCGCCGCTAGAGGGCGAGTTGATCAAGCACCTAATAAAATAATTAAGGTAAAAGGAATAAATGAAGAGGGACCGGCGCGTTAGGCTGGGTTTTCTTTTATTAGGGTTTATTTCCTGATATTAATACATTTTGACCGTTAGGTTGGGGGCTCTTTCATTTTGCCAATTGTTTTTAAATGTTAATTAACAAGTATTTTTTTGCTTTTCTTGGATTTGTTTCAAACTAAGTAGTAGCCCGCGATGGCTCAGGGGATAGAGCGTTCGCCTTGCAATGAGGTGAACCGGGTTCGAATCCCGGCGGTGGCTGGTCGATACGAATCCGCCTCCGGTTTGCACCGACCACAGCGCTGCCGTGGAATATCCTCAGTGGTAGACGGATCATAGGTTAGAGTCACTTTCCCGTCAAGCTGACCGTGGGAAGTTCTCGTGGTCTTCCTCTCCATGTAACGCAAATGCGGGTTACTTTCATCAACAACAAAAAAAAGTCCTCCACGAAGGCAAATTTCTCCCAATACTTGATCCAGGAGCTCCCTAGTCTTCTGGATTGGGTTCAAAATTACAAGGCTACTGCGTTGAACATTAGCAGTCGTAAATCCAAAAAGTGGATCTGCTGTTCAACGACGGTTGTAGGAAGAAAAAAAAAAAACGGTAGGACTCGTCTTATTTTTGATGTTTTTAATCCTGCTTTCTCAGCAATAATTCGTCATATTTTTGTTTTTTCCTCTCTTCAATATTAATTTGCCACCCCTAATTCAAGGAACCTAACTAAAACTATATATTAAGGGAGATTTTTAAGGAACGCATAATAACACAACCTGTGCGTTAATAATATAACACTAATGGTGATTTAACGAGCAAAGATATCATAATAGTAGATAAGTATACACACACATAAATGTTTTATCAAATCCGATGGAAATTAAACAAGTTATCAAGCCAGCTATTCCGAAAAACGATGTTAGATAAGGTCATTTTTATATCTGTATCGCTATAGGAAAAATGCATATTCCACGTAAATTGTAAAGAATGGAAAAATGAGTAGGAAAATTAAATCGTTTTTGAAATAAAACTTTTTTTGGGTCAGAATGTTCACCTTTTTTTTGTCTCAAATATTTTATTTGAACTTATTTTCAATAGTTTCAATTTGAAAATATTGCATTGAAAAATATGGTGCTTCTTTACAGCTTATTTTAATGTACTCTGACGATCTAATGTCCCACAGTGGACTAATCGTAAAGACACGGTTCCCAGTAGAACTTCGAAATCAAGCATCACCGACAGCGGGCAGAAAGCGAGTGGACGAAGCCTGCGTAGGGACCGAGGGTGTGTGGTATCGGTTCTCGTAACACTGTTTAACCGTAAAGTGCTCGACTTCGTCTGAATACCGAAGCGGGAAAGCCATCCCTCTTCAGAAGATCACAATTGTGATGGCATGTCTTAGCATCATCATCAGGGATGCATCTCAAACCGTCGCCAATAGCCCATTGTGCAGCTCAAGTGCGGCGTTAATAAAATACTCAGGGCTCGATAAACAGCCCGTCCGCCCGTCCTCGGCGGTCAAAAATTTCCCGCAGACAACAAATTTCTAGAATCCGACGTCCGCGCGGACGGCCATTTTCCCGTTAATGTTCGTGATACATTTCCAATTTTTGTTATCTTACAAGAGTCTAGCGCCTCACTTCTATGATGTTTTCTCTGTCTGGGAGTGCCGCGGTTGAAAGAGGCTTTTTAGCAATGAACTTACAATAATTACAATGAATTACATTACGTACTGGTCTTAAACAAGAAGCGTTTAGCTCAGTTATGAACATCTACCTAAATGGAAAACCCCTTTCAGATTTCTGTTCAGAAACCTCTGTAAATCATTGGCTTGATTGTGGAACTGGCAAACGTCATATTTGATTCATTTCAAAAACGCAGTACCCTCGGATAAATTGACATTCCAGATAACTTGACTTTTGTCATTTAAATTATTTCACAAAGGAAATACTAGGTTACTATTAGTAACCTATGCGTATTACTGCATAATGTAATCCTAGTATTTGTAATCCTAGTAACTATTAATTCATTGTGCAATTTATGTAAATGTTTGCAAAAAATAAGAGAAATTATATTTTTATTTATTTAGAAGCGACGGGTTAGTTTCAAAGGAGGACGGGTACATTGTTGGACAAGCCGTCCTCGGGGACGGGTAAAATTTCTGGGTTTTTTCGAGCCCTATAAAATACCTATCTTCCTAGCTAACGATCTAATGAGTTTATAAATCAATACATAGTAAAAGGTGCAAAAGAAAAGAAAAATAAACTTTTTTCTTATAATTACACTAGTTAATTTTCTCTCATATTTTTTTAACTTACCGATATACTTCGTTAATTTTCTCCCATATTTTTTTTAAACTTAACGATATGCTTCGTAAATAAGAGTTTCGTTGGTAAAATGCGCTAATATTTTAAAAAATTTAAGAAATAAAAGCTAGATTGCAAGGAAATTAAATAAAAAATCAATCAATAAATTAAATAATAAAATTTCTTATTTATCACCTGTTCGTCAACTTACAGCAGTGTTTCCCAAAGTGTGGTACGCTTACCCCCAGGGGTACGGGAACAGTTTAGTGGGGGTACTCGTTCTTATGCGAAATATCTTGCAACAAACGAAAATTTCAAAAAAAAAAATATTTAAAAACAGAGCTAGCCATGAAAATTTACCATTACGTATTTTTCTATAAGTTATTTTTTGCAGAGTTAACAGTTAATAATTAGTGGTGTCAACAGTCAGTTGTGATTTTTAACTTTTGTGAATTTTTTTATAGCAAAAAAACATTCATTTTTTTTTATTAGTGGTACACAGCGTTACGAAAAATTTAGAAAGGGTACACAAAAGTAATAAGTTTGGGAAACACTGACTTACAGGAAGAAATTCTTGAATGTCGATGAGGAATATTAATATTCAACATTCAGAGCCGGTTTATACCCTTCGTAGGCCCTAGGCACAGAGCCGGATTATACCTTTCGTAGGCCCTAGGCATAGCCGTTTTTGGGCCCTCCCCTCCTTCCCCACTCCTCCCCTCTTTTCAAAATATATGCTGAAATTTTCTTGCATATTTTTTTTTTTACACTTTTATTAATATGGATTTTAATTTACGAATTTGTTTATCGAACTTTATCTGCAATACCGACTAGTGTAATGCATAAAGTAAGAGAAAAAAGAAAGGTACTCCTAACTTTAAAGAGAAAAAAAAATGGTAGAAATATAACATTTAAAAGAATAAAAAATTTACAAGTTTAGACAAGAAAAACAAGTTTAAAAAATACAAAATTCTCATATTTATTTTTTAAAAATAATTACAATTCCTAAATTAACTTATATAAACAAAACCAATGATTAAATAACGCAATATATTTCTTACCTAATTAAACGGGGGGAAACAATAAAATAAAAGGAAAACTTATTGATCTAAATCAAAACACTTGAAAATTATCGAAACGATAGTTAAAAAAGGCACTAGCATGAATATTAAAACCCGGAACAAGGCAAGTATCAACGGAATTTAAAAAAAAAAAAAACTAATGATAAAATTTATGAATAAAAAGAATTTATTGAGTGCGAAATTTATCGTNCAGTTGTGATTTTTAACTTTTGTGAATTTTTTTATAGCAAAAATACATTCATTTTTTTTATTAGTGGTACACAGCGTTACGAAAAATTTAGAAAGGGTACACAAAAGTCATAAGTTTGGGAAACACTGACTTACTGGAAGAAATTCTTGAATGTCGATGAGGAATATTAATATTCAACATTCATTATTCGACAACAACATTTGTTATTTCAACATTCTTTTCTAAGCAAAATTATTTTCGCCGATGCTCTTATGTTATTAATAAATCAGTCAGCTTTTTTGCAGCATGCTATAAATAAACTGTTATTAGTAAATACTATTTTTTTCATGACTATTTATGTTTCGCTTTCTTTTTTGGTATTTTAATAACTATATAATTTGCATTATACTTTTATTTTTTAAGATTATAAAACTTATATCAAGTTTTAAAATTAATATTTGATATAAACATCAAAACAAAATGTTCCCTTTTTTTTACATTACGTTTATAAAAATTTTATTTTAAATTGGACAATCATTTCAATTATCATTTAAAAATCATCGTTTATATAAAATTTGTAGTTTTTTCCTTTATATTAGATGGATTGCATATGAATAAAAATGGATTTAATTTTCTCCTACATTTTTCATTTATATTTTAAAAACCCAAAACCTAAACAAAGTTACGAAGCTTGCATTTACTATCACATAAAAAATAAATACCAATATGAACTATTAAGACTTAAAACAAATTGCCTGTTTTTTTTTCTAGCTTTTTTAATAAATATTCTTCCATTTTTTTAAACAACACATTAGAAATTTTCTTTTAAATTTATTGAAAAATGATTTAAATATCGCTGTGAAAAATCGAACTTAGTATTATAATATTCTAGAAGAAAGAAAACGCAGACTGAGATGGTCGAAAAACGGGATTGTAGAGTTTTCTGAACTTTTCGTCATCTTTCTCGAATCTATGACGATGTAATATGACGTCAACAAAAGATATTTCTAGCATTTACTCGCAAGGAAAGAGCATTCTCGAATGTTCTAATATAGATGGCAGCACTAGACTATTTCTCGCGTTTTCTAGTATGTTCGAAGCAGACTATATATATGAAACCGAAACCGCACAGCAGCATGAATCCTGAAAGAGGTAAACAAAGTGTTTTGTTGATTCGAAAATTGCTCGCTGCTTTTACGTTGTGCATTGCATTGTGAAGTTAATCTATTTATATTGAATCTGAAGAGTTATACGAAGAATTTTTCTTCTTCTACGAGACTGTTTATTCTTGAGTAATAGCTTATAATTTAGTGTTTTGCATTCGATTTGGACATTTTGAGAAGATGCCTTGTAGTAAAGCACCTGCAATTGGTATTGATTTGGGAACCACCTATTCCTGTGTGGGAGTTTTTCAGCATGGAAATGTTGAAATCATCGCAAATGATCAAGGAAATCGTACAACTCCCAGTTATGTTGCTTTCACTGAAACTGAAAGACTGATCGGTGATGGTGCAAAAGCTCAAGTGGCAATGAATCCTGAAAACACCATCTTCGATGCTAAGAGACTTGTTGGAAGAAATTTTGATGATCCTAAAATTCAACAGGACATGAAGCACTGGCCTTTCAAAGTGGTCAACGAATCTGGTAAGCCGAAAATAAGTGCTGAGGTTAAAGGTGAGCGGAAATTATTTAATCCAGAAGAAATTAGTGCTATGGTATTGACCAAGATGAAAGAAACCGCAGAGATGTATCTTGGTCAAAAAGTGACTGATGCTGTTATCACAGTGCCAGCTTATTTCAACGATTCCCAGAGACAAGCAACAAAAGATGCTGGAAGAATTGCTGGACTGAATGTGTTGAGAATAATTAATGAACCAACAGCTGCTGCCTTAGCATATGGATTAGATAAGAACTTGCGTGGCGAGAAAAATATCCTGATCTTTGACTTAGGAGGTGGCACATTTGATGTTTCAATTCTAACAATTGACGAAGGTTCGCTTTTTGAAGTAAGATCAACAGCTGGAGATACTCATCTTGGGGGAGAGGACTTTGACAATAGACTGGTTAACCACTTTGTGGAAGAGTTTAAGCGCAAGCATCGAAAAGATGTGCGAAATAATTCAAGAGCTTTGAGAAGATTAAGAACAGCCTGTGAAAGAGCAAAAAGAACTCTGTCAAGTAGTTCTGAAGCTAGCATTGAAATTGATGCCCTGTTTGAGGGAATTGACTTTTATTCTAAAATTTCCAGAGCCAGATTCGAGGAACTTTGCATGGACTTATTCCGATTGACCCTAGAACCAGTAGAAAGAGCCCTAAAAGATGCCAAACTAGACAAAGGTTCCATCCACGATGTCGTCCTTGTTGGAGGTTCTACTCGCATCCCTAAAATCCAAAAGATGTTGAGGGATTTCTTCAATGGAAAAGATCTTTGCATGTCTATTAATCCTGATGAAGCAGTGGCCTATGGTGCTGCAGTTCAAGCGGCTATTTTAACTGGCAGCAATGACGAAAAAATCAGGGATGTTTTGCTGGTGGATGTAGCACCTCTATCTCTTGGTATCGAAACAGCAGGTGGAGTGATGACTAAGATCATCGAGAGAAACTCTCGTATTCCGTGCAAGACATCACAAGTATTTACAACTTATTCTGACAACCAACCTGGCGTTGATATCCAAGTTTATGAAGGAGAAAGAGCCATGACTAAAGACAATCATCTTCTTGGACGTTTCCAGCTTTCCGGTATTCCACCTGCACCAAGAGGTGTCCCACAGATCGAAGTAACTTTTGACATGGATGCCAATGGAATTCTGAATGTGTCCGCATTAGAGAAAAGCACAGGAAAGTCACAAAGCATCACGATCACTAACGACAAGGGAAGATTGTCCAAGGACGAGATTGAGAAGATGTTGAACGAAGCCAAACAATACGAAAAAGAAGATGCCGAGCAAAGGGAGAAAGTCGCATCCAGGAATGCCTTGGAAGGCTATGTGTATTCTGCGAAGCAGGCTGCTGACTCAGCTCCTGAAGACAAACTATCTTCTAGTGACAAAGCTAAAGTGAAGCAAACTTGTGACTCTGTAATTCAGTGGTTGGACAATAATACATTAGCTGATAAAGATGAACTTGAACATAAAATGAAAGAAATCCAATCTGAATTATCGCCTTTAATGACCAAATTACATCAAGGCGGTAAATCATGTTGTTCTGGAAATGGACCTTGTTGTTCAGGACAAAAATCGAATACTTCTAGCACTGGTCCCACAATTGAAGAAGTTGATTAGACTAATTTTTTGGTGAGTGTATTTAATATGATTTTGTTGACATGCATATTTATATTTACTAATTACATTAATACATTGTAAATATATACAACTCATTTCCAGTGCTAGAATTTTTAGCTTTGTATGAGGTTTTAATTTTCTTTTATTTCATTATTGCTATGTAATATTGTATATAATCTAGTCTTTTTGCACTATTTATTTAATTTATAAATACCATTATAAATTTCATGTGTTGGATTCTGAAAATGTGAAATATCATTATTTTTTGATGTTTTAATCAAGTGTTAAAAAAAATGTGATATTTTTAAATAAAATTATTTAATGTTTTTACATTGTGTCTTTATTTGAATTTTGTTCTTATTCAAGATTTATCCAAAAAATCTGAAAAATAACAAATTTAATGAAAAATATAAAAAAAATAATCGCACTTTGGTATAGTAGGTATGCAAGGCCAAGATTTAATAATCAATACAAATTTAAATTAAAAATTTATTTCAATTTTGTAGTTAATAAACTTATATTTTTTCAAAAGCTTAATGATTAAAATTTCCCATATATTTTGTAAATAATTGTTAGAAATTCTTGTATTTAATATTTCAAATAATCTCGCACAAATCAATTTTAGGTGCTTTATATCTCTGGTACAAAGTAATTTATGTGAGGCATAATAAAAATTATTAAGTATTACTATTTTTCTTAGAAAAAGTTTCCATAAAATGTGTTTAAAAAATACATTATAACAAAAAGCTCTTTATTTTAATCTTTTAAATGCTATATATATTTAAAAAATGCATAAAATTTTAAAATACATCTGCATATTAAAATTTGGTTCTAAAGCTTATTTATAACCTTGTTTTTATGTATGTATACAGGAATTGTATTAAACCTTTATTTTTGTTTGGAATTAATAACATGAAAATGTATTTAATCAATAAATATAATCCAAGTAATAAAATAGATATAATAATGTTATCAAAAATATCATTTGAATAAGAAAAATTAAAAAATTCATTGATTTGAATCAATGAATCTAGTAGAAGAGGGAAATATTCGAAACAATTTGATGAAAATAAACAGAATTTTGCTCTGTTTAGTGATAGGGTGCATCTTTTCAATCTAGAATTTGTTAGCTGTTACTTTCTAAAACTTAGCATGGGAGAAAATTATGCCACAAATTTAGTTTAAGGATTATAAAAACATTAACCTTCTTTGTTCAAATTGTTTATTAAGTCATTTTTGGATTTTATTAGTTTACCTTGAATGATACATAGTTTAAAAAGATCAAATATAAATTAGTTTGTTTTAAAACACTCTTATGACAATGGTAGTGGTATTGATAGTAAAAACTTTAAAAATTATGTGCATTATTTTTAAATTAAGCTGTGATTAGATTAGGTTTTTTTTGGAAACAATTGCATTATTTTTTCAAAATTTTCAACATTCTTAGTAAGAAGTGAATTTTTTTTTACTGCTGTATTTTAAAGGAAATGCAAGATATAGTCGGCATAGCTTCGGTTATAAATCTATACTCTTTTTAATCTAAATTATCCATCTTTTTATCTTAAATTAATAATTTTAATTATAAAAAAGATATCTTGAAAAAATTAAAATTAGAGTGGGTCAGAGTTTTTATGAACTATAACTTTAAATAAAAAATGCAATGCACTAAATAATTAATTATTCTAACATTACATTAGTACTTGGTAGGTAACAAATTAAAACATTTTTAAAGACAAATTAAAAATCTTAAAATTCTTTTGATGTTCAGAATGGTATACAGATTAAGTACAAGGCAAAAATGTAATGCCTTTTATATATATATATAAAGTAATTACTTAATATGCATAATTAAATAGAAAAATCTATCCAATTTCAAACATAGGTTTTTTTTTTAAAATATAAATAAATCAGCAAGTTATTTTATACAAGAAGATTTGTAAACTTGCTGATAAAGTAACATTATTTTATCATTATAAAAAACTTTAAAAAAAAAAAGGTGACATTTTATAATTTATTTTATCCTAAAGAATTATAGGGAGATGGGTATAATGCTATGTAGATTAATACACGAAAACAAGATAAAGCATAAGAATGTACTAACATGCATTTTTCATTTTAGTCTGTTTTTTGGTAGTTAATGATACATTACAATAAATTGGAATTGAGCATTTAAATGCATTAAGATAATTTTAAAAGCATTGCAAAATAAACATGCAGTAATTAAATTTTAGTGTACTGTTACATTTTATTTTAATTATTAAATTAAAATTATTAAAAATAAAAATGGATTTAAAGAATAATAATTATCCTGCTATGAACGGTACACAAATTTAAATAAGACTTTGTACACAGAATTATAAGTGTTTTGGGTAATCCCAATTTCATATTTAAGCTATTATATCTTAGAACAGTGGTTACTAACTGGCGACCCACGGGCCGCAAAGCCTTTTTTTGTGGCCCATGAACCATAATATTAGTTGTCATTTTTTGGTGGACAATTTTCCTAAAAAATCTATATGGGTTTAAAATACTTTTCTTTAAAATAAAACCTAATTTCATCGTTTCTGTGAAGTTTAACACACGAATAGTGCAAAAAAATTTATTACTCAAGTTTTGCATCCAAGAAAATATTCATTCAAATACAAATATAATTGTGTACGCTCTTTTTTTTTTCTTTGTATTTTGTGAATATAATTTAGCATGCGTGTATCAGAAATTTTCTTGAAAAATTCTCCAACTTTTTGAAACCACTCCTTTTTACGAAATTCTTTTCATTTGTAAATTTTGTAGCCAGAATATTTTAATATGCAATTAAATATCTTTCAAAAATCAACTTCTTATTTTAATTTGTAATTCAATACTTTTGTCTTGTACAACTTGATAAAAATCTGACAGTAATATTTAACGTTCCTTAAAACATAAAAGAGTTCTATATAAAATTTTGATAAAGTTGCGGCCCGCCATTTGACTGGTGTTTTTAATTACGGCCCCCGGCCTCATGCAAGTCGGAAAACCCCTGACTTAAGAATAATCAAATAAACAAGGAAACAGAAATAGAAAAAAAACTAAAATATGTTTATTTATGTCAACAACAGCTAATCCATTACATGTCATAAATGAGGAGTAAAATGCCTTAAGAAGAAAGTATAACAGCATTTTTACTAAGCTCCCAATTCTTTTTGTTTCTTCTTCTTTTTCTTCTTTGGTGTGATGTCATCATTCACTTCAGAAGTATTTAAACTTAAATCCATTTCTGGTTCTTCAATTGATTCTTCCATTAGTTTCCTCTTTTTTGCTTTCCTTTCAGCTTTTAATTCAGCCTTTGTTTTGCCGCCTACTCGAGCTACAAAGTCCTCTGAAGCTTCATGATTCGTCTCCTGTAACAATGAAAATGACTATTTTAACATATTTTAAATTGAAATATACATTCATAGAAAAAGTTTTTGCCCTATCTGAATTACATTTAATTATCTGGTTCTGACCAGATTTTAAAGGATTAATTCCGTCCTAATTGATAAGTTTATTCCGCATAACATAATGTAGGAAAGGACATATTGAGAGTAACCTGTAACTTTTAAATTGCAATATAGAGCTTTGTCAGGATGCTCATTTAAATCAAAATTCTCTGAAATTTCCAGAGTAAAATTAGAAAAATTTTCATATTTAAAATAAAATAATTTTGATAGTAATTTATTACCAATATGTTTAAATGTACTATAAGAATATCTAAATGCAGAAAAACCTAACCTTGTTTTAAACCTAAAATTATCATAATAATAAATAAACATTTTTCTATTGAAAATTTTAATTGTTAATTTCATTACATACTTTTAAATGATTAAAGTTGATTTTCAAATATGTTTATTATTCTAAGGTAGGGTTTAAATATGTTCAGGAAATAGATATTATTTAGAATTAAAAATAAATTATTTATTAAAAAGAGCACCAGTGACTAGAAAAATATAAGAGCCATTGGATAAATTCAAAAGTTCGAAACGGCACAATTAGGCAATTCTTTGCAAACAATAATATTTCAAAAATTTTAAGTTTCTTCCTGATTAGAATAAGTGGCTACTTTGTCATTTTGTAAAAAATGAACTTAATGTATAAGAAAGAAAAGATAGCAAACTTCATTCAAAACTTAAATATTAAAACCTCATTGCAAAACAGATTTACAAAAAGTATTAAAACTTATAGTTAAACAAATGAACAATTCTCATATACAAAATTATACTACAACAATAGAATAAGTTAACTAATTAAAAAAAAAAAAACACTCTTTTTCACTTTCCGTATAAATTCTGCAAGAAAATATTTTGAAAAGAAATATAGATTTAATTTCAATAGGCTGTAATATAATTATGCTATATATTCAAATAATTAGAATAAAACAATTAGAATTTAAAAAAACTGATTGAAATCAAATAAAAAAGATAAAAATTAACAACCCTGTTTTAAGTATTACATTAATAAATATTTCCTTGTTTGAAAATCAAGAGTAAATTCATTTTGATCATTCTGCCATAAGTTAATTATTATTATTTATACAAATTCATATTAAATTTTGTCTCATAGATTTACCCAATAAAGGATCATATAACTTTCTTTTATACTGTGAAATACTTCAAGTCAGAAACACTATATATTTGCCAGATAAATCTTGACACTTAAAAATAATAATAATGAAAAAGTTTTAACATTTTAGATAAACATAGAAAAAATGTATTCAGCTGCCAAATAATAAAACGTAAACAGTTTTTCTTATCAAATGACTGCCTTCATTAAGATTGACAAAAAATTATTACTGATAAGTTTCGTTGTAAAAATATGGGATGACCCTTAAAATACACACAATTCATAATGAACAACATACCGCAGATTCTTCTTCCATCTGCTTTCGCTTCTTTTTCTTCTTTTTTGTTGGAGATTCTGTTTCACCCTATAAAAGAAAAAAGTAAATTAATATATAAAATGACTAATTACAATTTAGTTAACACAAGAGAAAGTCTAAGTGTTATACTCTTATTCATTGCTTACCAGTTAAAATAAAATCATTTAGTACCTAACATTACGCTACTAATATATTTGAAGATCAGTAAAACAAAAGGTTAAAAAAAAATGAAAAGGAAAAAAAAATGCTTGTTCTGAATAAAGAAAAAGCTTCAATGAACTAAAATGTAGAAGATTAAAAATCAAAGTTTGAAAGTATTGTATACATTGCCTTAAATTTAAGCAGAAAATAAATGAAAGAATTCATACAATTGCAAAAATAATGATTACTCAAACAGCATAAAGTAATGTTATTATGTTAATGAGGATTCCTATGGAAGTTGACCACCTGCAGTGCATGGCTTTAGTGGTCAACTTAGGTGCTTAACTTAATGAAAGGGGATGAGTTTTCCTTCCTATTCTTTGTTTCGTGTTTCTCTTCTATAGATCAATGTTATTCTTATAAATATGTTATATATAAATATATTTTGTATATCAGTCACCAAACTAGATAAAATTAATTAAATTTTCTTTTGTGAATTTAAAATTGTATCAAGTAAATATTGCATACATCTTAAATGAGATTAATTACCAGAATGATTTACAATTTGTAACATGTACATAAAACAGACATACAATTGCAATTGTACAATTAGAGCATAAAATAAATTAGTTATTATTAATAATTTTTAAAAAATATCGGCACACAGAACATACATACTATTAGAATATTTAGAATTAAAAGTTTCAACATTTTAAGATTTACTACAGACTTTATCCTTACAGACCTAGTTGTCGCATAACTCTTTAATCCTCTGCAGATTATGTTTAAATATCAAACTAATATGAACACTAAATCACTTGAAATAAATAATAAAATTTTTATATAAGTTACAAACAATTATAAAAGAAATCGTCATTAAATATTAAGATACAAAAAATGTAAGCTTCAGGGCAATGGCTTTGATGTCTAACCAGAGGGGACATTGAACTGCAAAAGGCTAGTACTTTTCCCTGTATTTTATTAATTTAATGAATTTTTTGTACATAATAAAGAAACGTTCCTGAAAGAAAAAAAAATTCCTGGACAACATAAGGGGTTACAATAGCATTTAATAACTCTCCTAGAAAATTTGACTAATTTCAGTAGTCTACATTCAAGATAGGTGGTCAGGTTGCAAAAATTTTGCACTTTTTAATTACATATGATAAAATTTGGTTCTTGGTTTAAAAATAAAGGTCTATTTAAACAAGTGATCAACTTGTTCCACTAGAACTGTAAAATGCAAATTGAAACATTTAACAAGTTAATTATGAAATGAGAACACGGAGGATTATATTATGAAGGTCCCTTGTACATTTAGGTGTAGACAATAGGAGTTAAGTAAAGTATTGCAAATAATGATTTAAATTTTGTTTTTGGAACAAACGAAAAATTATGTCTCCTAATTGGGCCACCTAAACAAAGGAGAAATAGAACTTTCAGTAATCTCTAATAAAAATTACAATCCGAAATAATTGGTATTCCTGATGATATAATCTTGCAATTTTAATATTAAGCATTACCGTATCAACATGGTTGGCAACTGCTGCAGTTAAACCATTCATCAAAGCACTTTCATCAACATCTTGCAATAACTGCTTTTTAGCTTTCTTTATAGCTCTTTTCCTTTCCTTCAGTACCTGTTTCTCTTCAGCTTCTGCCTAAATAATTGAAAGATAATTTAGCAAACAAACAGAACACAACAAGTTTAAAATATCTAAGTTAAGGTATTTAATTATTATTATTACTTCTTCAAAAGCTTCAGCCATCAAATCTATATTCTTCGCTGGGATTTCACCAGTCTCAAAGAATTTCAACCTGTTTTCTACCTGATCTTTCATCTTCTCGCCGTAAATACTGGTGGGCACATCTGGTCAAAATAATAATGAGTTAGAACACACTTAGATTGAAAGTAATGAATAAATTGTAAAACATTGAATTTCCAAATTTTTTTTTTTTAAAAATACGTTTAACAGGGTGCATAGCCAAATTTTTCAAAACAAAAAAATAATAATAAATAAGCACCTTTTAAGCACTTTAAAAAATAAATATATAATTTGTCAGGCTTGGCAAGTTTTTGACAATTGACGGTTTTATCCAGATTTAACCACCATGTCAAAAAAAACTTCAGTTTTGCAGGCATAGTTTTGATAATTGTCAAAAATCATAAAATTTTGAATCATAAAACGAATGACGTTTTCCTACGCTAAGGACTGATGGTACGCGGAAATAGATTGGGGTTGAATTAATTGTGAAAACATTGAATCGAACAATATGAACAGTGTCTTTTTGCATAATATGTGGCAAAAATCAACAGGGTAAAGGGAAAATTCAGCACACCCAATGAAAAAAGCACCTTTAAGGGCTTTTAAAAAATGATAATCGAAAATAAGCACTTTTTAAAAACGCTACGAACCCTGTTTAAGCTATAATTTTTTTTTCTTCCTAAAAATATCTAACATGTAAAACATTTACACAAAACCACTTCACATAAAGTATATTTTAACCATAAAATTATTACATATTTTATCAATTTGAAAAAAGAAAAAAAAATGCAAAAGGTCCAGACAAATGGCTAGGGTAGTTTTTACTTTAGACAAACCATAGCAGAAACATTGCTGGCTTATTTTACCTTCTAAACAGAAATATACAGAAAACAAATTACCTCTAAAGCAGTCTATCCTGGATGCCACAGCACATTTATTAGCCAGATATCGAGAAATTCTGCCTTTATCTGCTTTAGCAGCTCTTCCAATAAACTTTGAATGGTACAACAAACCATATTTTGGAGTATTGCCTCGAGTTTTTAAGGCTCTAAATAAAGCCTTCTCTGCCCCTAAAATCTGAACTGTTGAAGCTGGAGCTTTGGCAAGGTTTGTTAAACTGCCTGAATGTGCAATGAGTCTGGCACCAACAACCTCTCCAATCAAGGCTGCTAAGTTGGGAGCAACATTATGCATTTTTTCTTTTAAATACTCCATTATTTCCTTTCTTTTCTCTGTCATAGACATTATCCTTTCCACAAAACTATAGACATTTTCAAGATCAGGACCTCCTACATCCATACCTGAAAGAGAAGGGAGACAATGCTTCAAATGGCAATTCAATTTTATAACTGCAACCCAATCTTTCTTCTTTTTTTTTTGCATCTAAGACACTTTCAGAATATATGTAAAGAGTAGGTACTACAATAGGGAACCGATTATCCGGAACGATCGGGACCATCGCTATTCCGGATAACTGATTTTTCCGGTTTTCTGAATNTCGCTACAAAAAGCTGTTTTTATTTATTGTTAAACCCAACTTAAAAAAATTAATATTTGGAAATAATTTTAAAAAGAAGAAAAAACAATGAAGTAATACACTAATGATTATTTCCAAAATGATGGTAAGGTAAACATCTTTCAAAAAAGAAAGAAAAATCCTAAAATCTTATGAGGGAAATTTTTTTTTTTAAAAAAAATGGCGGGAAAATTTATTAAATTTCGTTCCGGTTTTTTGGTTTTCTGATTTCCAGATAACGGGTTCTGTACTGTATTGTTTTTTCAAGAATTACATGTTTTTTTCTTCATAGCATTTTATTGAAAACTCAATAAAACTTTAATCAGGGTTATATAGGAGCCTAACTATATATTATATCGAGGGTTGGAGATCTCTATTATAATAAAGTTCAAACTTTAGAGTATTTCATTTTCAGCTGTTCAAGCATTACAGAAAATATAAGCTTAAAATAAAACAGGAAACAACCTAAAAAAAGCAAAATTTTTAACTAAAACATAATTAATTCTTAATTATCTGGTCATTGGTCTGGTCTCTTGGTGTTAAAATACCATTCATAATTCAATGTTTTGTCAACGTAGAAAATAAAGTATTGATACAAACTAATAAGGAAGTAACGGCAGGACAAAATCATACATGGCCAAAGCATTCTATATAATCTCGTATGGATAAAATACTAGTTAAAAATTCCCTTTTGACAGGAAATTTTCAAGCAAAGTTTTACCCAGATTGCAGCTTAACTGTGAAACAGAAAACTAACAGTTTACTCCATCTATAAATAAAGTAATAACTTTAAAACTGCTCCAAATTTTTCTTTAATGATTCAGAGTTCTAAAACAATATTACTTTTCAAAAACTACCAACAATAAATATCAAGAATAGAAGAGGAATTTTAATTAGGAAAAAATTAATACATAAGTAACATGAATTTTCTTTTTTTTTTACATAATTTTTTTTTTTTAAATCAATATTGTCAAAAACAAAGTAACAAATTCTTTTAAATGCGTTAATTAAAATTTAGCTCTTACCCATGGAGCACCTAGCCAAGATCATGATTTTTTCAACTTTAGCTCGATCACCAAGTACTTTTTCTAAATCATCCTCCAATCCCTCGATTTCTTTACGATTCTTTATTACATGAACACACTGGATAAACATAGCATTTTCTGGGACAACTTGCAGCAGCTCAGGAAAATGTAAACTATACCATTCACTAAAACAACACACATAGAAATATAAGCTATAATTAAAAGAACTGTAAATAAAACAAATGTCAAATTTACATTGAATTAGTTCAAAATACACTTCTGCTTTTTGTAGTAAAATATATCAAAGTTTGAGAAATTAATCTAATAACAGTAGAGAGCCAATTATCCAGGATGCCCGTGGGCCATTGCTATTTTGGATGTTCGAATTTCTGGTTTTCTAGATGGATCGGCTAAAAAGTGTCATTTTCTAATGTTTTATTCAACACAAATTACAAGGAAAAAGAGTAACACAACTATTAAAAAAAATGGTAGAAAATAACACTTAAAAGCATAAAAAAAATTAAGTTTAGACATAAAAAACAAGTTTAAAAATACAAAATTCACATAAAAATTTTTTGAAGATTAATTAAAATCACCAAATTAACTAATATGAAACTAAACCAATAATTAAAAAAACGCAATGTACAGTACAGAACCCGTTATCCGGAAATCAGAAAACCGGAACGAAATTCAATAAATTTTCCCACCATTTTTTTTAAAAAATATTTCTTTTCCCCCTAAGATTTTAGGATTTTTCGTTCTTTTTTTAAAGATGTTTACCTTACCATCATTTTGGAAATAATTATTAGTGTATTACTTTATCGTTTTTTCTTCTTTTTAAGACTATTTCCAAATTTTTTTTTTCAGTTGGGTTTAACAATAAAAAAACGGCTTTTCGTAGCGATTCAGAAAACCGGAAAAATCAGTTATCCGGAGTTGCTATGGTCCCGATCGTTCCGGATAATCGGTTCCCTACTGTACTTTATATCTAATTATAAGGAAAAAAGAAAGCAATAAAATAAAAGGAAAACTTATCAATCATATGTTACATAATTATTAAAAACCCCGACAGGGCAGGATATTATAAGTTTATTTGAATTTTAAAAAAACCACTTATCCTACAATTTATGAATTAAAAGAACTAATTTATTCAATATTCAAATTTATTGTGAACACTGACAAAAAAAAACTCAAAATGTCAGGGAATCAGAAATGTATCATCTTTAAAAAGAGAAATCTTCATAAAATAATCGTCTGCCATTAGTAATTAACTATTTTATGCTTAGATTAATAAACAATCTTCTCTTTTCATTTTTATATCAGATATATAGATCTTTATATAAGGATATCAGCATGCTGCTTCTTTATGTTTAATTGACGGCAGCTTATCAGAAAACCACAGATTATTTCTGACATATAGGAGAAAATAAAACATTTGTCTCTCCCCCCCCCTCACTAAAGATCTTCAAGATCACGAAAGAAATACTGAATAAATGGTTCGATAAGGTATTAGTTTTTCAGATTTCCTTCTTTTTAGCTGAACATAGCCAATATTGAAAACTTTCACATTTAGAAGTATGCCATATGCTAATGGGAAAATCTGAATATTTGCAAAATGCAGACATAATTTGTTATGCTTATTATGCAGTGAACCTTATAGGCACTTGCACAGCAACACAGACAACTGACAAAGTCTTCAGCCTATCTAAGTTATCATGTGTGAAATATAACTTAATTTTAAGGAGATATAAAAGCTAAATTACATAAAATAGCAAAATAATAAAAAATGAATGACACAAAAATAATTTTAATTTTTACATGCATTTGAATTAAGTCACATATTTAGAACTAATTTTAACAAAATGAAAAGAAAAAAAAAACATCAAACTGCCTAATTATTCTATTATATCACAGTTGCAACAATTTTTTTAAGAATTATTTTAACAATACTGAACAGTTTATAGAAATATATCATTTAATAATAAAAATTAATGCGTAAAAAGGTGCAGTGATATTACATATTTAACCTTTTAATAAAAATTTTTGGTTCTGTGAACATTAGTACATCCTTGAAGGACAAAAAGCCATTTCTCACCCATCAAATAATTTAAAAGTAAATAACTATTCAAACAATAATGAAATGCACATAAATATCTGAAATTAAGAACTCTAATACATACCGAACTCTCATAACAAATGTATTGATATCTTTATCAAGTTGGTCTAGCAAACTTATACTTTGAATTATCATGTTATCAATTCGGTTAACATTGAACTTCACTCGAGCTCTGGAGTAGTAATGACCAAGACCCAATTGGGACTTAGATGCAGCGCTTGCATCTTCAAACCCTTCAACCAAAGTATGAAAGTGGCGTCTCAATCCTCGAATGATCTCTTGAACAGCAGTATCTGCTGAAATATTGAATCCTAATTCGGAAATAGAAACAGCCAGCTTTGGATCTGCAACACCAACAATTGATTTCTTCTTTTTTGGCACTGACTCCTCCAGGAACTCTTTAAGTTCAGGGTGCAATATACCTTAAATATACAGGAGAATGTTAGGAAAGAAATTTAACAAGCAAAACCTCTTTAGTTCTAATTACAGAAAAAGAGCTTGATAACACAAACCTTGAAACATGAGGCCTTGTATTATATAAAACTTTGTATTTTATAGATAACGGACCCTTCACAAAATAATATATCTTTTAATCGGACATTTCACAAATTTGTTTATCTTCATTATTGTTTTGTTAATCGAATAAACCCTTCCCAGGAGAGGGGGGAGAAAGACGTTTAGAGAAAAACTAAGTTTAAATTCCAAATGTGGTATTCTAAGAAAATATTTCCACTTTAACAAACATCGTGTGCGCATTCTGATTAATATTAAATCATAATTTCTTTTGTAAATAAATAATTGATCAACTTATATTTATTCATAAAACTAATTAATAGATTATGTAAATAAAAATTAATTTCTGGCAATTTTTTAAATAAAATATTATAAATTTAAGAATTGTTTAAGTTTACTTAATGCATAACGAATTAAAAGTGATACATTACTAAGTTGTGTTATTTAAAATGTGTCAACTGAAATTATTAAAAATGTGTGATTGAATATTTTGTGTTGAGCATCATAGGCTAAATATCAAATATTTGTATGTTGCATCTCTAATTTAGTAGCAGCAATTGTTGAGCATAATCTTATATAATGTGTATCTATTTACAATTTAAAAACTTTTTGAAAAGGTTTTTAGCAATTTTTGCAATAATAGGACCCTGGTTGATAGAATGTGACTTAACACTTATTTTATATTCAAAAATTATGAATAGTTTTTTTACAATTTTACAAAAACAGGAACTTTTACAAAATGTCTGGACAGACCCCTGCTTTAACTTACTTATGAATAACAGCATGACTTGGATCAGGTCAATATTAATGCTATAAAATAATTTTTTTATAAAAATACTTAATAACACAAAAATATACACTGAAGTATTTTTAATATTTTCAGAAAAAATTAAATTATCCAGAGCACTAAATTTGTCAATTCCACGTCCCCCTGACCAAGAAATTTGTTGATTTTGGTATACTTTAAAAATTGTAAACTTAATGCCGCTAATACAGATAGCAATTTATAAAACTGCATTATATAGATCTTCTTTTGTATTTACAATTCTAATAATCAGGTCACATGTTCTTGGAAAATGCGCACTTTGATGGACCCTGAATATTATTCTGAACTAGGAATCAGGAATGAACCTAGATTTTCAGTGAAAAATCCTGTTTATACGAAATTGCAAAGAATCTAAGTATAATTTTGTGTATGCATAATTAAAAGCTACGTTCCTTTGGCCACTATCCCGTTTTTGTGATTTTGTAAAAACTGATTAAAAAAATAATATTTTACAATATAATATTTAAAAAAAATACAACTTAAAATATAATTTATGATGTGATTTTAAAATTCTGTCAATATGAAATGCCAAATATTATTCGTAAATCAAAAATTAAGGCATCAGTAAATCATCAAATACCTACATATATATACAAGTAACCAGTTGTAATTAAAAGTAATAAAATGACAATGTAATTCAGATAATTAATAGCAATTAACACCATGCTAAATTTACCTTCAGACATGCTATTCATGTTATCCAGAGCATGTCTTGTATTTTTGAAAGCTCTAAAATCTAATAATTCCACAATTTGCTTGAATTTTTCTAATTTAGCAACATTAGGTTCAACAACATCTTTAAATTCTTCAATATCTTCAAACTTCATGGACTTGAAGAGACCATATCCTGCAGCATGCTCAAACAAAACATAGAGACAAGGCTAGAAGAAAAGATATACAATTACCTTGAAACAGTGATGATATGAATAAAAATTTGTCATTAAAAACTTGTATGGATAAAAGTTATCCCTTATTTTGAATAGAGAAAAATACAAGAAACCAGAGCTCATTCTAGGCAGGGTAAACAGGGAGCAGCACCCTGCTGCCTCTGAAGTAAATTAGTGCCCTGATGTAATAGACTCCATACCCTTTTTGTCCTTTCTTTCCTCAACCCTTCTTTATTTTTTCCCCAAACTCTACAATGGATTTCTTAAACTTTTGTTATTTTCAACTCTTTTTATTTAATTTGTTATTGCTGTCAATACATAGATTTATATGGGAAAGGAAAAATACCCATCACACTCCCTTGTTGCACTTGTCTTTGAAAGTTTGCAGTTACTTCACTATCATAAAATCATAATTATTATTAATCATTTCAATTATTAAATCATAACTACAGATACCTAAAAACATAAATTTATTATTTTATTAATATATGCATGGATTTTAAATAAATTACTAAGCTAATTAGCTTATTAACTCGATATATGTTAATTTATTAATAAAAATTAGTAATTAAGAAGATTGCTTTGCTACTTTTAGAAAAGTAAAAAAATAAATAAATGACAATGCTTTTTAATAGAACGAGTAAAGCCCTATAGAAAGAAATTATTTCCTTTTTAGAATAATAATGCCATTTTTTAAAACTTTTGCACCCTGCCCTTTTTTCTGCCTAGAATGAGCACTGCAAGAAACGACTATATTAAATATTTTAATTATATTTAATCCTTAATTAGAAACTGGTAAAATCAAATGTGATTGATCCTGTGTCAATATCTTTGACAAATTTTGGCAACTTTCAGACTGTGGCTTGCATGAAACCAAAAAAATAAAAAGCATTGCAGAAAGGGCCCAACTCAAAAGGAATAACTTAGATCCGACTCCAGATACATCACAATATTTATCTAAAAAAACTTTTGGTGAAACTAAGTTTTTTGTGAAAAAGGAGAGATATCAGCATCCTGATCTGTGGCAGAATAATCAACAAGTCTTGGCAACTTATGGGCAGTGGCTGTGAGAAACTAAGAAGAAGAAAACATAAGAAACAAAGAAAGGGACCCCTTCAAAAGGTATAACTCCTAGCAGCCCCGGGCAAACATCTACACGTTTTTGTTTTGTTCTTTTTAAATAGCAAGTATATTAGGTACTTTGCGAATTTAGATGGTGCAACAGATCACCATGCGGAAATATCCCCGTAGAAAGTAGGGATGTAACGAATATTCGGCCTAGCCGAATATTGAAGTTATTCGGCCGAATAATGAAGTATATGTTATTATTAATTAATTAGATTTGTGAAAGCCTTATTTTTGGCATCAAGATAATTAAAATATTACAAAAAATACATCAAGTTGTTAAATTTTTTTTAAAATATAGAAAGTATAAAAAAGAAAATTTGTTAATATTTATTTCATTTTTAATTTAAAATTTGAAAATTATTTAATTACAAAATTAAAATTTCAAAAGCGAAACTTTTTAAAAAGTTCTTAATTTTCTGAGTTTTAAAAATTTTTCTGACAAAAAAGAAAGTTAAGAATACATTTAACAGTAGTAAGCAGGGTTGCAAAAAAACCAGGTTTTTGTAGAAAAACCCAACCCGGGTGGGTTTTATTGGGTGTTTCTGGGTTCTATTGGGCTTTTCTGGTTTTTTTTTTTTTTCAAAAGAGAGGGCAGGTATAAGTACCTTATTTTAAAAAAGCTTATTTTAATATTAATAATGAAGTTTAATTTTATAAATTGACTTCATATAAATAATTAATACAAATAAATTGATGTGAAAGTCTGGAAAAAGTTTCTTCTGACATCACGATGCAAAATGGTTATATGTACTCACATACATCACACATTTGAAACATATTTTAACACAGAATTTCTTTTTATTTATATTTTAATCCTTAAAAAATATTTGAGAAAATATATTTTTATTTGCATAGAAAGCGAATCAATGGCACTGACCAATCAATGGCCGTACAGTCAAATCTAGCCAGCAAGGTGACTCTCCAGTCTCCAACACAATAAGTTTCTTCACTAACAATTAGTTTCTTAGTTCACAATTAGTTTCTTCACGTTCTTTCACTTTTTTTAGGCTAAACTACATATATATTTCAATAGAATAACTCTTTAATATAACAGAGGATAAAAAAAAGAAATCAATCTTAGAAAAACCCAGTAAAACCCACTTTAGGGTGGGCTTTTCAGAGTGGGTTTTACCCAGTAAAACCCGGGCGGGTTTTATTGCGCAGGTGGATTTTTTGAAACCCTGGTAGTAAGTAATGAGTTATCTTAAATAAAGTAGCATATAAATTACAAGTATAACTAAAATATGCTATTATTAATTATTTAGATTTATAAAAGCCATATTGCCCTGTTATTGGCATCAAGATATTTAAATTATTACAAAAAATAAATCAAGTTGTTAAAATTTTTTTTAAATATACAAAGATTAAAGAAGCAATTTTGTTAATATTTATTTAATTTTTAATTTAAAATTTGAAAATTACTTTAATTTCAATCAAAAGAGAATTTTTTTTAAAAAGTAAGTATTCGGCCTAAAATTTGGCCGAATATTCGGTATTCGGCCCCATCACTATTCCTTACATCACTAGTAGAAAGGACTTAGAACCTACTTTTAAAACAGTCATATTACTTAAGTTAACATAACAAGTAAAGTTAATATTAATTAGTAACGAATTTATAATTTTTACCACTATGGTATACCTCTGGTGTATCTATGGTTATCTCTCTGGTATATATTTAATAATTTTTTTTATTTAACTAAATAGTGGTTTGAAAAAAGGTAGTCACAAACTTAACCCTTCAAGTTCGCATGATTCTGATAGGTCATTGGTTCACTGCACATCATGGAATGAATGCCTGTTAGATGTAAAAACTTCGCGACGATTTTGGTATAGGTATCTGTACCCTAATATCACAAACCATATATAATATATCTGTCTATTAAATTTTTGGTTTCAGTAAATTTGCATGCAATGGTAGTGAAATTTTGTCGAGAGGGAAAAAAACACAAACTTGGACCAACTTGTAAGATACAATTCATAAACACCTAAATTGCAAGAAAATACGAATTTGCTTATTGATTGAAAGTGAATGTAATTACTGGGTAGCAATTTCGCATTGCAGATAGAACGATCAGGATCGAAAAACCAAGAAATAATGAGAAACCGACATATGTGTTTTATGTAAGTATACATCATCTAAGATTTCACATTGAAGCAAAATTCATTGAATCTTAAAGTTATATATACATCATAAACAGCAATTAATACTAAGACAAATGATCATTACTTACCATGATTTCTTAAAAAATTTCTTTATTTAACTTGTATTATATAATTAATTACACAGTCGACAAAGCCTCCAACACATGCATGCTTTTATTAAAAACAAACATTTATAGGAGTTGAGTGGTTATAAACTGACAAACAGACTAATTTTGAATTAATTCAAAAAATAAAAAGCGACGAGTTATTTTTCAAATATTATTTCTCTATTCAGTTTTAGTGAAAGATTTTAAGAATGAAAATTTATATCTGAGTATTTGTAATATACATTATAATATGAATCTAAAATAAAGGAAAACTGATGCCTTTTTTTTTAAAATCCAAATCCAAAAGATTCGTTAGAAAAGGAATCAGTCGTACTCAATATATTAGCAGAAAAAAAAATATTTATATTTTGCAACTTTCAATCGCTTTTCATGATTTCAACCTTGATTTAAATATTTCTTAATTGATTCCTTGTCTATGTCAGTCTTTCATTATTAATAATGGGTTTGTTAACTGAAGGATCCCCCTTATCATGGGAAGAAACAAAAAAGTATGCAGATCATGTTAGACAACATGGTGTAATTCAGTTTATAAAATTATATCATCGCTTAAAAGACCGGCAAAATGATTGTTTGAAGTGGGGAGATGAGGTAAACAATTATATAACATTAAAAAAAATTGCCATTTTTAAAATACAGATTGTTTTGTCCTGTATAAAATAAAAATTTTTTAATACTAAATGTTTTTTAAATTAATTTTTAAGAGTCAAGGCTTATAATTGCGATAATATTTTTTATCTGTTTGATGACCTTGAATTCAATGGATTATATTTTGTAAATTTCTTATATATATATTGAAATATTTTTTTTTAATAATTTTTACTTCCCGGAAAATTATGCGTTCAATTTTTAATCTTCAAATTAAAATATAAATACTATTTAGGGTAATACTGGATGAAAGTATATAATAATTAAAATAGTTCTACTAAAATTGGTAGTATTATATTTTCCTATTGATCTAGTTTATTTTAATAAAATTGAAACTTGTATTTTTACCAATTTTATTACAGTTCTTTTAAAGTAGTTACAAACCTGTAAACTTCAAATGTTGTACAAAATTATTAAGGTCATTTTAATGAATGAAAAAAAGATAAATTTTTCTTTAAAAAATAATGTTTATCGATTACATATTTTTATGTAGATACATTATTATAATGTATTGAAAATGAATTAGTTTTGTATTTATGATTGTTTGTATGAACTAAATTGTAATTTATTTATTTTTCTATTTTTGTGTAGATTGAATACATGATTATCAAGTTTGATCATGAAAGTAAAACTGCTAAAGTTTGTTTGAAAGCTGAACCTTTGCTTTCAGTTTTACAAGAAAAAGAGAAAGAAAATAATGGGTATACTTTTATTGATTTTTATTTGTGCCAGTGATTTGGAAAAAGATGTGTGTTAATTTAATTATTTTAATTATTAAAGATTATAATTAAAAATAGTTTTTTAATCTTATGGTTGTTTCCAATAGTTATGGGCTAATTTATTTTTACAAAATAATTGTTAACCTTTACAACATCTATGCACAAAAAAATTTCAAACCTTTTTTCAAATTACATTAAAGTCAGATATTAGTTCATTTGATTTAGATTTTTAAGCTTACTGTAAATTTAAATTCATTAAAAATTAATTTGATTTAAAATATTATTTTGGCAAAACTATTTTTAAGTTGGACGAAGAACCATTGGGCCGTTTTATTTATTTTATTTCACCCAACTAAATTTTTTTTTCTTTCTTTTTTTTCTTCTTCAAAATATATGTTGCAAGTTAAATATTTTTTTTCTTCCTTTTTATAAATTTTTTTTTCATATTTTCAAGCTATTGCTTTGAAGTCATTTACTATATACTGAATTTAATCCATACAAATTATCAATTTTGTGGTTTTTTAACACACGATTAAATATAAAATTCGGTCTTCTGTCTTAACTATGTGAACTCTTTTTAATTAAAGAAATCTTGATTGCATATAATAATTTATGTTGCATTATTTGTTTTAAAAGCATTTGATGAGAAAATTGGATTTCTTGTCCATCTAGTGACGTCAAGGCATTGTGGCGTCCTGAGTTTGGAGCTTACATGATAGAAGGAACACCAGGTAAACCATATGGGGCTTTATCTTCACATTTCAATGTTGTGGAAGCTAATATGAAATTTAGGTTAGTAGGTTTTATTGGTTATTATAAAAAGTTTTTATTGAGATATTTTTAATTTTTATCAAAACAGTTCTTCATTATTTTTCATTGATATTTTTTTAAAGGTATTGTATTGAAATAGTATCATTAATGTAGTAGGAATATTAATGATAATAATAATGATTAATCATAATGTATCATATTAAAAATGGTGTTTACCAAAGGATAAAAATTAAAAAGTTGCCGATTGACTGTTTGTTTGAAAAATCTTTAAGTATTAAGCTATCTTTAAATCCATTAAAATTTAATAAATTTAAATAGTTATCCAAAAATAATAAATAAATATTAATTTACAGAAGGAAAAAGCCTGTTGTAGATAGTGATTTATTTAATTCAAATGTTTTACAAGGACAATGATAAAATATTTTCATTTTGTTAGGACACATGTAGAAATTAGAAATAATCTATTTAGATACGCATTTAAATGAGCCTCTTTAGAGCTATTTTGAATAAAAACACCTAATAAGGGATCAATTAGAATTCAAGAAATTCTGCATATTAATAAGCTATTGAAAGCTTTGAAGAAAAAAAAGTTTGTGAATTCTTTTACTTCTTTATTCTAAAGTTGTACAGTAGGGAACTGATTATCCGGAATGATCGGGACCACCGCTATTCCAGATAGCTGATTTTTCCGGTTTTCTGAATCGCTACAAAAAGCCGTTTTTTTTATTGTTAAACCTAACTAAAAAATAATAATATTTGGAAATGATCTTAAAAAGAAGAAAAAACGATGAAGTAATACACTAATGATTATTTCCAAAATGATGGTAAGGTAAACATCTTTCAAAAAAGAAAGAGAAATCCTAAAATTTTATGAGGGAAAAAAAAAAAAAATTTTAAATGGCGGGAAAATTTATTGAATTTCGTTCTGATTTTCGGATAACGGGTTCTGTACTGTAATTTCTTTTTTCATGTTTAGTATTCTTCTCTTTTCATAGATACGTATTTTAATCCTTTCAACATGTTTTTTTAAATATTTTTGTAGACGAGATGAAGTAACTACCTTATTGCAAGAGGATGAAAGCATACTATGCTTAACAAGTTTTCCACGGTGAGTAACACATAGTTTGTTTGTTAGGAAAAATTTGGTGCTTGAAAGAAGTGGTTGATTTGCAATGGTTGAAACATTAAATTTTGTTATGAAAAGGTTTGTTGACTAAAAAAATTATTATTTGTTGAAAAGGTTCGATGAATTAGCATGAGTTGAGAATGTTGGTTGATGTATTTCGATCTGTCCCTATTTTATTCCAGAGTGATGTAGACATGCAATTATTTATCAAAAATCATAAATTGTTTAATAAAGAATGAAATTATAATAATTATTTGAAATTATATGGAGCTCATAAGTAAAGAATAATCTTCAGTGTTAATATAAATATACCATATCAAATTATAAATTCGCAAAATGTCCCCGAAGGTGTAAAATATGAAATATATATCTTATATAAAGTATGTCCAGTATATTGCGTGCATCAGAGTTATATTTTTTGTGTACAAAAACTGATTTAAATTGCTATAAACCCTGTGTTTAATGACTGATCATATAAAAATCTTAAAAAGTAATCATATTTTTTTTTTTATAAAATTTAATAAGCATTAAACTACATTTGTTTTTGAATTAAAGTTTTGCTACAAAATATAAATTATTTTTTCAAAGAGTTAGATCTGTAATTGTTATTTCAATTTTAAATATATTCATTAATAAAAATTTGATAATAAAAAAATCTCTAAGCTGGCAATTTTTGAATTTTAGCAAATGTAAAAGAAGAAGCTTTTGAAGAATGTTGAAATCGAGTTAGGACAGAAGAATTCCCATAAACAATAAAAATAAATTGTTATAAAATACCTATTGCAAACAGCCTGATAAAATAACTTGGAATGTTTCCCTTTTTTCTTTATTAGATATTGCAGTTGTTTCTAAACTCTATTAAAAGTGTTTAAAAAAACATGGTTTAAAAGTACTGAAAGAAATCTGTTTCAAATTGTTCATGCATGATTCAAATCAGCACATCTTGAAATAAGAGCCATATCAATTTTTATCAAATGCAATCTAGATATGCATATTTTATAACTGCCAATTTTTATTCATATAAGTTTTTAATAATAAGTTTAAAAATAATAATTTTAATAATAATAACTTTAGCAATAGTAACTTTAATAATGATAATTTTAATAATAATAATCTCATAATAATAATTTTATCATTTAAGTTTTTGTCTGTAAAAATATGGTTATACTTAAAAAAGCAATATAAAAGTTTTCTATTCTAGTTTTTCTTTTAAAGTTATATATATAGTTATATTAATATGTAAGAAAATGTAAAAAAAATGATAAGAAAAGTGATTTTTTTTATTATGCTGCTGTATATGTGTAAAAAATAATTTACACATATACAGCAATGTAAAAAATAATTTATGTTGTTTGATACATTAAAAAATATTTATACATTTACGAAAGTATGATGTTTTTAATGATAGATATTTGATTGAGGTTTTTTGTGAAGACAGTTTAATCTTATGTTAAATCTGTCAAAAAATATCGCCTGTGAACTTATTTTGTGCAGACCTATTTCAAAATGTATACTGAATGTAATTTTTTTAGACAGTCATGATGACTCAACATGAAAAGTAAGCATTTTTTTTTAAACTCTCTGGCATCTAATCTCTCTATCCAGTTTGCGTGCAAAATTTATTGGGTTGTATAAACACCTTTATTTACAAACAATCTGTACACACATCGAAAGATTTGTTAAAATAAACTTTTTCTTTAATTAAGAAATATTTTGCAATGGAAATCTATCTTTTTACTACTTTCACTTAGTATACTACTAAAAAAGCAGGATATAAAGATTCAACATTATTTTCTTCAGGTTATACAGCCTTATATTTGTGTTTTTTAAATGTTATCATAGGATGTTTTGCTAATCAACGTTTAAAATAATAAATTATAACTAATTTTCAAGTCAGGAAATTAATGAAAAAAAATGTTTCTTTGGTAATTTTTAAACTTTTAAAATGAAAATGTCTCCTTTAAAAAATTTTACTAGAATATCAGAGTATATAATATAATCATAATAAAATTCAATAGGTTTAAGTTATAGATTATTTAAAATTTTACATATCTATTTCATTACCTTGAATGTATAATGTTTTCCCTTAGGACAGCGTAGCACTTCTACCGATGCTAATAAACTGCATTATTTATCTTATTTAATCTTTTGAATTCCCAACCTTAAGTACATAGCATAATTCTAGATCTAGGATCCTAGAATCCTGGGTGCCATGATGCCCAAAAAATCATGGATAGCACCTAAATATTTAATAAAGATTAACCTATCTTTTTTAAAAAATTGTATACTTCTTATAAATTTGAATACTCTTGAAAATAAAAAGGATCTTCATGATGCCCAAAAAATCATGGATAGCACCTAAAAATTTAATAAAGATTAACCTATCTTTTTTAAAAAATTGAATACTTTTTATAAATTTGAATACTCTTGGAAATAAAAAGCATCTTTAAAAATATAGCTTGTATATTTGTTATATTGCTTAGCTTAGTTATCTGTGCATTAAAATTGTAAAACTTGCATCTGGATGTGTGAGATAAGTACCCAGATGCCTATTAAAGAAGTCTGGTTCTAAAACTGTTTAATGTCTTTTTTATTATGTGAAATACTGTTCATTAGCTCAAAATATATTCACGGTGAATCATTATCTTATTTTTCTGACTGTACATTTAATTCATGCCCAGTTGTAATATTTCTTTTCATGCTATGATTTTTATATAACTATCACTTTTACTTTATATTGTGTTAATTATTTTTATAGGTAGGAAACTAGTATAACTTATCGCTATCCTAAATTTTCTAATTTATTTTAAGCCTAGGTTGTCCAAATTTCACTGTACCTCCTACACAGATTGACCCGAAAACAAGTGCCTTACGATCCTTATTTTTTCCTGATGATGCTGTATATGATGGTCATCCTAGATTCAAGTAAATGTTAAAATTAAGAATTTTCTAATATAATATACTTTTGAACGAACTATTTGTAATAAATAATATTTTTGCATATTATGATAGTACATTACTGGCTGTGGCTAGGATTTTATTACAAAGGGGGCTTAAGGTATTTTGTATAATGCATATGTTACATATTAATTACATTTATTAGTTTGTGACATAATAATAATTTACAACTAACATGAATAATACAGTTCAATATTGTTATTTTAAATTACCTAGTTTTACTAAAGCATTTATGAGAAAACTTTTTATTCTCTAGAAAAGTTTCTTACCTAATTCTGGAAAATGTAATAAATCTAATTATTTAAATTTTCTACCCAACTTCAATTATAAATTGTTCAAATATTAAGCAATTAACTTAAAGAGCCTTTTTTTAAAAAAGAAAAATTATTTATTGTGCTGTAATTTTTCTTAGTATCAAAACCTTTTTATATTAATAAGAAAATCAAAATTTTGTTTACTACTTGGCCCTGAGATAGTAATTATTAAGCATTATGCTTGAAAGATTTCTTAAGTGTGAAATAAAATACAAATCAATTTTAGTTTTTAAAAATGATTCAAAAACATTTTATTAAGGTTCTATTAAAAAAAAAAAAACTATTTTTACGAATTTTGTTGACAAATGTTTTGGTTATCAGAGATGAACCCCTATATCCTGGTCATAGCTGTGGCACTTTGGAAAAGCTTGTAAATGCTCATTTGATTAAACGCTGCACCAATTATATTGATTGAATCCTAACTTTGGAAATGGTAAATGCTGTTGGCTATCTTATTTTGTGTTATAATCACTATGATGTTGATTAGTAATAAAATGCCTGTTGCAAAAATTTCCATGCACTAGTACTAATGTAAGCCTTACTTCTCAAATTTAATTTTTTTTCTTCTAAAGAACTTAAAAATTTACTTAAAAAAATAATTAATGATGGATTATGTTATTAATGAAAAATTGTTTTTATTTGAAAACAGCAATATGGAAGCATCACTTTGAAATAATGCACTACTGAAATAATGCATTATTTTTTAATTGTGATAAATGAGAAATAGGTAACACATCTCTCCAAGTCAAAGAAAATATCATAAAACTTCTAGAAATGTTTTAGACTTTAAGTATTTAGTTATGACTAAAGTATGTCTACATGTTCAATTTGTGAAAACTTTTTAAATACTTTTAGTTTTTGAAATTTATATTGAATTCATTCGTTCATAATACATGACACAGTTTTATATAAATGAATTTTTAGAATTTAAATCTTTACATATGTGTTTGCTCTTGTTTTTGATGAATGGGAATGAAAAAAAAAAAATACTCTAAAATTGCTTTCATGTTTACTTTTTTCAGAACTTTAGCTCGAAATATTAGAGAGAGACGAGGAAAAAAAGTAATAATCAATGTACCAAGTAAGCAATTTTTATTTTTCATTTTAGGTGTTTAACGTCAGTGCTTTTAAAGCTTTCTTAATTTTGATTTTTTTTTTAAAAAAAAAAAAAAAACATGTGTTTTATTTTCAAGAAACCAACGACTGGATGTACAAATGTCAAAATTAAGTTATAGAAGTACTTATTGTAGTTTTTATAGATTTTCGTGATTGCAGAATTATTACAATGTAAATTTTTGAATCAATGTTTTATTTTTAGTTCTCTGGTAATGAATGTCTGTTACTTTAAAAAAAAAAATTGTAATCTCAAACTTTTTTAACTGATTAGAATGTGGGGATTTCTTTCAACAAAACATTTTAAAAACTTATCTCACTTTTGCCTCACAAAAATTATTACATCATGGTAACTTTAAGATGCATCACACATCATTTCCAGTGTCGAATCTGATGCTTTATGTTTGTTGATTAGAGATAAATAGCAGTGATATAATAACTATAGACTACAGGTTTTATGACTGTTCTTTTTTTAAAAAATTTATTGACTAATATAAAAATAAATAATTGAATGAAAAATAAATAAAAACGAGTGTGAGATCAGCAACAGATCAATAAAATAGTCATTTTATGTATTTTTACAACCTCTTGAATTATATTATACTTTAATTATAATTTTATTGAAAGACATTTTACATATTATCTATCATTGTTGTGAATTCTAAAATTGTTTTAATCAATTTGTTTAAAGTTGTTCAACTAGTTTAAATCCACAGTTTTTCAATCACCTCCTAATTTACTCTACTACTAGTTTTTTCAATATATACATTTAAATACAGTTTTTTACATTTAAAATACAGTTGTTATACGTTTGAAATACAATTTTTTCAAAATCTACATTTAAAATTACAAGCGTTTTATTTGGGTGGGGATTATTAGATGGGTTCTTATAGGTGGTTTTTTTTAATGTTTGGAAAATTTTGAACCTGACATTTTAACACAATTAAGCAATAAAATCATTTTAGTTCATATCATTAATCAATCATTTTTAGAAAATCGTCGATCAATATTTCAAAATGAGAGTTCTTTTGAAATATTATTTATTTAATTAAGAATATTTTAAAGTAGTTGTAAATTTGTACAGTGTCTAAATATATAATACACATAATCTTTTTTTTTACACAGTTTACAAAGATGTGAACACTCAAGACCCTTTTATTGAAGATTTTTCTCAGTTGGGGGATGATGGTGAAGCCAAGGAAGCTGCAAAACCCAATCATGTATACATGGATACCATGGGGTTCGGTATGGGATGTAGCTGTCTACAGGTTACTTTTCAAGCCTGCAATATTACTGAAGCAAGAATACTGTATGATCAGTTGGCAGGTCTTTGTCCAATTGCTGTGAGTTAGAGTAACTATCCCGTTTTAGATTATACAGAATTTTCATCACACTTTAGTTTAGCATCATTGGTGTCATTTTTAAGGAGATAATTTTTATCAAACTATTTCATTTTCTTGATGCAATAAATTCTCTGTCTGTTCATGTTCAACTATAAATTTTTTGTCTAATTTAATGACCTCATCATTTAGCTGCAAGTAGGTTACCGTTTCTCTAAATGGTCATTATTATTTTAATTTGGTTCCTAAAAAGCCCTTTTATCATTAGTATCTCTCTTTTTTTTTCTCTTAATGTCAAATATTAATCCTTTTTTAAAATTTTCAGAATTTTATCAGGAAAATTGAGATTTGTTTGAAATTAATGCCATAGTTAGCCTGCACAGAGTTTTTGTTATGTTTGTTCGAAAACATTCTCAATTTACAAAGGATTCAGCCGAATTAACCTGCATTTTTGCGGCAAAATTTCTCTTAGACATTGAACTTGTCTTAATTAATTCTCCTATGTGTTGATAATAAAATTCAACACAAAGAACAGACACTTATAACTGAATTAGCATGGGCTCCTTTAATCTTTTCTAACTTTCGTGCTGTGTTGTCTGATGATTGAGGAGCTGTTTTCCGGGAAATGTTCCCAGAAGTTGTATATAAATTTTCTTTTAGATCGAAACAAGCTTAGGGCCTTATGGCTTTCATGCTTTAGGGCCTTATTTCTGTTAAAAAATGTTAGATGAAGGAAATTCTTTGTTTTTATTCACTTACTTATGATGAGACAACTAAAGAAAACTGATTAAATTATTTGTCTAACTTTATTTAGCTGGCATTAAGTGCTGCTTCTCCTGTTCATCGAGGCTATCTTACAGACAAAGACTGTAGATGGGACATAATAGCTGCATCTGTTGATGACAGAACAGATGAAGAATTGGGTCTTAAGGTAGAATTAGTTTTTTTTTTTAAAGTTTATAAGGTACATTTTAATTGTTGTTTATTGTTTGTAAAGCAAGTTCATTTTTTACAGCCTCTAAACACGAATAGGTTTCTTATAAACAAGTCTCGTTATGATTCAATTGATTCCTACCTCTCACCTGCTGGAGAAAAATTTAATGATATCAAATTAGTTTATGATCAAGATATTTACAACATGTTGAGGGAAGCAGGTGCAGTATTAATGAATTGTTTATTCTTTTTTATTTTATTTTATATGCATTAATCTTTTTTCATCTGCATTTAATTTTATTTTGTTTTTCAAATTAAAATTTAAAAGTAATTGCCATTTATCTCGGTGTATAAGTTGAGTTTTCAAACCATAAAAATGTATTAAAATTGGGTTATTAACTAATACATCGGTAATAAATTCAGGCATTCGTTGATTTTGAAATATTGATGCATTATAAACAATGAGATAGATATAAATAATTATGTATTTACTGCTTTTAAAAATTATGTTCAATAGGTTATATACAATTTTTCGTAAAATATTCCTGTAAGTAGTTTAGTTCTTTGAACGTTAGAGACAATATTAGAACACCATATTTTTCCTCTGGTTTATTTACACTAAAATTTTCACTTAATTCGAACAAAAAATCTGCACTTTAAATTTTTTGCCTATAATAAAACAGAATTGCTGCAACCAAGAAAACCAAAAAAAGAAAGAAAAAGAAAAATTTTAAATTTCTCCAAAATAAGAATTTACTTGACTTAAAATCTGGAACTGTCTGCGAACATAATGTTTATGATCTTGTTTTATGAGAAGCTTTATTTTTTAGTTGAAATNTGAATAATTATGTATTCACTGCTTTTAAAAATTATTTTCAATAGGTTATATACAATTTTGAATTTTCTCTCATCATATTTTCTTTACCTATAAAGTTTTTTTTTTCTTTTGAAACAATACTTTAAATTACATTCAGAAAAAAGAGATGAGTAAGAAAAATTGAAATAATTTATTTAAGTGTACTTCAAAATTATTTTCAATAGGTTATATACAATTTTGAATTTTCTCTCATCATATTTTCTTTACCTATAAGGTTTTTTTTCTTTTGAAACAATACTTTAAATTACATTCAGAAAAAAGAGATGAGTAAGAAAAATTGAAATAATTTATTTAAGTGTACTTCAAAATTATTTTCAATAGGTTATATACAATTTTGAATTTTCTCTCATCATATTTTCTTTACCTATAAGGTTTTTTTTCTTTTGAAACAATACTTTAAATTACATTCAGAAAAAAGAGATGAGTAAAAAGAATTGAAATAATGTTTCTAAGTGTACTTCAAAATTATTTTCAATAGGTTATATACAATTTTGAATTTTCTCTCATCATATTTTTTTTTCCTATAAGGTTTTTTTTTTCTTTTGAAACAATGCTTTAAATGACATTCAGAAAAAAGAGATGAGTAAAAAAAATTGTAATAATTTTTTTAAGTGTACTTCAAAAACTATAACACAAGAAAACTATAAAGCTACAAATTTAAAGATTCCAGAATATCATCTGCACCGGATTCAGCAACTTTAGCTGTAACATCATGCGAGTCCCACTCTGCAATATATTTTCATCTTCATCAAAAAAATTTTAAATAATATTTTTTTTCATGTTTTTTAATTTGAGAAATCTAAAAAAAAAAAAAAATTTTCAGCATTTGACTTTTATAACTAACTTAACAGAAATTTGCTATCTCTTAAACAAAATTAGGGAGTCGACTTATACTACCTAATACAGTAGGGAACCGATTATCCGGAACGATCGGGACCATCGCTATTCCGGATAACTGATTTTTCCGGTTTTCTGAATCGCTACAAAAAGCCGTTTTTTTATTGTTAAACCCAACTAAAAAAATATATATATTTGGAAATTATCTAAAAAAGAAGAAAAAACGATGAAATAATGCACTAATGATTATTTCTAAACTGATGGTAAGGCAAACATCTTTCAAAAAAGAAAGAAAAATCCTAAAATCTTATGAAGAAAAAAAAATTTTTTTTAAAAATCGCGGGAAAATTTATCGAATTTCGTTCCGGTTTTTTGGTTTTCCGGATAACGGGTTCTGTACTGTATAACTGATAAACATACAATACTTTCTTATACATACTTCAGAATATATAATAACTTAATTAGGATGTTAGAAAAGAAATGGTTAATATAATATATTAAAAAAGGATATTACTCTTTTGGTATTTTTTATGGAAAAATATTAACCTTTTGCAGCAGATTTTTCATTATGCATATTTTTCATATCTTTTTTTCATTATTTTGTATTAATTATTGTCAAAAAAAGTGAAAAACTGTATCTATAGCTCTTGTTTTCATTAAAATGGCAATTGTGAATAAAAACAGTAAAAAAAGAAATAAAGTATTTTATTTAACTGTTAATGCGTGTTTGTGAAATTTAACGTTGAAACTTTATGTAATAAATATAATCCTGTAATTGTAATAAATATAATCCTACATGTTTTTCAAATTGCTACATAAATTTCTAAAAATGAAGGGTGTTTAGAAAAGGGATTTCAATAAGTTATAACCATTCTCATTGTTATTGAGCTTATAAATATTCATTTCACCAAACAAAAGGTTATATTTGGTCTTACTATCCTGTTTCAAGGAATTTGATCTTTATTTTCTGTTTTGCTCTTTTAATTAAATGACAAATTCTTGCTATAAATGAAATATATCATGTATTCATAATATTTTAGAAATAGAATTTCCAATTAATTTTAACTGAGCTTTGGTTAGTACTTTATTATTTTTTTACACAGCTTCTGAAATATTAACAATTTATATTTATTATCCTACATTGATTTTTAAAAAGAAAGCAGCTAAAATTCGAAAACATTTATATTAAATCGTAAAATATTCCTGTAAGTAGTTTAGTTCTCTGAACGTTAGAGACATGATAAGAACACCGCATTTTTTCTTCTTCCGCTGGTTTATTTACACTAAAATTTTCACTTAATTCGAACAAAAAATCTGGACTTTAAATTTTTTGCCTATAATAAAGCAAAATTGCTGCGACCAAGAAAACCAAAAAAAGAAAGGAAAAGAAAAATTCAAAATTTCTCCAAAATAAAAATTTACTTGACTTAAAATCTGGAACAGTCTGTGAACATAATGTTTATGATCTTGTTTTATGTGGAGCTTTATTTTTTAGTTGAAGTCATATGTGTATGATTTGTAAATGCTAAATATTTATTTTAAGCAATTGCTTTGTCCTTAACCCACCAGTATATGCGGGGATAATGGACTGAAATTTTCTTAACGTACACCTGGAAAAATCAGGAAGTTTTTTTTTTATTTTTTTTAGTTGCATCCTTGTCATCAAATAATGTTTAAAAACAATATTAACTGCTCATAAGTTAATATTTTTAATGTGATTATTTTGATTTGTAAATAAAAATGTTTTTTTTACAGGTATTGATCATTTATTGGCTCAGCATGTAGCACACCTTTTTATAAGAGATCCTATTTCATTATTTTCTGAAAAAATTGATCAGACAGATGAAGAAGATACTGACCACTTTGAAGTAAGCTAACTTTAACTATTTAAGTTTATGAGAAATTTTTTTATTATTGTCTTATACATCTTGATTATTTCTTCCTTTAGAACATTCAGTCTACAAACTGGCAGACAATGCGATTCAAACCTCCACCTCCTAACAGCAGTATTGGTTGGAGAGTAGAATTTCGATCCATGGAAGTAAGTTTATTAAGTGATATTTTCTATGTTTGTTATGTGGCTCAGTACTGTTGTTGACGTTTCAGATCAATCAAATTTTCATATTTTTCCTGGAGTTGAGAGTTAGCGTTTATGCGCAGTTTTCAACTCTGAAATGCCACACTAGTTTAAAGACAAAATACAGAAATTTTTTGAAGTCAGAAATACTTTATGATTTGATTAGAAATTCTATAAATGGTCATCCCGATAGTAGGCTTAGAACGACCCCTGAACTGCAATTGGCAAGTTACATTTTAGTGCTGAAAGGCATGTGTAAAAGAGGTATTAAGTGTGAAAAGTTGGGAACTTTTGTGATATTTTAATTTTCTAATTATTTTCTTATTTTAATCATACGTGGATAATGATAGGAACCATTGAAATTTTATGGCAACTTTATTTAAAATTATCATTTTGCTATAAATATGATTCAATTTTTCATTTACTTAATTCTTCTTTATGCTACCAATACTTTATATTATATCTGTTAAGTCTTTAAAAATTGTTATCATTTTTCGGGAAATTTCAACTTGGTTTAGAATCGAAATTTCATGCGCTGGGTTAAATTACCGATAATTTAATATACTTTACCAAATATTTAATGAGGGTGATTAGTGACTATAAGAAGCTTCCAAATGTCACTGTAACTCATGATTTCCTCAAGATTGGATAAAATCATTCTCATTGATGATAATCATAGTGGCTCAGAGGATAAAGTTATCGCCTCCCAATGAGATGGCCCAAGTTCGATTTTGTACCCAGATCTCACTGACCACAGTGCTGACGTAAAACATCCTCAGTGCTGGACAGATCATGGGTTTCTGTCCTTTTGCCATCAGGTTAACCGTTTCAGGTTTTAGTAATTTTCCTCTAATGTCATGCAAATACGAGTTAGTTCCATCCAGAAGTACTCCACAAATGCAATTTTTTCCCAATACTAGATTGAGGAGTTCCCCTGTCTTCTGGTTTGGGTTCAAAATTTCAAGGCTGCGAAGTTGAGCACTGATAGCTGTAAACTCAAAATTGGGTTGGTTATTTAACAACGGTTATAAAATATTTAAAAAAAAACTCATTAATGATGTAGATAGAAATAATATTATGACGAAGAAAAATATAACCAAATTTGGCATTCCCATGAATATTCTTTTAAAGTTATTAGGTAAAAAAGGAACTATCCATTAGTGTTTTGAAGCTGAAGACTTTAACTAACTGGTCAGAGTTTATCATCAGTCCTATCAGATTAGAGTTTTTACGAATTGAGTCTATTTCTTGTATCCAAAATGCTTTTTATAAGTTATTTTCTTATCAAATATTTGTAGAAACTTAATTCATGTCTTTATCAATCTTATTATCAATTGTAATTTAAAACTTAGAAATTAATCAATGAATTTATAATCACCTATATTTAATTTGTCATACATATTCACAATACACAACTTTTGTTTCAGGTTCAACTTACTGAGTTTGAAAATGCTGCCTATGTAGTTTTCATAGTTCTCCTTACAAGAGTTATTTTGACATTCCAATTGAATTTTCTGATTCCAGTCTCAAAAGTAGGAATTTCTTTAGCTAAACAAACTAATATAGAAGCTCATTTTTATTTATCTTATAATTACTTCATGTATTTTAACTTCAAATGAATCTCATGGAGGAAACTAAAAAATTTCTATTTAGCCATAAGACATAAACGACCAACAGACTTAATCCATTACACATCTAATGGACATAAGGAATCATCGTACATTTATTCATTAGACATACTAAGAGATCATTCAATAGATATTTACTTTGTGATAATTTTAAGATGTTGTACCTCATGATGAATCTTATTGAGAAAAATAAAAACAATTTCTATTTATTCATAAGACATATAGGAATTATTCGACATTTATCTACTACTATCCATAGGATCGACTATATACATAGGCGATGAGAGATCCTTATACATTTATCCATAAGACACATTCAAAGATGAATTAAGAGATGTATATGCTTAATATTTACTTCAATATAATTTTAAAATGTTTTACCTCATGATGATCATCTATTTATTTATTAGGGGGTCATTAGACTTTTATCCTTTACACTCTACTATAAATCCACCAGACTTGAGTGCATGCTAATGATTCAATTATATGTCATAGGCTAGGTGAAAAATCTGGTTTTTCCAGTTTGCCCATATTAATTGTGAGGCTTATTGCAGTGAACCAGATTACACCCTACATACATACACTATTTTGATTATCTGATTAGTTTTATCTGCTTGACAATTGAATAAAACTAATTTTCAAATCAGTATTATTTTCAATTTATTAAAAAATAGTGTTTATTGTTTTTTTTTTTTTTTTAACTATAATGAATAATTTATTCTTTTTCTCCAATATTTTGACAATCATAAGTTAGCCATGGCTTTTTCAAATTGTCCTTCATTTAGTCTTGCTTTTATGATTCTTCAAATATTTAACCCACTGGCGGTTTAGCAAATGAGCAAAATTGGTAAAATGTTTCTCCCCAATACACTATTTACCTATCTAATAACATCGAAAAACGAGTTCTGCTATGCAGAAAAGACTGCAGGTTAAAGTACAACTTTTTATGCGCTGAACCATCAGTAAGTTAAGGCTTTTTTTTGTTTCAAATACTTTATCCATCTAAGTTTGATGGCTCTCTCTTTTGAATGCCTGATAATTTGGTTAAAAATTTTCTTAGTGGTTGTAGTATCAGGTATTTATTTTAGCTTTTAAATATTGATAAACATTTATAAGGCCTTGTATAATTGTAAAGTTCTGTAGTTTTTTTTAGCCATTTTTTCTTCCTTTTTGGTTCAATTTTTTACTTCATAAAATAATTAATTCTTGTAATAATATTTCATTGAATATCCATATTTCATACTGAATTTTTATTATATCTCATTCTTTTGTAAACTTGTTATAATCATTATTATATCATCGCTAGGATTAGAATTTTTTTTATAATAAGAACTTTTTTATTTACAGGTTGATGAAAATTTATCCAAAGCTCAAAATAGAGACGCTGTTCTTAACGAGAAATTTTGGTTTCGCAAAGAAATAAAAATGTTTTTNTTTCAGGTTTTAGTAATTTTCCTCTAATGTCATGCAAATACGAGTTAGTTCCATCCAGAAGTACTCCACAAATGCAATTTTTTCCCAATACTAGATTGAGGAGTTCCCCTGTCTTCTGGTTTGGGTTCAAAATTTCAAGGCTGCGAAGTTGAGCACTGATAGCTGTAAACTCAAAATTGGGTTGGTTATTTAACAACGGTTATAAAATATTTAAAAAAAAACTCATTAATGATGTAGATAGAAATAATATTATGACGAAGAAAAATATAACCAAATTTGGCATTCCCATGAATATTCTTTTAAAGTTATTAGGTAAAAAAGGAACTATCCATTAGTGTTTTGAAGCTGAAGACTTTAACTAACTGGTCAGAGTTTATCATCAGTCCTATCAGATTACAGTTTTTACGAATTGAGTCTATTTCTTGTATCCAAAATGCTTTTTATAAGTTATTTTCTTATCAAATATTTGTAGAAACTTAATTCATGTCTTTATCAATCTTATTATCAATTGTAATTTAAAACTTAGAAATTAATCAATGAATTTATAATCACCTATATTTAATTTGTCATACATATTCACAATACACAACTTTTGTTTCAGGTTCAACTTACTGAGTTTGAAAATGCTGCCTATGTAGTTTTCATAGTTCTCCTTACAAGAGTTATTTTGACATTCCAATTGAATTTTCTGATTCCAGTCTCAAAAGTAGGAATTTCTTTAACTAAACAAACTAATATAGAAGCTCATTTTTATTTATCTTATAATTACTTCATGGAGAAAACTAAAAAAATTCTATTTAGCCATAAGACATAAAGGACCAACAGACTTTATCCACTATACATCTAATGGACATTAGGGATCATCATACATTTATTCATTAGACATACTAAGAGATCATGATTGAATAGATATTGACTTCATGATAATTTTAAGATGTTTTACCTCATGATGAATCTTATTGAGAAAAATAAAAACAATTTCTATTTATTCATAAGACATATAGGAATCACTAGACTATCCATAGGATCTACTATATACATCCATAAAACATGAGTGATCCTTATACATTTATCCATAAGACATATTAAAAGATGAATTAATAGATATATATGCTTAGTATTTACTTCATTATAATTTTAAAATGTTTTACCTCATGATGAGTTTTATTGAGAGAGAAATAAAACATATATTTATAATTAGGGGATCATTAGACATCCTTTACACTCTACTATAAATCCATTAGACTTCAGTGCATGCTAATCATTCAATTATATGTCATACGCTAGGTGAAAAATCTGGTTTTTCCAAACTACCAATATCATTCGTGAAGCTTATTGCAATGAACCAGATTATACCTTACATACGCACACTATTTTGATTATCTGACTAGTTTTATCTGATTGACAATTGGATAAAACTAATTTTCAAGTCAGTATTATTTTCAATCCATTAAAAAATAGTGTGTTTTTTTAAATAAAAAATATAATGAATAATTTATTCTTTTTCTTTATATTTTGACAATCATAAGTTAGCTATGGCTTTTTCAAGTTGTCCTTCATATTTGACCTTGGTTTCACAACGATTCTTCAGATATTAGTGGTGGTGGTTTAGCAAATGGGGAAAAAGCGGTATGTTTCTCCCCAATACACTATTTGCCTATCTAGTAACATGGAAAAACCGGGTATGCTATGCAGAGAAGACTGCAGGTTAAAGTACAACTTGTTATGTGCAGAACTTTTTAAATACTTTATCTATCCAAGTTTTGATGGCTTCCTCTTTCGAATGCCTGATCATTTCGACCATAAAAATTTTCTTAGTGGGTGTAGTATCAGGTATTTATATTAGCTTTAAAATATTGCTAAAAATTTATAATGCCTTGTATAATTGTAAAGTTCTGTGTTTTCTTTTTAAATTCAACTTTTTTAATGTCTTCAAAAATTCTGCTTCTTAAAATATTTTTATTAAAAATCACTACTTTTTTTTCTCATCAATAATTACTTGCACGTTGTGCAAAATAAAAGATCGAACACCTGAATAACTTTTGATTTAATGATCAGATTTTTTGTTTACTATTATACAATCTAAATGTTTCAAGAAACAAGTTTTTTTAGCTACTTTTTCTTTTTGGTTAATTTTTTTATACTTCATAAAATAATTACAATTTAAGTACAATTTTTGTAATAATATTTCGTTGAAATATCCATATTTCATTCTGAATTTTTATTGCATATTGTATCTCATCCTTTTGTAGCATTTTTTGTAAACTTGTTATAATCATTATTGTATCATCACTAGGCCTATAATCATTTTTATAACAAGAACTTGTTTTATTTACAGGTTGATGAAAATTTATCCAAAGCTCAAAATAGAGATGCTGTTCTTAACGAGAAATTTTGGTTTCGCAAAGATTTAACTACTTGTAAGTGATATTATAAACTCATTCAAAATTATATGTATTGATGAATATAAATCAAAAATAATGCTAAATTTATATAGATTTCATTTAATGACCAAAAGTTGAAAGGGAAATTTAAAATTATTTACTGCACCCATTATATGTAACTTAACATTAATATAATAAAATTGTTTACAACCTATGTGTATATTTAATTTTTTCTTCTTTTTTTTTAATGAATTTCTTTTGAACTTTTAGGTGAAAGCCCTCCTGTGGCTACTGCTTACATGGCTAGTTGCTGTAATCCTGATGAATGTCAATATAAATTAATGACCATAAATGAAATAATCAATGGGAAACCAAATGAATTTCCTGGATTGGTGCCTCTGATACAAAAGTTTTTGACTAGCATGGATGTAGATGTTGACACCCAATGTACAATTCAACAGTATCTAAAACTGATACAATTGAGAGCTAAAGGTAAACATTAATTTTAATATTCAATATAAAAATGTTGCTATAGTTTATTGGATTTTGATTGTTTCTCCTAGTGCAATAAAAAAATGTGGGTTTTTTTTAACAATTTAGACAATTTTTTAAAAAAACTGCTACTAAAATATAGTTATTAATATACTGCTAAATATTAGTTATTTTATCACTATCTTAAGGAAATTACCCTAGATAATTAAACCTCTTGATTTCTACTAGTTTTAGGAAGTCAGGATGTTATAAAATTTAATAACTTCCAAAATTGCAAATAGAGTTGAACCTCTTTAACGAGAAATAGACTGGGCTATCATAATTATTTAATGTTAACCGAATTTTGTTTTATCCAATACATTATAAAAACAATTTATTGCGTATCCTTAGTGCAAGTTATGTATTACATTATTGTTTGCAAAAATATTATTATGAACAAAACAAATTAAAATAAGCTTATAAGTTTTAATTCGGGGGCGGATCGAGAAATTTTTCCTGGGGGGGGGGGTCATAGACTCAGATTTCCCCATATGCCCCCTTAAATAATTTTAAAAATATTTTATTTCTTTTGCAAACTATTAAAACAATTATTATTATTAATTTTTTTTTCAATTTGGATCCGCCACTGTTTTAACTACTTTATTCTTACTAAACTATTTTATTTTTATTCTTTTATTTATTTGCCCATCTGCTACTGCTAACAAAGAAAGAAAATAGAAATAGCATTCCTCAAAATGAATGGTTGTGGTTTTATTAACATACTGATTATCTATGCTATGTCCAGTTTCCTTCCATGTTAAGTGATAATCAACTTAAAAATTTCATGTTAAACATAGAAAATACAACAGTAATTGATTGCTGGCCAACCATATGTTTCATGTAAAGCAATATTTCACGTATTAATGAGAAACGGTGTCGTGTTAATGATATTCAACTGTATTGATTTGTATTGCTTATTTATATTTTTAATAAAATATTCAAGAGCATTTTCAGTAATTTTTTTAACGAAAAAGAAAAATGAAAGCATATTTTTCATTCCTAATCTATGATATGAGTTGAATGATTAGCTTCAGAGTAAGACTGAATTGAGATTACTTTCTCAGGATAAGATAAGTAATATTACTAAATAATGAAGTTAATGTTGCAACTTTTAAAATAAATGTATTTTATTTTGTTACACGAAATTATACATTGAAGAATATTATAAACGTAATGTGAACCAAAAAAGATATTTCATGTATCATATGTTTTTCTTAAAATTTATATTATTTTGTTAAAGCTTTTGTATTTTCCTTTCTTATGTTAGCAGCTGGTTGAAAGTCTTTTTTGTTCTGTTTTTAATCATATAGATATAATTTTTTAAATGTTTTTTTGACACATTCATTAGTAGTTTTGTTCAAAACAGTAACATATGCCATACCTTAGAAATTTTGTTTTTTAAAGTTAAAGTATACGCCTGCATTCTAAATTTGTTAACAATTCCTTGACCAACACCTTTTGCCATTATTAAAATGGCTATGGGTCGAACCAAGAAAGGTAAAATTGTGATATATACAGTAAATGATAATATGGCATTATCAATTAGGCAGCTATCTGGGAGTTATATACTGTGCACCTTAACCTTGTGTCAGGAGTATCTGATAAGTGTACACTGGGAAATGTCTCCTTAATCTTAAAAATACGGGGTGTGGGCACAAGTGTATCTTTTATGAACAAAATTTTTATTATTTCTCACAAGCTAGAATGCTATATTATATTTTAAATATTTAACTAGGGCAGGGTGATATACAAGACTAAATTGAGACCTATTTTTCGTCCGACACCTACTTTAACATGTATGATACAATTATCAAAAAAAAAAAAAAATTTATCTGAATATCAAGTTTATAAATCTACAGGTTATGGTGTAAAAACAAATTTATAATCATATGTCATAGCATGTATTTTTTTACCTAGTTTATAGGCCCATTATAACGAATATACATGATGACAGTAAATGTTTCTATATATATATATATATATATTGTTCCAATTCCAATAAAAATATATTTTGTAAAACAGTGATCAATGTTCTATTCATGTGAGCGTTTAGAAATGTTCTGTAATTCTTTTGTAATTGTAATTCTTCTAAATGTAGAGTAATTCTTTTGCAAAGATAACAATCAGCATGTCATGTGTAACCAAATACGAGACAAAAGAAAGATACAAATAACCAGAAATTCTGAAAGATGAACCAAAAATAAAACATTAGATATTCTTTGTTTTCTATAAAAACTCTAATTATTAATTTAAGTAACTTATTATAAATAATTTGTTTTTTATCTTAGGTGATCTAAAAACATCTGCACGGTGGATAAGAGATTTCATAGCCCAACATCCAAATTATAATAAAGATTCTATTGTAAATGAGAGAATCAATTATGACCTAATGTGTGCTGCCGATCAAATAACTCAAGGTAAAAAAGGGTGCCCGGAACTTTTAGGCAAACCATCCTCGAGGACCACAGATGACATTCCGAATGCTGTGGAGAAAGCAGAAAAAAGTTATTCCAATTCTGTACTTCTACGTACTTCTAAATAATGCATATTTTTCTTACTAAAATAAATATCAATAAATGTTATGGAGATTGCTGTATAGATTATTAAATATAATTGAAAAGCTTAGTCGAAGAACATATAATGATTGGCTGTAAGGCTACAATAATCCTTCCGACAGATTTTGAAACCAAGGTTGGCATGGTTTTGGACACAATGGTTAAAAACCATGACTTTTACCATCCTGTCAAATGTCTAAAACTCTTTTTGTCCATGGTGAGATTTTTTTTATTATCATTATTGAGATAATAGCAATAAACTATAACCTCCATCCATGTTTTTAAAATTTTTTTAACAGTAGTTTTTATACTTTTCGTTTTATACTACCAAAAGCTAAAGACTTGCAAGGTCAGATGAGTCTCTATTTAATGGTGCTCTACTTAATGATAGTCCATTTAAAGACTATGTTGCAAAGACTCTATGTCTCTACTTAAGGGTGAAAGTTTTGAATGTATAGAAATTTTTTTCTAAATTGGATGATTTTCTATTTGAGGAAATAAGTTTGGTTAGAGGATTTCTTTAACTATAATAAAGATATGTGTAATAAGTGACTTATGAAAACATTATAAATGAAAATGAAAGTAATTTTGCAAATGAAGTGAAATGAAATCACTGCCTTCTTATACTAATATATCTATTGCTATTCAAGTTTTAAGAAGATATATCATTTCATAGCATGGGAGATAAATTCTTTAATATGCTTGAAAAAGTGGATAAAACAGTTATCAAAACAAGACTGCAATTGAATCAATGAATATTTAAAAATTGCTTTTAATTTTTTACTTTACTTTGTTTTTTTAATTTGAATTGTGCAATAAAAAAATATTTTGGAATACGCCATTTTATTTTAGACATAAAAGAGTTAAACCCACTGAGTTTAGAAGTATTTCAATAGTTATTTCTGCACAAATTCTATTTAAGGGACATTCTGTTCTACTTAAAAATGATATTTCATGGTCCCTTTAAAGTTGTGACTGTTTTTTTAATTCAAAAGGTTCAACTGTCTTTTTAATTGGAGATCTTGTCTTTGAAATGCTAAAAAAAGAAAAGGCTCTTTTCATATATATTTTTTTCATAGCTATTACAAACTTAAAGGGCAAAGTTTTGTAGATTCGAGTTTATGGAATAAATCCTCATTATATTTTAAAATTTATTAATGCAATCTTAAAAATACACTGAATTGTGGTCTTTCAATTGATATTGAATATATATTTAAAATAAAAATATTAAAAGATATAGTTATGCATTTATTTTTATATGCAATATGTGAATAAAGGAGTAGTTTTAAGCGTTTAAACTATTTCAGAACTATTGGATTGGTCAGAAATGTTCTAAAACCAAATTTTTCAAATTCAATAAAATGTCAGCACGTTCTTCAATTAGGCTTTTCAAATAAGATCTGATATTGTATTTTTAAAATAAGTTCAATTTATGTAAATGTTGTAGAAGAAATATGTATATATCATTTTAAAAAATGTTTTGATAACACTTTTTACTATCACCTGTTATTCTGTTGTTTTATTTTTAATATTTTAACACATTAAAGCACTGCTTAAAATGACATAAATATATATTGAAATTGTTAAAGCCTTTTATATTCATTTTTCACTTTAAATTTTTTTAATACATGTATAAGAATATTTTCTAAATTATTTTTTGTTGCCATATATACATTATTAATAAATTGGTCACATTTTTATTTTACACTTTTTTTCTATGATGTAGAGATGTTTTAAATGAGTTTCTAAACAATATTATCACAAAATCGTAACAAACAATCTAAACAAGAAAAGTTGACTGCAACAGAGACTATTATAACGCCAATATTATTGTTTGCAAAAGCTTGAATAGCACAAATACAGCAGAACTCTTGTTTTTACATTGTTTTGTACGTGATCCCACTTCCTAACCTCACTTTCAGATGGCCCATGAAAATTGCCTATACAGATAATGTTTAATTATTCCGGATTTAACATTATTCTTTTATAGTAAATTCTGTTTTTTGCATTTTTCTGACTGACAAAAGTATTTTTTTTTCTCCACGAAGACCGCACGAACCTTTTCTGATTTTCTTCAAAGACTTGTTCATTAGCTATTTGTAGATTTTCTGACATTCTTCCTATTCCATATTATTGACATTTTGTCTGTGCTAGATAATTTACCACTTGGTGATGGTTAAAGGAAGTATGGGAGTGAAATTTTTTCCAGCAAACTTTTGAATCTTAGAATTATTTGAAGAATATTGCACTAAAACAAATGGTTACGTAATAATTTTTTCCTCATTCCGACGATCTCCAAGATGTTTCTAAAGTAAAAATAAGTTTTCTGGAAGCTCTGATTTCGACAGCATTGCCGAGTGTCGACTAAAACGGGTTTAATAAAACTTATCCTGGTTAATTGCTTCTCGGAATCCAATGGGAACATAGGTCTTTCGGAATAACATAGCATGTCATAAGATATTACGAAGTGGACCTGAATATCGCCTGCAACACATCATTAACTAACATCCCATTTCTTTCCAATGCCTGCTCCCAATGATAGGGATGAAAATGATGATGAGCAAAAAATATCTGACAATATATCCACAGCTAATCATGAATTTGAAAACATATGCAAATAATAGTAAGCATTGAGAGGGAAATTGTTTAAATTGTATTTAAAAAAAAAAAAAAAAAAAACGAATGTAGAGATTGGGCAATGTTTCTAATAATTCATATCGTAATTGTTAATTTCTGAAAAATATACTTAGATTTTTTTTACCCCTGATTTTATGCTATCCTGCTTTGTGTGTTTTTTTAATGTTAGTCTGACAGAAAATATTCGGGGTTCCACTGTATGTTAATGCACCTTAACCAGTTGCATACCACCGTGACGCAGTAAACCCATACAATATAACTCACAATAGAGTTTTTAAAAAAGTATCATAAAAAGGTGACACATTTTATACCATTTTATTTAGTTTTTATAACCTTTAATAATTTAAAATATTTGAAACATATCACTACTGTATCTTGAAATTCTATACATGAGAAAGTCTGTACAACATTTTATATGGCTGCTTTTGCAGATTTATTGGAATCGGCATAGTCCTGCATTCTTTCTTCAATAAGAGGCCTGAAGTGACGAATAAGTCCCTAAAAAATATTTTATTGAAACATTTTTTTAAAGAAAATTTCTTTATTATTAAATAAATACATTTTACTATTTTGAAATTGAATATTAGTAGTAAACAATTAAAAGTGAATTATTTTTTAATATGAAACTAGGCGTGAAAATAAAATAAATTTAGAGAGCTAAGTTTATCGTCAATATGAATCAATAATTCATCTATCTAAGAATATAAATATAATACAGAAAATAATATGAACTATAAATATTCCAAAAATGCAACACTTATTAACAAATTGTGATCTACGCTACTTAATGTTAAAACAACGTAATCTTTTGTTTCACTCAAATCATATTTCTTCAAACGGGTAGGACTTATTAAACAAAAACTATTCATTGGATTGACCCATTTCTTTTTTTAAAAAAACAATTTGGAAAACTGACAATGAACTAACAAAAAATTGTTACATTTTCTTTGTTATAATTGTTACAATATTAAGGTCCAAGTCTTTCGATTGCAATACAGCTATGTTCGTTCAAAATGTGAAGTCAGCAGAAAAAATTGCTCTAGATTTGAGTTCATAAATGGCACTATTTCAAAAGCCAAACAAAAAAAAATTTGGGTGTTTTCAAGAAAAATTAACTACTCCTGTTAATTTAAAGTTGTTTCCTGTTGAGGAAATGAAAACCTCACCAAGACTGATGTTTAATACAAATTTAGAATGCATTCTTTTTTTTTTGAAGATGCTTTTATATTTCCCATGTACAAGAATAATTTCATTGTGAATTTATAAAAAAAACTCACAAATTATCTATTTTTAAATTATTTTAACTTTCATTTATAAACATCTATGATAAAAAATAAACTTTCTTTTTTTACCTCTGAAAGTATACATCTATCAGGGGTCTGTTTAGAAGAAATTTGGGTCCGTTAACGGACCCTTCACAAAATATCTTTTCATAAAAACGGACCTTTCACAAAATATTTTAACTTAAAACCGGACCCTTCACAAAATGATTTTTTCTTTTTATCGGACCCTTCACAAATTTGTTTACCTTCATTATTATTTTGTTAATCGAATAAACCCTTTCCAGGGCAGAAAACAAGAAAGATGGATGTAAACGAATTAAGTTTTGTCTTCGGCAGACGATTCTTCCATTATTCGTCCGAAATTAATATTCTGCGTTCAGCAGTATAGGCTAAATACCAAATATTTGTATGTTGCATCTCTAATTTAGAAGCAGCAATTGTTGTTTATTTTTTAAAATTTAATTTTTTTAATTATAATTTTACAGTGTTGAGCATAATCTTGTATGTCTTTACAATTTAAAAACTCCTTGAAAAAGTTTTTTTTTGCAATAACGGACCCTATTTGCACAAATTTATAAAAGCGGACCCTGGTTGAAAGAATGTGAGTAATTTTTTCACAATTTAACGAAAAACGGACCTTTCACAAAATATCTGGAAAGACCCCTGTCTATAAAATATTTCATAAATTCAAATCTTTCTAAAGATGTAATCAACACAATCAGAAGTAATAATAGACCTGCCATAAATAAAATATAATAAGCACTTCATCCCTGTTAGCTTATTAAAACCTAATCTATAACAGTTTGTCTCATGGCAAATTATCTTACATAACTTGGTAAAAATAGAATTTATTTTTTGACACAAACTCTTACATTTTAATGATATCTTATAAACTAGATTAACAACTAATAATTAGTTACCTGAACAGGCCAAGCAGCTCCATCTCCAAGAGCACAAATAGTATGACCTTCAATTTGCTTGCTTATTTCATATAACATGTTGATTTCTTCAGGCTTAGCACTGCCCTCAACTATTAATTAAAATGACTCGTTTAAATATTATAATTTTCAAACAATAAATCTCATTTCAAAACTTGTCGATTCTAAAGAACAATTGGCAAGTCAATCCTAAGAAGTAAAATATAATAGAAATGGCAAACATCCCATTGAACATTTGGTGGTGCAAATCGATGGAAATTTTTTTTTTTTAAATTACATAATTATTTGAATTTCTTTTCTTCATTTTTCATCTAAATATACAGTGGTAGTGAAAAGTAAAATCTCTTAATATTATACAGTGCAATGTGAATGGTTTTTCTATCCCAACCATGGTCGGAACTCTTAAAATAAGTAAACAAAAAGATTTTTTTTATCTTTAAACCAATTATCGCATAAAATCGTTTATCATGTTCTCCAATATCTATCAATTACATTGGATAAGTAAGCTGCGTTTTAAAAGTAAGCTTAAGTTTTAAAACTGGAACAGGTATTGGATCTAGCGGATGAGCATGACATACAGATTATGACCTTGCAAGAAACTAAGCTCGGGCAACAATCCACTCTGAAAGTAAAAGACTTTACAGTATATTATATAGATATACTCAGCAGGAGGGGAGTCGGCATGGTCCTCCTAAGCAGAAATTTAAATTTCAAAAAGATCGGCTTTCTGTAGATACCCTATATACGTTCAATGGATCTCCTCCTATGTTAGTTTGATCAGTATTGAAATCGGTAATCGCCGAGACTGCCTCATCTGGAAATAAAAATAATCATCCTGCATGGCAATGTTAGCTTAACAAGCCCAGCAGAATAAAAAGGATGGAAGTAAAAGTACTTTGGAGAGTTTTACCTGATCACCCTTGATACTTGGAAAAAAGATCTCGATGGTGTCATCAGCTCAATATTTCGAAAAAGAGGCAAATGGCTCCCTCATGTTTTTTTAAAGATCACGCCGAATCTCTTACCTTTCAACAGGGGGGGGGGACTCTTTCTGGTATGTCATTGGTGCAAAGCTGATCAAGCCTCCCACAATCATATTCTTAAATGTTAATATTAAAATTCTTTAAAACTAATATTAAAAATCCCAAAATATTCCTCTTTTGAAAAATATGGTTAAATCTGTGAGAATGCATGCATACAATACGTTTAAAAAATGAAATGTATACATTGCACATAAGACAATTAGATCGCATTTTCTTTAGAATATTATAGGGTGTACGAAAATATGTATTAATTGAAACCTTATCATTGCAACAAAATTTTCATTATGAACTAACCCATAATCTTAATATTCTTTAAATTAAAGAAATATTTAAACAGTACTTTTTGAAAAATTAGAAGAAACATAATTTAACAAATAAAAATTATAAGTGTCAAACTATTAATGTATGGCAATATTCATTGAATATAACATTTTTAATTTTGAGCAAAGTATCTTACCAAATCTGTTCATTATTTTATACATCCAACCTACTCCTTCACGGCAAGGTGTGCACTAGGGATAAAAAAAAAACCAATAAACAAAAATAGAAAGAAAATAACAATAAAAAGACAATTATTTGGGGAAATAATTACCTGTCCACAACTTTCATGCTTATAAAATTCTATCAATCTAGCGATAGCTTTAATTATATCTGTTTGTTTATTCATCACAATTACAGCAGCTGTACCCAGAGCTGTTTGTGCAGCTACTAAACCATCAAAGTCCATCAAGACGTCTTCACATACTCTGCAATATAATAATAATGAAATAACAATAACATACAGTTTAATTAGTTTTAAAGACTAAGATTTTTCATTTTGAAAGAAAAAAATATACTTTATAAGCTTTATTTGAAAAGCAAAGCCACTTAAAAGCATTGAAATCTATAGAACTTTCAACATAAACATAACAGCATAATTACCCTTGCAATTATAGCAGCAACCTTTATAATCAAAATTGTTTTTCACTATTTTCCATGTGTATGGTAACCCATGCGTTAGAATAGTCCTGAATAAATATAGAATGTTATGATTTCAGATTAGTTCTTATCCTCAGTTAATTTGTGAAACAAATTATGCACCAAGGAGTACAAAATTGCTCTTTTACCAATCATTGGTATCCAGAAATAGGACGAAGACTGTACCGCAAAAAGAGTTTTCAATGGCAGACCAGTTGGCACAGGAAATAGAGACAGGCCGAATTTGAGAAGGATAGATGGCCTAGAGAAAGACCTTTTGGTCTTAAAAAAACTAAAAATTGGAAGACACTAGTAAAAAAAAAGGGTTAGCCTGGAAAAAACTTCTTGAGAAGGCCAAGGCCCATCCTGCGCTGTCGAGCCATTGATGATGGTGATAGTATATAGAAAATGTTACAATATGGCACAACGAGAAACTTCTGAACATGGGTAAAGGTTAATAAGCATTAAAAGTATAATTACTGAGAAAAAGGGCATCTTGACATGCTAATTCCATTTTTAAATTACTTGGGGTCCATCGTATGGACCCTGCACAAACCCTTTCAAGTCAATAAATAAAAACTAACTTTTTAGGTATGACAGGTGTTGATGATCCTCCAGGAATAACACCTAATAAATTATCCCATCCGCCAAGAACACCGCCGGCGTGCTTTTCAATCAGCTCCTTCAATGGAATGGACATCTCTTCTTCAACCGTGCACGGATTATTCACGTGGCCAGAAATGTTAAAAAGCTAGAAGAAAATTTAATCCATGTGTTTTAATTTAAACAGCAGAGCAAATAAAGAGTCTAAGTAAAATTTTTGAAAAATGAAACTATACAAAATTTATTGTGTGATAAGTCTTTTAATTCCAAATATTTTAGAGGATTAATATACTAAGAGTTGGTTTTTGAGCGGAAGAAAATTTCAATTACAAATGCCAAGGCAGTGCCAGTGTTTTGGCATTTGCACTTAAGTCTTGTGCATTCTAGAACTTGCCAATTAATTCAAATTCACAATCAAACTGAATGATTAAACTTATTTTAATTTTTAAAGTTAGTAGTCTAAAGTGAAGATTTATGCAGTCAAAATTCAAGACTGAAAAGTCAACTGAAAATGTTTAATCATGCAACACATGAAAAGAGCTAAGATTTAAAAGTGTTTGCATAACTGTATAGTTTACCATGATAGGCATATAACTGTTCTTTCATAGAAGTTAAGCATTTTTATAAATTAAAAAATATCTCTTTTTTTTTAGTTTAAAATTTATAGTTTTTCATTGGAAAAAACAAAAAGTTAAAAAGACAATGTTTTAATGTTTAAAATAATTAATAAAGGATTTGTTTAAAAAAAATTACTTTTCCTGTCTCTGTCAAAATCAAACAGCTTTCTAACACAATGTAAACATGTTTATGGATGAAAAATCTTTCTTTGTTTTAAATTGCTATTTTTTCATTAAAATATAGAAAATTTCAAGGCTCACTCTTAATAACATTAGTTTTTAACATGTTGAAAATTTTTAATAAAAAACATTTTTTATACTTTTTTAAACAAGTTTTTTAAAAAGAAAAAAATAACATTACTTGTTTAATTACCACTAAATTCAGTAAAAGAACTTGTGTTCATTAATTTCATTTCATTTAAAACAGTTCTTTTTTAAAAATACAGTGAACTCTCACTACTACGATATCCGATACAACAATAACTCCCTCTATTACGATAATGTTCCGTGGTCCCGCCAAACTTGCATATGGATTAATGTTATCTTCCTCTCAATATAACGATATTCTCTGAAGCAGTAAACCTCTGTAAAACGATTTTTTTTCAAATTTCAACATTATTTTCTTTTTTTTTTATTGGTTTTCAAATAATGTAAAATGCCTTTTTGTCATCTTTTACCATTTTTTTCATCTTTTCTGATAAAAGGGTCACTGCTGGTTATGATCTTTCACCCCACTGTTATTTCTTTGCACATCAGAGAATGGCTTTTGTATTCAAATTTCATTCCCCCACTGTTGAGGTACTTAGACCACCCTAAGAGCTTCATGTTTTAGAATTGCCTCCCTCAGTTCTTAAGAAATCACCATTGTAACATCATGAGTCATAAATGACCACACACATCACAGTAACACCTGCGACCCTGAGAAGGTACTGTTTCTGTAGAAGGTGGGTGGAGCACGTTTATTGAAATTGAGGAGGAGAAAAAAATGTATACTGACCATTGGTCATCGTTCATCACTGTCACTTAATCCCTGATTTAAACTACACCTGGTGTTTTCATGAGCTAGCGCAAATTCTACGATCAGAACTTTTCGCATTTAGTGCTGCTAACATTTTCAGCTTGGTGAGTCTTCAGTGTATTGGATATTTTTTACTAGTGTAATTTAGCATAAGATGGCAGGGAGAAAGCAACTTTCATTTCAAGATAAACTTAACGTTATTAAAGATATTGATGATGGAATGAAACAGATTGATGCAGCTAGAAAATACGGATTATCTCAATCTACAGTTGCAACGTTTCTAAAGAAAAGAAAACAGATCGAAGATACTGTAAGTTCAAATTTAATTAATCCAAAGCGTAAACGACTAAAAGTCGCAACTAATGAAAACATTGATGCTGCCGTCTTAAAATGGTTTCAAGAGATGAGAGCAACAAATATCCCGATAAATGGGCCCTTGTTATGCACACAAGCACGTAAATTCGCAGTAATGCTAGGGAACGAAACTTTTAAAGCTAGTAATGGTTGGCTAATGCGTTTTCGGGATCGACATGGAATAACTTTCCAGGAAGTTCACGGAGAGAAAAAATCTGCTCCGATTAACGAAGCAAATGAATGGAAGCAAGAGAAGATGACAGATATTCTTCAAAAGTATAAACCAGAGAACGTTTATAACGCAGATGAAGCTGGGCTGTTTTTTCAACTCCTTCCCGATCGAACATTGGCATTTAAGGGTGAAAAATGTTACGGCGGAAAAAAATCAAAGCAGAGATTGACTGTTCTTCTGTGTGCCAATAGCACAGGGACACACAAGATTCAACCTCTTGTTATCGGCAAATCATTGAAGCCGAGGTGTTTCAAGAATGTGAAAAGTCTTCCCGTGGAATATAAAGCCAATAAAAAAGCTTGGATGACTTCTAAGTTTTTTTCTGAATGGTTGTTGATGTTAGATAAAGAAATGAAAAAGAGGAAGAAAAAAATTGCTTTATTAATTGATAACTGCACCGCTCACACCTCAATTCCAAAACTACACAACGTCGGAATTGTTTATTTCCCGGCCAACTGCACTTCGATTTTGCAGCCACTCGACATGGGCATAATCAAGTGTTTCAAAGGATACTACAGGAAGCGTTTGGTTGAATCGATACTTGTCAACATCGAAAATAAAGTAGAAGATCCTTTTAAAACTGTGAATGTCAAGGAAGCATGTGATATTATTGCTGGTAGTTGGTGGGAGGTAACAGAAAAAACTATTCAAAATTGTTGGAAAAAGGTCGGTTTGTGTGTCTTGGAAGATGAAATTGTTTCTAATAGTGAAGAAAACTCCACAGACAGTGATCTTTCAGATAATCAAGAATTTGTTTTGAATCTTCAAAAATCTTTATCCCAACTTGAGGAAAAAATGGGTAAAACATACGGTGTTAACGTGGAGGACTATTTAACTGCGGATGACGATCTCACAATTTTCGCAGGAGTTAGTGAGGAAGAGAATCTCTCTGAAATTACGGATGAAATGGAAAATAATGATGAGGAAGAAGATGGTGATGATGAGCCATCTGTATCACCGTCCGTATTGTCACCCCATGAAGATCTTCAATCCGTAAAATCTCTAAAGACATTTTTCTCAAGTCTTCCATTCACAAATGAAAATCATTTTCGGGCATTGGACTCTATGCATACTTTGTTGGTTGACTTAACAGTCAGAAAAATGAATAAACAAACAAAAATATCGGACTTTTTTCAATAAAAATGTTTTTTTATTCAATAAAAATGTTTTTTTAAGGTAAGTTTACAATCTTATGTTCTGTATTTATATTCATTGTTTTTAATGTTTAACCGTAATAAACACTTAACAAATTAATTTTTTCGATAATATATAAATATATTTATAGTTAATGAATATATAACATTAAATTTCAAAAAATCTTAGTGCGTCCCAGAATTATGTGGGCCCTCGATATAACAATATATCCCTCTACAACAATATTCTTATTTGGTCCGCAAAATATTGTTGTAGCGAGGTTTTACTGTATATATATAATTTTAAAAACTATTAACTATGAAAAAAATGCCAAAATTTTCCTAAGTTTTTCTCGATACTTAATCATTCTTTTTCAATTATTCAACATGAAACTTAAATATCATAACATCAAATAATAAAAACAAAATTAAACAAAAACATGAGTATGAAGCAAAACAAAAGGAAGAAATAACTATCTAAAGGTCAAAACCTGCATTTGAAAAAAGCTAACCATTTAGAATGGTGTAGATCTAATACAGCACATTCAATATAAACATCAAAAAAGAACTGTTAAATAAAATTAAAATAATCTCACGAAGACATATTTGATATTTAAATTAATATAAATTTAAAATAACAATTGGGTATAAGCATACTTTAGTGCCTGAATTCCTTGGCCTGCCAAATGAAGCAAACCATGCACCGCCGCGCCTACAAATTGTAGGAGCCACAGCGACAGTCTCTACATTAGATACAGTAGTCGGACATCCAAATACACCAATATCGGCAGGAAATGGAGGCTTCAATCGAGGCTTTCCTTGCTTCCCTTCAATAGATTCTATCAAAGCCTAATAATAGATTGCAATAAAACATCTTAATTGTAGATTACATTAATAAAGGTTGCAATAATAGATTGCATTAATATAGATTGCAATAAAAGATCCTAAATACAGATTACATTTATATAGGTTGCAATAATAGATCCTAATAATAGACTGAATTAAAAAAGATGACTAAATTTAATACTATTTCCATTATAGATATTAAATATTTGTGCCCAAATGATCAAGTTTTTACATTTTCAAATGCAATTTTCTTGGTTTCCAAGGGTCCACATAAAAATGCCAATTAATAAGTGTCTTATAATTTAAGAATTATGAAAAATCAGACACAAAAACATACTTCATATAAATAAATATACCTCTTTTTGATAGTTTTGGAATTTTCACCCACAGAATATGAAATTAAGCCATAATGCAGAAGGTAAATAAGTTATATATTTAAAATGTTAAGTCTTATTTGCTATTAGGGCAATTTCGTTCAAGTTTTTGATTTTTGACATTTAAAATTACATAGAAAAGATCCAATCAATCTTAAATTTTAAAATTCAATTTTTCAGGAACTATTCAACTGATGTTGCTCAAATTTTGTATTTTGGCATGTTAAATTTTAATATTTAAAATAATCCAAAAAATTGTATACCTCACAATTCAAATTTTTTCAATCATTATTCAATAAAATAATAAATATTTACAAAAAGTTATTTTTTGCACGGAATTATCTTTGGATAAACAAATTTTATAATTATGAGCAAAGGTTTTTCAATTCAGTTAAAAAGTGTTCAAAATATAGTGAAATATGCAAAAAGTAAAATTAACATTAAGAGGTCCAAACTTTGAAGTGCCTCCTGTATAAACTATTGGGACCATATTTCCAAGATTGTGGCAATCCCCTATATTTTGGTCTTCAGAAATCTGAATCCATAAAAAAAAAAAAGTATGTTTATTCAGAGATAGTACGTTTTGGGGTCCGATTTTGCAACCTAAAGTATGATCTGCACTTGTTATTAGGATATTTAAGGCCACTCCTTCGAGCCATTAAGATTGAGTCCTAGAACATGAATATGCGATCATTAGATCAAAAGTTATTCAGGGTAGTCCTTTTTTTGCACACTGTTCATCTCATGCCCAAACAACAGAAGAATTAATACTAGGTATCCAGAAGGACTCCCTTTTTATATTAATTGCTTTATGAAGAATTTTTTTGTCGCCTGTTACCTGTTAAAAAATGTTTTATAATAAGATAGTACAAGTCTATGTTTTTTTTTTCATACATGTAATTGTTTACAGATAACAACACAAAACAATGAAGATTATAACTGCAACAACATTTCATAAATCTAAACTCACAGTTTCTTCTCCACAAATGTAAGCACCTGCACCTCGGTGAACAAAGACATCAAAATCATAGCCTGAGCCACATGCATTTTTTCCGAGTAGACCAGCTTCATAAGCTTCTTTAATAGCTACTTGCATGTTAGACGCTTCATTATAGAATTCTCCCCTAATGTAGATATAAGCTGAAAAACATCAAAATTTATTATTTATAATATAAAATTAAAGACATCAGAAAAATCAAACATTGCCAATTTGGCTAAGATATGATTATACTGCTTATGTAACTGTATCCAAGCAAAGTATTAGAAGCACATAGTATCAGATGAGAAAATTATATCCCAAAAAAAGGGTACACTTGTGAACAGAATACAATTGAAAATTAATACAAAACTTGATAATCTGGGTTTAAGTTGAGTTTAAAAGTTCTTTAGCAAAAACACTAAAATAAGAAAAAAAAGCTTTTAGAAAAATGAAGCTAATGAATGAGAATTTGTAAACCCTTCTACAAGTCTGGATGCTCACTTTCTTTCGTAAACAAGTTTAAAAAAAATTCACCTTAATAAAAAGTTTTCAAAGGTGTAGGACTCAAAAGTTTCTTTTCTTTTTTTGCAAATTTAATTATTTGTTTGATTATAAAATTAAAAGTCGAGATTTGTATTTGAGGGATTTAAAAATCACATATTGAGATTCACACAATTTAAATAAATAAAATCTTGCATCATTATTTTTATTAAAATGTAGCTAACATCCAGTGGATAAAAGTTTCCCACATGCATTTTCTTCTTGTTCTAATTTCAGGTATTTTTCATTTTCTAAAAAGAGTTTTTATACAGACATTTTGCAATTTTTAATTTTAGCTTTTGTGGGTTTTTTACCAAACTCATCCCTGTGGTAAGAACCAATATAGAATTCTATAAAAATTCAAAAAAAAAATTTTTTTTTTTAAATCTATGATTTCAAAATTTTTTTGCCAAAATGAAGAGGCAACAAAAGGGTTGAAACTATTTACAAGGGTAAATCAATGTGTGCAGAGAGTTTTTTGATTGAGATTTTGCGTACGCAGAAAGCTTTTATATTTTATCTAAATCTGTAAAAGCACTAATTTTAGTTTCTTCAATACAATAGGAATATTAAATTTGAAAATTCCACAGTAATTAAAACAATTAAAAGAAATGAACAGATTTCAAAAATAAATCATAACAATTTAACTTTTCATAAATCATAACAATAAATTTAAACTTTTACAGCTAGTGTAACAAGAGTAAAAGAAGCACAACTGCAAGACCATGAGCAAAAGAAAGTACTGGAAATTAGCTTGTTGACAAAGAGCAATAAGTAGTATAAAACATTTTGCGAAAAGTACTTTCTGTAAAAAGAAAATTTATATAACATAAACATACCAGCTCTGGCACCCATAGCTCGACCAGCAACCAAACAACCTTCAACCAACTTATGAGGATCATGTCTCATGATTTCTCTATCTTTACAAGTTCCAGGTTCACCTTCATCCGCATTCACAACAAGATATTTGGGTCTACAAACAATATAACATATATAGTGCATATAGCTGTACAAAGTGCAAAAGAAAAATGGACCACCTTTAATAACTTCTAATCAAATGTTTAGATCTTCACATTCTGAGAATCAATCATAACGGTGCCTCAAATAGGCCAACCTATTTAGTGCAGACTATAATTTAAGTTATGAAATTAGATACAAAAATATACTTTCACTGAATAAAAGTAAATTTCTTTGCGGATTCGGATTTCTATGCCCCCCCCCCAAAAAAAATATAGGGGGTAGCTGTAATCTGAAAAATATGGTCTCAATAGTTTGGTCAGGAAAGCAATCCAAAGTTTGAAATCCTTAATGTTAGTTTTACTTTTTGCATATTTCTTCATAACTCGAGAACTTTTTAAGTAAATTTATATGCTTTGCAAATAATTATAAAATTTGCGTATCCAAAGATAATTCCCTGCAAAAAATATCTTTAGTAAATATTTATTACTTTAATTAATAACAGTCAAACAATTTTGAATTGATAAGTACACAATTTTTTGACATAATTTTACACATTTATAAATCTTTTTAATTTTAATTTTTACAATTTGCGACATAATTTTTTGACATAATTTATAATGTAATTTTACATTGCATCCTTACAGTTCAAAATTGTTCTACTATTATTAAATAAAATAATAAAAAATAATAAATGTTCACTAAAAGATATTCTTTGAATTATCTTTGAATAAATGAATTTTATAATAATGTGCAAGAAAATTTTTCAATTTCCTTAAAAAGTCCTCGAGATACATTATGAAGTACATAAAAAGTAAAATTAACATTAAGGGATTCAAACTTTGGACTGCTCTCTTAACCAAACTATTAGGAACATATTTGTCAGATTCCAACATACAGAAGTTCAAAATTTAATAATATTTAGGTTTAACATTTATGCTAAATACGTAAAGAAAATATATAAATAAGTGCATAAATAAAAATAAAAACTTAATCAAATCTCTGCATTTTCCCCCTTATTTTTTTATTGAGAAAATGTGTATAAAAACAAATTAGCAGGTTTTCTGAATTGTAATTTTTTTAGAGTGAACCAAATGAATTGTGAAAAGTACCTTTTTAAAGAACTTTTAAACATACTGTCATTGTATAAAAGATAAATTTTCCAATGTAAACATCTCTACATTTAACATAAATTTTTTGAAATATGACAAAAACAAACAAAAGTTTAATGTTTAAAAGATAAAATTTGTTTTTTATTCAACATTTTTAACAAACTGCTTTAATGGTATCAACCTTGAAATATATATAATTTTTATTTCTACTTCTAACTTTTTTTTCAAACTGTACACTAATTTCATGCTTCATAAGAGAAAAAAAAGGCTCACTTTCTAAAAAAATTTTTATATTTTATTCAAAAAACAAAATTTTAAATAATTAAATGACATGCCAAAAGCATAATTTGGATTATGGTTTTTAATTTTTTTTTTAGATAAAAAAAAACAGCCTAGTTTTATAAAAAAAATTCATTATAACTTAACTGTAATATGATTATGAATTAAAATTTAAAAATTCACAACAATGATTTATAAGCAAGAAAAAAGTGCTAAAATAGCTAATACCTCCCATCATCTGGTTTATTCATAAAACTCCACTTCATTCCAGTAGGGAAGCCAGCCCCTCCTCGACCTCGTAAGCCTGAATCTTTAATTTCTTTTATGATCCAGTCAACACCCTTGATCAAAATTTCTTTTGTTTTGTACCAATCACCCTACTCAGAGAAATATATACATTAATTTTATAATGCTTAAAAAATAGTTATAATAATACTCACAAATCTTTTCATACTTTTTTTTTAAAAATTTAAATTGTACTGAAGAAATTTTTGTGTTTTTAATAATAATATCTTAAATATTTCCAGTAAAAAATTAGTTACAATATTACTTAACAATTTTTCTTATTTTTAAAAATTACAATATTACATTAATAAAAAATCACTTTACCCGTGAAAGAGCACCTTTGAGTTTCCAATCATGGCGCCCATACAAATTTGTGAAAATTCTGTCTTCATCTTTCAGTGGTCCAAACTTTGTCTAAAAATAGTGAAAATAAAGTTTAGTAAAGTTTATGTAAGAGCTATCCCAAAATAATCAAATGCAACAAAGTGATATTGAAATGACTATTCTTTTGGCCTAGATTTAAACCAAAAAGATTCTTTATGAATGGGTACTTTAAACAGTTCCTCAAATCGCGATTTACTCAAAGAACCATTAAATATATTAGTAGTACTGTGGAGAGGTAAGGTTACTTATTTGGAGATTTTATATTAACATATTATGGCACTTCAAAATTTTTTTAATCACAATTTGTTTCTGGTCATTTACATCCTCTCAACAATGAAGTGTATTTTGAGCTTAAACCAATTCAAATATATGTTTGCGAAACCATGAATAATGCTTGCGGAAAGGTGGTTGAAAACAACGGCTAAAAGAACAAAGGGTATTAATCCATTTTGTTTTGAGGGACATAAAAAGACTAACTGTCATTGTCACCAGTGAAGCTTAATTAATTATGGTACGTTTGGTAATTGATTGACTTGTATATATGTTTTTAATAATATTTCTCAATGTTAATAACAATTTCTTTCGTTCTTAAAATCATTAAATGAATCGTCTATTGAATATTGTTAATGTAAAATGTTGAGACTTGTATATATGTTGTTAATAATATTTCTCAATGTTAATAACAATAATTTCTTTTGTTCTTTAAATCATTAAATGAATCGTCTATTAAATCTTGATTCCGTAAAAAAATTCTAGCGATATTAGTGCATTGCGAAATTTAAATTATAATTTAGAAGTAAACATTAGATCTCTAGAAAGCTTAAATGTAGTCTCTGGAACATATGGTCACTTATTATTGAAACTAATACCGGAAGATTTAACTTTAGAATACAACCGCACAGCGTTGGGGTTTTGGACATCCTAAACTGGTTTTGGACAGGACATGTGGGTTTTACTGTCTTAAACTGGGTAAAACTGTCTTAAACTGGGTAAAACTGTCCTAAACTGGGTTAAAGTGTCCAAAACTTTGAACTTTGGTAAAAGGTAAAAATTCTATAGGTGTAACCATTGTACATAATAATTACATGTATCAATAAATATTTGATATTTTTTATAAAATTTACTATAAGTTATTAAAAGAAAATAATATAATAGGAAAAGGTTTATAATTTTTGAAGTTCCACAGTTTATTGAACAACAAAAGTGAATACCTAATCCTTTAAATATATATATATGCTTTTAATACTGGTAAATAATATTTTTTCATAAGGATAAATATGGCAATATTAAAATATAATAATTTTTCTTAAAAAAAATACTAAATTTGTTCAAAAATTAACCTTTTATTTTTATCACAATATTTTTTTAAAAAAATGTTATAATCTCTGAATCACAGGATGATAAAAAGACATCTATTTAAAAAAAAAAAATTTTAATATGAATATATTAGTTTAAATTGAAAATACAAAATAACTGAAAAATGTATTAACAGTTTTGAAGGGCATAACATCAGTTTCAGTTACTGACACTGGTGATGTATCACCACTATGCTAAAAGAATTGAACATGAATGAAATAAAAGTATTCTTGAATAGTACTATAGATAAATAGATCTGTTTATGATGAACCAAGCAATTAGTCCCTAATATTTTAACCTGTATGGCAAGGCCAAACTTCAGTTATGTACTATTGAATGAGAGGACCAATTGAACTTGATTACTGATTAATCTTCCTTTGTTTAAATTGAAGAGTCAACCAATATTAATAAAACATTATACTCTTAAAAACAAATATTCTCCAGTATATTTAATTATCAATATGTTATTAGTTCTATGTTTATTTCACCTCTTAAATATTGTTCAGATAAAATTGCAACATAATTTGAGTAAAAGGGTTTTGGACAGTTTAAGACAGTTTTGGACAGGACGGTTTAAACCATGGATTAATCCATTCTGTCCTAAACCTTGCCAACCCTGCAACCGCATACAAAAATCAAAATTAGTTCAATTTATTGGGGAAGAAATTCAAGCACACGAATCATCTACATTATTCTATGATAGAGTTAATAAAAATAAACACTATAATTCTTATAGCTCCAGGGAAGTAATAAATAACAAAAAAAAGGAATGTAGAAATGAGAGAAAACTAAATATAATTAATTCTTTTACATTACTGCAGTGTTTTCCAAACTTATGACTTTTGTGTACCCCTTCTAAATTTTTCTTAACTCTGTGTACCACTAAAAAAAATTTAATGCATTTTTTACAATAAAAAAATTGCATGAAAGTTACAAATCGCAACTGGCTGTTGACACCACTAATTATTAACTGTTAACTCTGCAAAAAATAGCCAATAGGAAGATGCATAATCGTAAATTTTAATGGCTAGCTTCGTTTTTAAAAAAAAAAATTTGAAATTTTCATTTGTTGCAAGATATTTCGCATAAGAACGGGTACCCCCGTTAAGCTGTTCCCGTACCCCTGGGGGTACGTGTACCACACTTTGGAACACACTGCATTACTGCACAAAGTGCCATCTGTTGGATTTTAGAAATTGTTATTATTAACATTGAGAAATATTATTAAGATAAGTATTGCTAGTATTGTCATGGCACTTGATGTATTACTTAAAAGTACAGTGGTAATAGATTTATCTTGGAAGACAAGACCTTGTTATGTACCTAATGTCTAAAGTCTTTAAGAAAATATGAAGAAACAACAAAGTGTCAATGTTCATAAATAATTAGAAAATTTTGATTTTAAATGTAATAACTTACTTTAGTTGGTGTTGGTGGTGCAGTAGTAGTAGAATTCCATCTCACTAAACTGCATACAGGATTGTAGTTAAATTGTCCTAAAAAAATTAGGAAACTAATTCAATTTAAGATAATTAATTTAAAGATTAATATTACAATTGTAAAAATAGACTTAGTGTCTTACAAGACATTTCACACATAAAAAATTCATTAGCGTACAGTATTTTATACTCAAAAATAGCAATGAACAGATAAAAATAAAATTTCAACAACTATATAACTTTTGATCCAATGATCGGATTTTCACACATTAAAGTTTTATCTTAATGGCTCATTACAATTTTTATTAAAAATATGTTGATGCTCGAGAATGTTTCATATACTTTTGCTTAAATTTTAGATTTTGTCACTTGAGTTTAAAGAAAATATGTATGTCTATTTAGTTTAAAGAAAATATGTATGACTTAAAATTCTAACTTTTTTCAACAATAATTAATTCAAAAATAATTAATACTTTTTTAATAAGTTTACAGTAATAGTTTTTTTTATGAAACTATCATGAGACAATCAAATTTTATCATTGTATTTAATTGAGATTAGCTTAAATAAGTTAAAGCATGAGAAAAATAAGCAAGAAATGAAATTAACATGAAACGGCTCAAACTTTCAAACACCCTTTTAGAACCCATTTTGACAATAAATTTAAGATTTGCAACTACCTTTTACTTTTTGAAGGTCAAGAATCCAAACTGAATGAGTATGATGATGTTCACTATCCAACTAATAGAGAGTAATTTTGTGCCAGCATTTGTAATTTAAAATATCATAAGTGACACACAAATCATACTGTATAAAAAATTTGATAATAACAAAACCTATTAAGGTGTTCTATTCTTTATATATAAATATATATTTCTTTACACATTGTATATTCAAGAACGGATTCTAGGTTCAATTGGTATAAGATAAAAGAGTTCTGATGAAAATTTTATTGTTGAGACTAAAAATAAAGAAGATTTTAGAACTATTTTTAATTATATGAAAGTGTCTTTTATTTCTATTAATAAATAGTATTAATGTATATTTAAACGAATTTCAAAGAAAAACAACACTCTTTTTAGGAATAAAAAAGAAGTTTGATAAGTTTTCTTTTCTTTGAAATTTAATCTCAGATAAAAAATAAATCAAGCAAATTAAGTGACATAATCATATACTTGCAGGTCACTCGGTGACCCTTTGATAAAATGATCATAACTGCTAATTTTTGAAGAAAAACATTCCCTTTCTTTCAACATACATACGTATGACATATAATTATATAAAAAAAATTTTAAGCAGTAAAGCTAAAACTGGAATAATAAGATGATCTTCCTGAGGTGAAGGTTAAGCACTAGCTATAAAGCACGTTAAAAAGTTTTCAGCTCTTAATAACAAAATAAACAAACAAATATAAAAATTAAAAACTTTATCCTGAATGATTAGAAACCAAAGGTTTCAGAATTTAGAGTTCAAAACTTTTAATTACAACAAAACAGGACAATAGGTCAAACGTAGCTAGTTACATAACAGTTACTGTTTCTCTTAATTTCAGCTTAGCATTCATGATCAGGAAATAATTATGCACAATATAGGTAAAAATTACCTCTGCAGATTAAATTATTCACAAGCGCACGAGTGCCTGTAGCCATATCGCTACTTTTTGTAAATTTAATTCAATGAAGTAAATAAACAAAAAGTTTGTTTTGATCTGTTCGATTGGATTTTATAAATAACTGTTGCCAATCCAAAAATTTAAAAATCATTGATTGTCTTGTTGGAAGCTTTGTCATCTTAAAGAAACTATGTTGAGATTAATCTTATGACGTCACGCACTCAAAGAGTCAGTTCTAAAGATAAGAATCTAGAGAAAAAAGACCCATCTTCCCATCTGCAACGAAACATTAGCTATCTGGTTTATCTTTATTAATTATTTTACCTTACCTCTAGCAAAAAATTAAAGAATATCAAGATCTTAATTTGTTCCTTTGTAGAATAAATGTTTCTTTTAAAGTTATTTTTATCATTCTGAAAGGAATAGACTGGTGCATGCAAAATCTGTCGGGGTCACAAAGTCCTGCAAGTTGCCATAAAACATTAATACCTTTGGGAGTACTAGATCGGAGGTAGATCGTGCTCTATTCCAGTTTAAAATTATGATCTATGGAAGGATGGATGGTGTATAAATGTGTCTCTCTGTAAAACGGAATGTGCTGCATGTATGTGGTCCCCAGATCATCCTCAAGACAGACTGTTGCCAATAGCCCATTTTCAACTCCAAAGTGACGTATATTAAAATTCAAGATTTTTCCATTCCTAATGTTTGAAAGATAAATTCATTCAGTGTATTAGAAAACAAATTCTTCCCTAACAAATACAATATTATGACTATAAGTAATGTCTTATAATTATTACTCTATTTTTATTGATTTAGAGAAGTCAAACGTAAAGTTTGTCACTTTTCTTATCAGGGGGCTTGGAGGTTTTATCAAGGAGTTAATAAATTATTATCCCTAAAATTGTTGTTAATAAAAATGCTTCAAAAAATGATATTGGAAGAAATGAAATCTCATTCAAAATAGTTATTTTTTGCAATAAATAACAAACGAACGAGTTTTGTTAATGTCTTTAATTATAACAATATATGTATTTTTATTTTGAATGTACCCTATACTTATTGTTCTTTTGATTCTTGCAAAGAGAGTTCTGGAGAGTATAGTTGTATGCGGAAAAAATCTGTTAAATAAAATTTTCTTTGAATTTAAGTGCTAAGTGCAAGGAGTTAATGTTTAAAATATCATACTAGAGTTGTGGATTAACAAAATAATTTAAAAATAAAATAATATGAGAAAAAAAGCATTATTTTATATTTTGATACTTCCGAAATGAAGATTAGAAAAAAACACAGAATAATATGATAAAATAGAATCTTAATCAAAATATGATAAAATTAAAAAGTTGATTAAAAATATTTCTGAAAGGGAGGCTTTTTTTACTTTTGATCATTTAAAAATCAGTCTTTTAAGAATTTGTATAACAGAGATTTTTTAACTTAAATTAAACTGTGATTTCCACAAGTTATAAAAAATAAAATAAATTTGAAAATATTGGAAAATAATCGCTCATATCTTTGGAAAAACGAATGTTTCCAAATTTTGCGAAGCAAGGACGTCTTACTTTTACAATATATAGTTATATCATATTGAAATTAATTTTTTTATAAAATAGTGTATTTTGCATATAAATTCCAGTATGTTCACTTAGCTTTAAAAGTATTGGATTGCGAATTATAAACTGATTTTATTATTCTTGGAAGTTTTTTTTTAAAATTTTTTTTAATATAAAATGAAAATATGGAAAAAAATGTACGGACATAATAGATGCATATTTCAATCTGCTATGCAACTTTTACTTCTATAAACTGAAATGGATCAATTCAATTAATATAAAAATTAATTTAAAAAGTAAATTGTTCTTGCTTAGTTTCAATAATTTTTAGCTTCAATATTCATTATTTATATTCATAAAACTCAAAGTGGTTTAATTTTTACTTTTTTTTAACCATCTATACTTTTCAAAAATATTTTTTTTTATTTGGATTACGAACTGCATTTTTATAATACAGGCGAGTGTTAAATCATTTATAAACAAATATTTTACGAGATATAGTTCTAAAAAAATTTATTCCACGACTATAGAAATAAAATAGAAAAAAAAAGCATTTTCATTTTTAGTTTTGATAAAAAAATTTTTTTTTTATAATTAGGTCACTGGATAAGGAAGGATTAATGAATAGAGGACTTTATAATTAACTAATATTGCATTTAACTTATTTTAAACTTAGAATAGCATTTATTTAATAGAATAAAGAGTCACTATATAATAGATTTTCGAGACAAGTTGTCATGGTGAAATATGCAAAACATATTTCCGAACTTTTAAAAACCAAATTATTATCTTTTTAACCCTTTGACAATAACTAAAAATCATTAAAATCTGTAACCTTCTTATACCACAACCTTGAATTGAGTGAGGAATAAAATCTATTTTTAGAGATTTCCTCTACACCTGCCTAACACATTAGCATAAAATTCGAAAACAGTTATATAGTTGCTGATATTTTAATTTCATTAAAATTCGTTCCTATTTATCGTGCTTTCTTTTCCGCTAGCATAGAGGAGCACAACCTCTTTGAGTGAAGGGTCACTTGAACTGCAAAATATGATAATTTGTAAATAAACATTAGTGTTCTAAGCAGTTTTTTTTTTCANTTCTTTTTTTTAACCATCTATACTTTTCAAAAATATTTTTTTTTATTTGGATTACGAACTGCATTTTTATAATACAGGCGAGTGTTAAATCATTTATAAACAAATATTTTACGAGATATAGTTCTAAAAAAATTTATTCCACGACTATAGAAATAAAACAGAAAAAAAAAAGCATTTTCATTTTTACTTTTGATAAAAAAAAATTTCTAAACAATTTTAGGTCACTGGATAAGGAAGGATTAATGAATAGAGGACTTTATAATTAACTAATATTGCATTTAACTTATTTTAAACTTAGAATAGCATTTATTTAATAGAATAAAGAGTCACTATATAATAGATTTTCGAGACAAGTTGTCATGGTGAAATATGCAAAACATATTTCCGAACTTTTAAAAACCAAATTATTATCTTTTTAACCCTTTGACAATAACTAAAAATCATTAAAATCTGTAACCTTCTTATACCACAACCTTGAATTGAGTGAGGAATAAAATCTATTTTTAGAGATTCCCTCTACACCTGCCTAACACATTAGCATAAAATTCGAAAACTGTTATATAGTTGCTGATATTTTAATTTCATTAAAATTCGTTCTTATTTATCGTGCTTTCTTTTCCGCTAGATGCACAACCTTTTTGAGTGAAGGGTCACTTGAATAGCAGGTAGATTAACGAAGAGCTGGCTGCTCGCATATTCAGTCAAGTTAGCGGCAAGATATGATAATTTTTAAATACACATTAGTGTTCTAAGTGGTTTTTTTTTTTTTTTTTTTTTTTCAGCAGTAAATTTAATAACATAGTTGCAGATAATGAATTAATTTGAATTTCGTTAAAAAAAAAAAAAAAAAACTGATATATTTTTCTCTATTTTTCACAATAATTAATTTATTAAATATATACTTAAAAAATAAAAACTGTAGAGCTTTCAGGATGAAAGTGCAAAAAAGTACACGCATTTTTTGAAGAGTAATATAAATTTAAATTAAATATTTTCATTAAAGAAAATTTATAATGTTTAAACAAAAATTAAAACAAATCTATTACAGTACAGTTCAATGTACTGTAATAGATTTGTTTTAATTTTTGATATTTATTATTTAGATATTTAGTATTATTATTATTTTGATATTTAGTATTATTTTTCAGATATTATTTCTATTTCTTGAATTTTACAGGTTTTAGGAATTTTAAATAAAAAACGTTTTCTATTTAGTTTTTTTTTTTTCAAAAGAAAAAAAAAATTTATAAATTACCTAAGCTAAAAAAAAAATTTAAAGCAAAATGAATTACAAACTAACTAACGTTTTCCTCAAGTTTCATGGTGAAAAATGAATTAAAATATCGGGATTCTAAATACCACTTACAAATGCATGGTGACAACTGCCGAAACGGCGAAAAAATAACTTATATTTACGATAAATTAAGCACAAATAAAATGCATCGAGTAGTGATTATTTAAATTCGCATTACATCGTAGTTAAAGTAACGGGATATTTTATTTTATAACCGTTGTTGAACAGCCGACCCAATTTTTCTTGGCTTTACGACTACTAATGTTCAACTCGGTAGCCTTGTAATTTTGAACCCAATGCAGAAGACAAGGGAACTCCTGGATCAAGTTTTAGGACAAATTTGCTTTCCTGGAGGACTTTTTAATGAAACTAACTTGCCTTTCCGTTACATGGAGAGGAAGACCACGAGAACATACCACAGTTAGCCTAACGACAAGGGAACTCTAACCCATGATCTGTCTACCACTGAGGATATTTCACGTCAGTACTGTGGAATTAGTAGTTACAAGTGCCAAAAAACGATCTTACAGAGTTCCCACTCTTTTAACAATGCAAAAAATTAAGGACTTTTTTTTGGAAAGATTAAGAACTTTTTTGAAAAATTAAGAACCTTAAAAATAGTATGATTGTTTATTATTGAATAGATATGTACCACCAGTAACAGAGTCAATTACTTACCTTTCTGAGAAAAAATCAATAAATAAAAAAAATAATTTTATTATAATGTAGCACTGATATAATTGTTTTAATTAACAGTGTTTGCCAAAGTAGGATCAGGCAATTTCTGCAAACCAGGGTAGTTTTTTTAAAAATATTTTCAGATTGTTAAGGGTTAAAGACATCTATGAAACTAATACGTATTCTATTTTTGATGATTTAATTCAAATGTAAAATTAAGTGCAGAAATTAAGATTTGCAATTTTTTTCAAATATTAAAAAAATAATAGTTAAGAAATTTGGGAAAAACATTGAAAAAATTATTAAAATAAATTTTTATATTCAGTTGGGCCAAAAAAAATTATTTCTTTTCTATTAACCAAATGCTTCATTCAAAGAATTAATACAAAAAAGTTGAATTAAAGTTATGCAAGAGAGTAATTTTCTTAACTATCTCATGTTAAATTAAGTCTCATTTCAAATAAAACAGGCTGTACTAATATCTAAGCACCTTAAATCATTCCACTTTTTTTCATCAGGCTTTACTTAATTTTTCTTAAAAATTCATTGCAATAAATATTTTAATGAAAATTTTTATAGAAAAAAATACAATTATATTTAAGAAGATTTATAATTTTGAAACCAATATGTTTTTTATATTAGTTCTCAGTGAAACATATAAATAAAAGGGTCTAAAAAGATTTTTCAAAGACCTATGACAGTTACTACACATTCCTAAATCGATAAGGTTCGTTAATTAACAAATACTGATAAATTATTTATTTTTTGCCTACTTGTAATACTTCGTTATCATCCTCTATCATTCTTAGTATTATTCTCCACTATTATTAACATTTGATATTTTATTTTTATCGCAAAATTTACAGTTTAAAACTGAAAGTGGTAGTCTTTTATTATAAAGTAACCCTGTAAAAAATTGTTCCTATCAAGTATAGTGATGATGAGAAATTAAGGACTTTTATTTTCCAAAATAATAATTAAGCAGTTTTTAAGGACCGTGGGAACCCTGATCTAAACATCACTTGGATTTATGATGAAATGGGCAAAAGCAAAACGCGTCAAAAAGTGATTTAAATGTGCAATTTCAAACTCTCATGTCTTAATAATAAAATTAATTTTCTATTTTGAATCAAACTTGACAAAACAAGGTTTTAGAAGAAACTCTTTGACATAGGAATTCAAATTAACATTAGGTGGATAGATAATACTACGGAGAAAAATATTTTTTTTTTTTTTGTTGACATAACAAGGCTTTCAAGATATCCAGAGTATACTGTACAGTACAGAACCCGTTATCCGGAAATCAGAAAACCAAAAAACCGGGACGAAGTTCGATAAATTTTCTCGCCATTTAAAAAAAAATTTTTTTTCTTCTTTCTCATAAGATTTTAGGATTTTTCTTTCTTTTTTGAAAGGTGTTTACCTTACGATCATTTTGGAAATAATCATTAATGTATTACTTCATCGTTTTTTCTTCTTTTTAAGATTATTTCCAAAAATTTTGTTTTTTAGTTTGGTTTAACAATTAAGAAAACGGCTTTTTGCAGCGACTCAGAAAACCGAAAAAATCAGTTATCCGGAATAGCGATGGTCCCGATAGTTCCGAATAATCGGTTCCCTACTGTATTATGATAAAATGACAGTATATTAAATGAAAAATTTTAATACCAAGATGTAATTTTTAATTATCCGATAACTACAAATGTAATCTACCTTAGTACATCTTTTAAAATTTGCAATACTCAGTGAGAAATTTTATCTTATAATCAATGTTGAACACCAGATTCATATAGCATTTTGCTGTCCTTAATGTTACAATCCTATCTCCAAACGATATCGTTTGGTTCAAAATCCAAACGATTTTGAGCCCCAAAAGATAAATTAACTCTGACATCATGTGCTAAACAAGGGAAAATGTAAGTTTTTTAAAAAAAAATTTCTGTTGAAACTAACACATATTTGCGCGTCACTGAAAAAAAAAAAAACTACGACAATCTCCAATGGTTATCAAGGTAGTAGAAGAACTTTAACCACACTGGTTGAAAATTGAATTTATTGAGCTAATGAGTGAGAAACAAGTTTTCTAGAAAAACTAAAGTTTAAAGTTATTGACAGCTAATTTTATTATGACATTCTCATAATGTGTAAACTAGTAATAGCACCAGAATAATTAATATGTGATTTGTAAGAAAATATTTCTATAAAAGTGTAATTGTCTCAAATGCGGAGCTGCTGTAATAGTAGGTTAGGAAGGACCTTGATTTTCTTGGAATTTTAGGGGCCACCGAGACTGAAGTAATTCAAAAAAGGATTAAATTATTTTTAATATTGCAAATTTTCGTTACAGTTTCAATCATATTAGATGATAATCTAATTTGATATTGGAGAATATAGTCTCTACATTTTTTGGTGGCAGATTCCAAGAGATAAAAATTATTCATAGAATTAGGAAAAAGCTATAGGTACTTAACAATTATTTCAAAGTGAAAAATCAATATATCATTTATAAAATTATATCATTGATAAAATTAATCAATAGTCTAGAATTTAAAAAAAGAATTATAGAATTTTTAGGAATGAAATTTTAAAAGAAAGAAAAATCCAGCTTACTTATTTCTTGTTATAGTTCCATAATTAGGAAAACAATTATGGAAGTTCTAAGTAATCAATTTCCCTAGTGGTTTTGAACAAACAGAAAATTTAAAGGGTGTTTTTTTTTTCTTTTCAAGAGTAAAACTAAGCATAACAACAGTTATTTTGTAAATGCCAGAAGACACAGACGCAAAAAAAATAAATAATGCACAGGCTGATAGTACATTTTTTTGTATGCATACAAAATATAAATAAAACTAAAATAAAAAAAATCATTGAAAATGATTATAAAAACTAATTTTTATGCGTATCACAATGAGACTTGAAGGAATTAAAGTCACTAAAAAGAAGTTTACATATTTCACAGATATGCCTGCCAAAATGTCTTTTATTTGAATGAGTGCGTAAGGTTCTTTCAGTTTTATAAAACTTCTTGCACACCGTACAAGAATATGGAGTTATTGCTGGTGACATAACCGAAGAATTAGGAGATTCTTTGGAGGTCACATTAGTTTTATATGGAGTTATTGTTGGTGACATAACCGAAGAATTAGGTGATTCTGTGGAGGTTATATTTGTTTTAGAGTGTTTCTTTAAATGCTTGGTAAGACTTGATTTCTGGGCAAAGCCTTTATCACAAATTTCACAAGCAAATTTGTGTTTATCATTTAAAACTCCACCATAGCGTAGTAATCTGTCGATTAAGAATTCACCCTCCGAACATAAGTTACACTTATGTTCGGTATAAGTAACTTTGAGTTCTTGAATAATTTCTATCTCCGAATCACTATCACTAAGAGAAACATTCAATTCTTTATTACTGTTTTCAGCATCACCTGAAATAAATGAAAACTATTAATCAATATATATATATATATANAAAAAATTTGAACGTCTTACATGAAGAAACCTTACCTACGGTGAAAGCGTGGTTGCAGAGAAATGTGTTCTGAAAGGGGTTCCGTGGTTGTGTTCTGTTGTTCGAAAAGGTTCTGAACAATACTGGTAAATAGGGAAGCTAGATAATGGGGCAGATGTTGAAAATAATGAAAGATCCAGGAAGAAAAGTTAAACGGATTTTATTCTAAATGGCGTAGTTCGAAGTTTTTTCCAAAATGCGAGAAATTCACGAATTTTGAAACTGATTCTTAGAATGCGCGAATTTCTCGCTGTAATATTTTATAATACGAGAAAAGAAAAAAATATGCAAGATTCTCGCGCTGTAGTGAAAACACTGTTAGTTTATTCATATAATATGAACTATTTTTCAACTGTAGTCGTAAATTAATCACTTGACAGTTAAACCAATAAATATAATTAATATTAGGACTTAAGGCCGTAAGTTTTTTAAAAATAGATTCTCAAAAGATAATGTTTATAGATAGTTGGACTGTTCTAAGTAGAACTCAGATTTGATTGAAGGACACTACAAGCTACCATACATCACATTTTTAAAAAATGAGGTTTTCTCTTACATGTTTGAAGACTTTTTAACCAATAAATATAATTAATATTAGGACTTAGGAATTAATATTAGGTTATTAATGCTTAGGACTTAGGAATTAATATTAGGTTAAACCAATAAATATAATTAATATTAGGACTTAAGGCCATAAGTTTTTTTTAAAATAGATTCTCAAAAGATAATGTTTATAGATAGTTGGACTGTTCTAAGTAGAACTCAGATTTGATTGAAGGACACTACAAGCTACCATACATCACATTTTTAAAAAATGAGGTTTTCTCTTACATGTTTGAAGACTTTTTAACCAATAAATATAATTAATATTAGGACTTAGGAATTAATATTAGGTTATTAATACTTAGGACTTAGGAATTAATATTAGGTTAAACCAATAAATATAATTAATATTAGGACTTAAGGCCATAAGTTTTTTAAAAATAGATTCTCAAAAGATAATGTTTATAGATAGTTGGACTGTTCTAAGTAGAACTCGGATTTGATTGAAGGACAATACAAGCTACTATACATCACATTTTTTAAAAATGAGGTCTTCTCTTACATGTTTGAAGACTTTTTTATTTTTTGTTGTATGAACTCTTTAAGGATAACTGGCACATAAACAAAATGTTTTTTATTTTTTCAAATAAGTCAGAAAATTAAAATAATTCTTAAAAAATTGGCTGTCATAGATAGAACATGAACTGCCCTGTTGGTAGATATATGGCAAAATTAAGAACTTCAGCACAGTATTTTTAAAAGTGGTTACTTTTTCAGAAATTTAAAATTTTATACAATTAAAAAAGCGGTTGATATTAATAATGCATTGCATTTCTCAAAATATGATATTAATTTTTCATATTCGTTCATTTTCTTAAGCATGAAATCGACTTCCTCCGCCAAATATTATGTAAGTTAGACGGTGACTGGAAGGCAATTCATTAAACGCCATTTTTAAGTATTTAGCCTCGCTGTGACTGCTGGCGACTGTACATTTTGCCCTATATTGGTAGAGCCTTTGCCTACCGTAGCTTGTCACTGTCTGTGGGATTGTAATTTCTCTCTTCAGATCTTAATGGTTCTAAATTCACTTGAATGCAATTTCTGTAAAAACCACAAACCATTATTGAGCATGGTATAATGGGGGATTACCACCACAACCTAAACTCAAATTTTAATAATGCTAGTAAAATTAAAGCAGAAACCGGCATGTCATTTGATCACTAAGGATGGATTCCAGGCAATACGAGCCCATTAATGCAGCTCTAATGCAATGTTAACTTTCAATTTGTAAAACATTGGATAGGATTAACAGTAAAGTTTTTAAAAAATCAAAATATAAATTGGTATTATTCTCTGCTAATCTACAAGCATTGACAGAAAAAATAATGTTTGTACATTCATTATATGACAAAACATTTATTGATTTTCATATTACTTTTAAATTTTGATATTATAAATTCAGATACGCGTAACTTCCAACTTTCTTACTTTGCTACAATTTGGTAAAATCTTTTTAAACTAATCTACAAGTTGGTACATAAGAAAATAAGGCTATTGCGAAATAAGGGAAGTAAAACAGTTTCATGTCTTTAAAATAATAATAAAAAAAGGGTTATATATACAATAACTGATTCAGTAAAAAAAAACTTTACACAGATTTTGTCAAAATTGATGATGATAAAGTTAGCAAATACGAGAATTAACAAATTGTCAGCAGAAACTTTTTTAACTTAGCTTATGTGTTTGTAGAAATTTTTTTTAATTAAAAATTTGTGTTTGCAGAAATTTTTTTTCTTTCTTTCCTTTTACACAAAGAGTGCGAACAACTGCCAATACATACACTTATTTGAATAAAAGCCTGAGAGAATACTTTAGCGGGGAAAGATTTCTGTATTGTGATGTGTGACAGAATAATTGCAGACTTAACAACTTCAGAGCAACGGCCTGCAAGACACTATTAAAAATTCACAGAAGGTGATCAATTCAAAGGGTATAACTTGTAGCCGTTAGCAGGGAAATCTCTAAACCTTTTCTAAACAAAAATATGCAAGTTTGAAATCCATTTGGTGCCTTTGCAGTTATCATTGGTGAGAAAGATTGACATACAGAATTATCCGCTAAAACTATTTAAATACGAAAGAATTTTTTTTTCGCAAGATGTTGGGAATCAATATATACAGTGATGAATAATATTTTGCAATAGGGTGCCCTATTTTTGGCACCAAGATTAGTGCGAGAAAGTAATAGATTTTTTTAAGCAGACCCCCACTAAATGTCAAGCCTTTACGTCCAATTTCAGATCCCTATAGGGGGATATTTCTGAGTAGTGATTTGTTACGGCAACTACAATCGCCAAGGGACCAAATTGATTTTAAACTTGCATATTTTTTGAAAAAAATTTGCAGAGATATTCCTAGTTAGGCTACGAATTATACCTTTTCAGCTGGCCACCTTTTGAGATGTTTTTGTTAGAGTCTCGTGGACCATTGGCCAAAAGTTGCAGAGACTCGGCGATTATTCTGCTGAAAATCACGATGCGGAAATTTTTCTATTGGATTTCAAAATCATAAAGATTGTTGTAATCATCAAGTTTTAACTGTAGATGTTTAAAAAACCTGTACAGGGAATAATCCATTACTAAAAGTTTTAAAAATCAGTTATATAGAAAAGGAAAGGCTATAGAATTATTATTAATAGTTATAATCACTCACCATTTAAATTTAATGAAGCTTCAGCCATAACTTTGAATACAACACTATGAAAACATGCAGAACAGACGAGACCGCGGGGAGAAATTTGTTTATATTATTGTTACGTTTTGTTGCCAAACTACAAGTACAGTTAAAAGATTTTTAATTAAATGAAATAATTTCGATCAAATTAGAATTTATTCGTCAAAAATCGACAAAATTTAGAAGAGCATAGCTTTAATTTTTTTTCCTCAAGTAAACGAGAAAATCTCTAAAAAGAAATTTCTGTAAGCTGCAAGCTAGTTTGATGCTAAACCATAACAGAAAGTAAATAAATAAACAAAATGGTTTCTGTTTCTAGTTGCGTATCTGAATTGAATAATTTTAGAATAAATAATATCTATCTTTCTATTTAATTAAAATGAAATCAGGAATGCTAGATATCAATCGGCTTTGTTAATTGAAATTTGTCACAGAAAGGTTAATAACAACGTAAAGTAAGTTAACTTTTTATAAAATATATTGTCATGTTCTCAGTTATGAGAAATATTTAACATTTTTTCAATGTCATTCTGATATTTGATCATTTTTTTCAATTAAGATTTTAGAAAAATTAATTTTAATGTGGTGATACTTGAATTTCATTTTTTTTTTAACGTTTCACTGTTATGTAAAACATACTGTTGTGTAAGCTACATTAGACGGTTTTTCTGATGTTTTTCCTTTTTTCAAGTAATTTATTAAAGATAAATTTTTAAATTAATTTTTGCATTTTGGAAATATCATATTTGATTTTTAGAGGAAAAGAGGCTATTTTCCTTTTTTAACCTCTGCAGTTGCTGCCTTTTTTTAATGGAAATTGTTGTAAAAAATAACTTTATATCATATTAATCATTTCCTTCATCTCCTAACAACACAGCATTCTTAATGACATCTCTTAAATAACACAGCATTCCTCAAAAACATTAATTTGATTCCAGCAACTCTTCTCAATTAATTTTATTTCATATACCCAAGTTCTTCATGCACAATACACCAGACTTAATTTATGAGAATTCGCTCTGCAATATCAGTATTGATGATCATAATTCTTAAATGCTTTTCAATTCTTCCTAAATTCTGAACATATTTTAAAATATTGTACAATGAAGGATAAATCTTATATAGTATGATATACAATTGTTGGAAATGTAAGGAAAACACAGGGTATCCGCGTACCTGGAAAGTCATGAATTACAGCATTGAACAAAATTTGTCATGAAATGTCATGATTTTAACTATCTTTTTAAGAAAAATCATGAAAAGTCATGGATTTAGGTCGCCAAAAAATCTAATTTTTAAAATGGAATTTACCTCCTCCATACACATCATGGTGTTCCGAATGTCTGAATTTGCAACAAAATCCCCTCTCACAGTCATATTTGATTAAAATATAAAATGTTTTTATCCGTGTTCTTTAAAAATTATGGTGTTCTTTCCAAAAATGAAAGAAGAAAACTTTTCTAGAGGGAATTATCTTTTAAACTTCTGATTGCAGAATTTTTGTTATTATTTTTTATTTTATAAATTTAAAATTCTAGCTAAAGCTAGCCAAGCAAATTTTTTTTATTCCGAAATGAGAACAGAAAAATCAGGAGTATTTCTTTCCTTTCCGATGACCAAGAAAAGTATCTGCAGAAAAAAAGAGGGAAAAAAATTTTTGCTTTTGGATTTTTTTCCAGTTATTATATTGCTTCAACTCTTTCTTTACCAGGGCTCGAAAAAACTCAGAAATTTTACTCATCCCCGAGGACGGCTTGTCCAACAATGTACCCGTCCTCCTTTGAAACTAACCCGTCGCTTCTAAATAAATAAAAATATAATTTTCTCTTATTTATTACAAACATTTATATAAATTGCACAATGAATTAGTAGTTACTAGGATTACAAATACTAGGATTACATTATACAGTAATAAAAGAAATACTAGGTTACTAATTGTAAAACCTAGTATTTCTATTATGAAATAATTTAAATAACTATGGTTAAGTTATCTGTCAATTATCATGTCAATTTATCCGATGATACTACGTTTTTTAAATGAGTCAAATATGATGTTTGCCAGTTCCACAATCAAGCCAATGATTTACAGAGGTTTCTGCACAGAAATCTGAAAGAGGTTTTCCTTTTAGGTAGATGTTCAGAAATGCGTTTAACGCTTCTTGTTTAAGACCAGTAAATAATGTTCTTTTTTTGTAAGTTCATTGCTGAAAAGCCCCTTTCAACCGCTGCAGTACTCCCAGAAAGAGAAAACATCAATTCCTCTATGCGCAGCATGTTGCTGTATTTCGAGATTAGAGGGTCATTTTAGAAGAGAGGCGCTAGACTCTTGTAAAATAACGAAAATTGAAAATGTATCACGAACATTAACGGGAAAATGGCCGTCCGTGCGGACGCTGGATTCGAGAAGTTTGTTGTCCGCGGGGAATTTTTACCCGCCGAGGACGGGCGGTTTTTCGAGCCCTGTTTTTTACCCTGTTTTTTAATTTCAAAAATTTATAAATATGAAGATGCAAAGTATAACAGTTATGGTTATACCTATCATTTCAATGAATGTTATTTCAATGAATGATTATAATACTTTTTTTAATTTATTGTTGTTGTTTTTTTGTCGGGGAAAATAGTAACTTCGTTAAGTCATGAAAAATTCTTGGAATTAATCATAGAAAGTCATGAATTTGAAAATCTAAAATGAAGCAGATACCCTGAAAACAGTAATTGCAGAAACAGATGTATTGCAGACTTTCTGTTGTTGTACTAATTAGTTCAAGTTAATATTTACTTTTATTTCATGTATTGAAAGTGTTTGCAGTGTGTTATAAAATTTGTAATAAATTTTATTTTTTTAATCAAATATCTCACAGTAAAGCCAAAACGCAACTATACATGTACTGAAATAAAATTGGAAATATACATGTGTCAATAATGTTTAACAACTGTTTAGTTAGTTTTTAAAATTGATAGGGGTGATAGTATTCTGGTTGTATCCCTGAATTCTGGGTCTAATAACTAGAAGCAGTTCATGTGATCTTGAACAATATCACCGAAAAAGACCATTGGTTTGTGAACTTCAGCAAATTAAAAAATTTTTAACTTTTGCTAAACTCTGTTAATGAGACATTTACATACATGTAATTCTTCTGCCAATTTGATTATTTTGCTTTGGTGAATTTTTTTCCATTTTGAATGTTTGGAACTGTGTTGAAATCTGTTTCATATTGTGATTCTTACTCACGTGATTTTAATGTCAAACATGGATTTTCATCTTTACTTAAATTAAAAGTTATGCTTTGCGATTCCTATTCGCGCGATAAAAAAATCCAATATCACGATTTTTATTAGCACTTTTTTAAAATCCAATATCGCGTTTCATTTTCATGCGAATTAAAACTTAAATGTTGCAATTCATAGGCACACGTTTTTGAAATACATTATTATGATTCATATTCACTTGGTTGTAATATCAAACATCGATTTTTGTATTTATCCGTACTTTAAAAAATACGCATTGCGATTCATATTCACGCAACCTCAAAATTATTTTCCGGATTTGTATTCAGGCAAATCAAAAATTTCATATCGTAATTTATATTTTCGCGTTTTTAAAATCCCATTTCGCTATTTATATTAATGTGATCATAAAATTCAATGTCGGGATTCATATTCACGCAATTTTAAAATTTAATGTCGAGATTCTTGTAAGAAATAAGTTTTTTTCTTGAATTAGTTACTATAAAAGAGTGATATTCTTCATTAGTAGGTAATTTAATTCTAAATGTTTGTTCAAAAAATTATGTACATAAACTTAATGTCGAGATTCTAATAAAAAATAAGTTTTTTTCATGAATTAGTTACTATAAAAGTGTGATATTTTTCATTAGTAGTTAATTTTATTCTAAATGTTAGTTCAAAGAGTTATGTTACATAAACTTAATGTCGAGATTCTTGTAAGAAATAATTTTTTTTCATAAATTAGTTACTATAAAAGTGTGATATTCTTTATTAGTAGGTAATTTAATTCTAAATGTTTGTTCAAAAAATTATGTTACATACGAAACATGTATGGTATATAAATTTATATTTTGATTTTAGTTTTATACCCATAAAATTTTCAGGGTTTTTTATTTTGTGTCACAATTACTCCTGATAAGATGTTCTTATTTATTATTTTTTAATTAACAACTAGTTTTTATTTATTTATTTTTTTAATAAAATTTACTTTCTTTTTCAGAATGGTATCTATTTTCGGTGCGAATTCGATGTTAATCAGCCCATCCAAACATTTTCTTAGACTTTGCCATCCATTAGGAGCTTTCTTTGGTGCCAAAGATGGACACAAGACAATATTCGAATCAAAGCAGCTTTCTACTAATTCTGTACCTCAATCAGTACAAGTTATCATTTGCGGAGCTGGTGCCGTTGGAAATTCTGTTGCCTATCATATGAACCAAAATAATTGGAAGGATATTGTAGTGTTGGAGCAAAGCAAGTTAGAAAACTTCTGCAGACTTACTGATTTTTTCAATTTATACAGATAATGATTATTTTTAAAACATCAGATTTATAATTTTTAACAAATTTATTTTTGGCCCTAGATATGATTACTGGTTACATTTGTAATTTTGTTAGCAGATTCATCTTTAAGGAAAAAAAATTAATTTAATAATTACAATATATTCTTATCTGAGCTGTGATGGCTCAGGGGGAAGCGCTCTCCTTCCAATTAGGTGAACTGGGATCAAATCCCAGCAATGGCTGAACAATACGAACTTCGCATCTGGCTTGCACCAACCACAATGTTGACATACAATATTCTACATTGTAGATGGATCATGAATTAGAGTGTCCTTGCCCTCAGACTAACCATGGGAGGTTTTAGTGGTTTTCCACTTTATGTAACGACAATGGAAGTTAGTTCCGCAAATAGTCCTCTGTGAAGGTAATTTTCTCCCAATACTTGATCCAATAGTTCCCTTGTCTTCTGGATTGGGTTCAAAATTACAAGGTTACAGAGCTGAACTTTAGTTGTCGTAAAATAAGGTATGCACAACCTTTTTCATTTAGTGGGTCACAGAAACTTAAGAAATGCTATGTTGGGAGCAAACATAAGTAACGTAAAACTGTAATTGTACAAATTAACTTACGGTGTATTTATATCTTAATTTTAAGTAACCTGTATATACGTTGTAATATGTAAAATAGGCAAAATTTTGCATTTCTGTGCAAGTGCAGAAATCATAGCCATAAATTAAACTTGTAAAAAGAAATTATTGCAATCAAGTTCAGAGTTGTGCTAAAGCAATAAATAAATAAGAAAACTTATATGACCAGTGCAAAAATTTTATTAAAGGAAATTAGCTTTCTAATACAGCTTTTTTTTTTCAAGGCAGAATAAAACTTTTATTTTCCTTATTTTTTGTATTTTTATTAAGATTTAAAACTGTTCAGGGACCAAGTCTCACACATCGAGAGTCAGTGTTGACCCGCAGGCTATAAGTTATGCCTCCCTGCCCTAAGCCATTTTAAAGTAGCATTAAAGTATCTATTATTAAAAATTATATTGTATTATACTCTAAAAAATTATAACTTATTGTCATTGATATTACTTCTGTTATTTTTAAAAAAATTATTGGTCTTCAATTTTAATAGCTAATGTCTTGATTAGTATCAGTAATATTTTAAGAAATTAACTAGTGAGTTATTAAAATGTATATGAAAAATCGTTTAATTATGATATGATATCATTGAAAATTAATGAAAATCTTTAGTTTAAAATTGGAGGATTTAAACTGAGAGAAGGTTTTAATTATTTTATGAGAAATCTTTGTATTTTGTGATTAAATGCTTCATTTGTCTCTTAGAATTGGTAGTGGTGATTCTTGGCGGAGTTGTGGCATTGTTGGCCATTTTCATTCTACTACTGAAGGTCGTTTGACAACATACAGCTCTGAGTTATATAAACAATTACAGAATGAAGGTCATGATATTGGTAAATATAGGTTTTTTAGATAGATATTTATGTATGAAATATGACAGTATGAAATTTTTGTAGTGTTTTAGTTTTTTTTATATATGAAATATTAGCGTTGGTTGAAACTTTTTGAATTTTATTTAATTCGCTAATCACAGATAGCCGGTTTATTTTTTTTACTTTCTATTCTGTTTTTGTAATCAATTATTTTTACTTTTATTAGTTTATGTTTATAGGAATATGTTGAAAGTGTTCAAAATTTTGTGAATTTCTATAGACTTTCATTATTACATAGCTCTTAGCTGACCAATGCTGCCATATAAGCAGTATGGAACTTTTACTTCCCATGTTGTGTATATGGTGAAAAAAATCAATAATTCATTATTTTATCATTTTTATTATTATTCTGCAAATTGTGAAACTACGATTATACATTGGGAAGAAGCAAAACTTAAAGTATTTTTGGACTGTTCAGGGTTAAAATAATTAAATTTAAAATAAATCACAAAAAATATCAATTTTTTACATTTTACCCTTGCCATTAATCATAATTATTTAAAGCATTATTATTTAAATTTAGAAATTTTTCTCAAATGTTTGTATAAATAACTTGAAATAATTATAATTGTTATGCTTTTTTAAATATACTTATGTTGAAAAGTATCAAATTCAAATTAATATAAGTTGCCACTAGGTAGCCTCTCAGTGTCCAAGGCAATTTATTTATTTTCTTTTTAAAAATTTATAAATTAAATTAAATTTGTCTGTTAAATTTATTTATAAAGCAATGTTTTCTTATATTGAACATGTTTTTTAAAGGGTACAGAACAACAGGTTCTGTTAATATTGCCAGAACAAAAGAAAGAATGATAGAATTAAGAAGACTTGAAGCTGAAGCAAGGTAATAAATATATAACAAGGTTTTATTTTCTTTTAAAGATTTTATTATGTATGAATGCTTTTTGTTTTTTACAGCCTTAATTTTTGTATTAAAAAAAAGTATTTATTTGCAGTTCGCTGACACTTCTTGAAACTATAAAACTAATTTTTATATCATACAGTGAGGTTTAGCTTTATATGAAATTTGGTGCTATATAGATGTTTCCATGTATCATTAAACTTCCCTTCTAAACATGGCAATATATCTAAGAAACTGATAAATATCAATGCATTAAAATAATTTTTAAGTAGAAATACTTTGAAACACAAAAATATACACTAAAATAATTATTATTTATGGAATATTATCTTTAAAAGTAATAATTATTATTTTTAGAATATCATTAGACTTACCTTCTAAGCATGGCAATATATCTAAGGAACTGATAAATATTAGTGCTTTGAAATAATTTTTAAGTATAAATACCTTAAAACAGAAAAATATACACTATAATTATTAATTAATGGAATAAAATTGAAATTATTTGGAGTATTAAAAATAAAATGAAACAAAATTATCAATTTTGCTTTGCTTTCAAGAATGAAAAGTTGATGTGACACATGAAGAATTGCAGTTAATCTTCTATATAAAATTTTATTCACTTACATACAAGAAGATTCTATGTAATTTTGACTTGTTAAATTCTATTAAGGAGACATAAGGAAACATAATGTTTGAATCTACAAAAAGGAGGGTACTAAAAGAAAGTGATTATTTTATGGCCACATCATTCACGAAACTTGAATATAATGATATTTCTAGTTCAGTCCTTTTAAGAGACAACAGTTTGTGCCAAACCTTATGAGAATATAGCATTCCCCCTCCCAAAATAATAATAATTCTTTATTAGAATTAAAGAACAAAAATATCATTTATTAATTAAGTTGCGGCCCATTGTAGAAAGTGTAATGACTTGTTCCTTGAACCCAATCTTTTTCATGAATGCAAAGGTGTCCATTTTGAAAATTTCTAATTATGTATTTTAGGTAGTAATTTTTTAAAATATGTTTTTGGAATATATTATTGTTGATATAATAAGCATTAAAGTAGTATATGTGTTTTTTCTTTTTATACTTTCACAGCCTTTAATTTTGTTACAACTAAATTATTACTATATCATTTGTATTTGGAGAAGCATAGTCCCATTACTAGCTTCTATGTGACATGAAAATAAGTATATTCATTCTATTTCAATAGCAACTTTTATATAATTACGTTTTCATTATTGATTTCAAATATCATATAACTCTCATTCTACTATATCATATTTTTTACTGTTAATACCATATTTACTTTTTACCCTTGTCAGGATCCATGGAATCAAGTGTGAGATTTTAGATTCAAAATCAATCAAGAAATTTCATCCTTTTGCCAAAACAGAAGATCTAGAAGTAAATGCAAATTATATCTTTAAGTGTTTTTGAACTAGTTATTGAGTTTTGTTTGTAAGTGGTTTATATATATTTTTTGTCCACCTTCGCAAATTTTGTCACTGATTTTAATTTATATCAATGGCGAATTTTGTAATTGTAGTAAATGTATAACGGTGAAAATTTTGTTTAAGTCATTACTCACGCTAAAAGTGGTATTGTTATTTAGTATACTAGGAGACTTCTCTTTCATAACCCCATGGTGGTCTTTTATTCATCTTTGTTTTTTCTGTAAAATTCGACACTTTAAAAAAAGATCATTTTGTTCATAAAATATGTAATTAAAATATAATATATAATGAAAATAGAATATGTAATTAAAATATAATATATAATTTAAATATAATATATAATTTAAGTATAATATATAATTTAAATATAATATATAATTTAAATACAATATATAGTTTAAATATAATATATAATTTTATATTAGAAAATTTCGTTCATTGTTATACGATGATCAAATACTTGAATTTGAAAAATAATTAGTTGCACTTGAAACGAAGATTTTTAAACTGAGGAATATGGTATGTGTGGTAAAAGTAATAAATGAGATGTAATTCAACTTGTTAATGTTATATATTAACCTATAATATTAACAGTCATTATTATAATGTTAACAATCTTAATTGTTATAACAATTCAAATTGCAAAAGGTTGTTATCTCGCTAAAGACATTTATATTTTAAAAATTTTTGATTTAAATGCATTGATCTATATCTGGAAACATCTGATCGCTTTTAATTATTTCTTTTACTTATTTTTTTATCCATATTTTCGTTACTATTCAAGTCAAGTTGGTGCTAATACAATGGTGATTTCAAGGAAAATAAATTTTTTGACAACAATGTTGCATAAATAATCATTATTCAAATTAAAAATAGTGGGAAAAATTCACGAAAAGAGTACTTAAAATTACAATAACTTTAAAACAAATTGTAATTTTCCAAGAAAAAAAAACTTACATTAAGTTTATGAATTAAAATAGCTTTTTAAATTCTGGAAAAAGTACCGAAAAGTAAAAGTACTGTTAAAGAACCAATCTGAAATCAAGAACCAATCTGGAACCGAAGAATCAACTATATTAATGAACAGTTTGTCATAAAATCTTATGTTTGAATAAATGGGTTTTATTTCTATATTACCCCAATCACCTCAGTTCTTTTAATATAGGTATTTTTTAATTGTGATTAAGTGTTTTTAATTTTTTGTTATTTTATAGTTTCATTTTTTTAATGATTTTTTAATTTTTTCTTTTTATTATTTTAAAATATGTTCTTTTTTTAAAAAAAATCTTAATTTATATAAATTTTGGATTTATTCAATGCTGAATTAGTTATAATTTTTTTAAAATCATCTGCAGAATGATCTGCAGAACCCTCATAAAGGTGGATCAAGTGGAGCATTTGCTTAAGGCTCTGCACTTTTAGGACTCATAAAATATTAAATAAAAAAAATTAAAAATTTTAATTTTTTATAAAAAAATATTTTATGGATGAAAATTAAGCTTTCTTAACTGTTTCTATAATATTTCTTAGGCGTCGCTCTTAAAGACAGTAGTGTATGCACTTCTAGATACCATAAAACTCAAAATCGTTGAAATATAAAATTAATATACATTTAAACATTTTTCTGTGAACATATAAATGGAGTCTATAGCTGAAAACTTTTATTTTTCTAAAAACCCTATGAATGATATATTATTGATAAAAATTAAATGGTAATGTAAATTTGAAAATTAGATATAAAAAATTATTACAAAAAGTTATGTTGTGCATTTTTAGTGATAAATTGATTTCGACGTAACATATTTCATTTAGCATAGAGGATCTCTGTACTGAAGAAAGAGAATATTTAAAGGTACCGTTTTCTCCAGGACCACACAAAATTTGAATTTTAAAATTTGATGAAAATCTGAGTTATTTAATATAAGTTAAGAAAGATAATATTTAGCTTTTAAGGATATATTCTAGATAGAAATTTAGTGAAAGAAGGTGCCAAGTAACAAATTAAAAGAGCATAAAATCAGGGTTTAGAAACAAGCCTTGAACAGCTGTATCTAAAGAACATAAATATCATTGTCTATGCTGTTCAATAATGTGGCTAAAAATGAAAAAATTGTATTATGTTAAAAAAATTTTACTGTTCTTAATTTTTTTTTCTCTGATGTGTTAAGTGATTCATTGAAATATAATTTAGAACCTGCTTTCACGTATCTCTATTGTCATTAGTAAATGTAAATTATGAAAAAATTTTATTTTACATGACTATTTTAACCTACTTATTATTAAAAATATTTCTTTTAGAAAAATGTACGACATTAGTTTTACCCTTGCTTCATGGTAAATAATATTATTTATCAAAATTATTCAAAATGTTGTAAATTTAGCTATCCATTGCTTGAATGTAATATTTACCTGTATGTGTTTAAATATTTTGGAATAAAAATTTTTTTTCAATAATATTGTAAAGTTAAAAATGACAAATTCAACTATGATTGTATGAGCAATTAAGTGTTTATACATATCTTTATGTTTCCAGGGTGGTATATGGGTCCCAAATGATGGAGTTGTTAATCCTCTTAGTGTTTGCAATGCTTTAGCAAAAGTGTCACAAGATAAAGGTATTAGTGTTAACATATATTTTGCCACTTTATTTAAACATTTCTTTATATTTGTGTGATTGATTTTTTTGTACTTGATTACTTAACGTTCTAAATAGTTCACTTTTTTTTATTGGCATTTATGAATATTAGTTAGTATATATTTCAGATCGAATCAAAACTCTACTGCTTATATATTTATATGTATGCGAATTTGAATAAAAATATGATAATTATTTTTTAAACGTGTAACCCTGGTTTTTCATTAATTTCTTTCTTTTTTGTTGTTGCTATATTAGAGCGTATTAATTAAGTCATTTGAGGAGGAAAAAAGATCATTTTTTAAAAAAAACATTTGTATGATTTTGCAAAAAAAATATTACTTCTTTTAAAATGTTAAGTCATTTTTACATCAAAACTTAAAAGTAGTGAAAGTAGAATTTATTCATAATTTATAAGTAATTGCTTGGACAATAAGTATTTTATTTTTCTTAGTGTCTATTCTCTTGAAGTCTAATCTGTACACACATCAATATAATAGCATTTTAAAAAAAAATTTTTGTCTGTTTTTTAAAAGCTATTTGTGATACTTTTATAATTTTGCATTAAAATATCAAATGATAGTTTGAATAAAAAGGCATTATTTGATACTTTTTTGTAAAATGTTACATAGTTGCTAATTCTTAATTTTACCATGCTGATTATTTACTTATGAATATATTTTTTGATAACCATATTAATTATCAAGCATTTATTTTATTATTATATTATCAAATATTGGTATTGGAAGATATATTCATCAAAAATAATAATTATTTTAATTTTGATAAATATTTCTTTAGATAATTATGCCAAACTATGTAAATTTTTATAATTGTAATTTTGCCTATAAATATATCCTTTGATAATTTTGTGCTATCTAAAGAATTTCATGAAGAATAAATTAAATTCTTCATCCATCGCATTGCTTAATCATCACTGCAATTTATAACAGAAATATATTACTCAATGTTTTTCTTTTTACTAATTATTTATACATTTCTTAGATTTTATTATTTGTGGATTTAAATAATTGGTTTATTGATTTAAACTCCATATGTTTTGAAACTTAAAATTTAAATGGCACTGTAATGCTAAATAAGAAATTATCAAAATTATTGTTACTGCAAAAAGTTTATTTTAGATTTTTTTTTATTTAATTTTTTTTATGAAGGAAAAATATTAAATTAAAGTATTTTATTTAATTTTTTATCTTTCAGGTGTTAAATATTTTGAAGGTTGCAAAGTGTTAGAAATTTTGACTAATGGTTGGAAAGTGACTGGAGTTAAAACCAATTTAGGTGTAATTCATTGTGAATATCTCATCTTATGTACAGGAATGGTATGATTTTTTTTAAAAATTTTCTTTGTTAAATATATTTTGTATATTTAAATGTTTTTGAGAGCTAAATGTTATATGCGTTGATAGATTAGAATGAATAATCAAGAATATGGGCTTGGTTTAAATAATAAAAGCTATAATTACATGATAATCACAATAATTTGATCATTTATTGGGCTCAATTTTCTGGCAATGGGCTCTTAAGTCAAACTATTCATTTAATCCAAACCATGTATGTAATGAGATTTTAACACTTATTGGGCTCAATTTGCTGGCAATGGGTTCTTAAGTCAAACTTTTCATTTAATCAAATCCATGTATGTAATGAGATTTTAACACTTATTGGGCCCAATTTGCTGGCAATGGGTTCTTAAGTCAAGCTATTCATTTAATCAAAACCATGTGTGTAATGAGATTTTAACACTGCTTACCAATTTAGAAAATGATACAAATTATTTTTAACATTCTGCATTATGTAATCTGATGTACAAACATGTATTTAAAATTACATGTTTCATAAAAATTGAAGGGCGTGCTATATTCCATTTTTCTAATTTCACTATATTTTAAGAACTCTTTTCTTCTTACCCAAATGTACTGCAAATCCATCTTGTACTACTCTCAATCGATATTTTTGATGAAGAAAAATCGAAAAATACCAAAGTTGTTAGGAAACAACAAACCCTTCAATTTCCCCCTTTATTTAAATACTTATACAGACTAAACAATTTATTATCCTGGATAGCTAAACTTTACATGACTTATATTTTTTAAGGGTGATAAGCTGTTTATTCATAAAATTTTATTTTCTATTATTATATATATTTAAAAAAAACAATTTTGAAAGTTACATGTGAAGTTCATATTTTTAATACAAATTTAACCTAGAAATTAATATTTTTGATCATTTTAGAATTAAGAAGGAATTGATAAAATTTTTTATTGTCATTAAGTGTGTGGATGCCTGCTGCAAATTTCTTTTATAAAGGAACGTAATAATATGATATTTGCAAAGGGCAAATAATAACTATAATTAATTAATAGAGAAAATAACAATAGGACTATCTGTATTTTAAATAATTGCTCAAATATTCCTTTTTAAGTAGCAAATATATGTTGAAATTATTGGATACTAAAAAATTTATTATTTCCTTCAGAATGTCCGTAATCTCTTTGAAAACATATTTATAAAAGCACATTTCACATATAACAATTTCATAAAGTAATTTGCTTAAGCTAAATATCTACCTAATGAAAAATTTAATTTTATGTTAAAAATATCATTAGACATAAATTTCTAAGTTTCAGTGTCCCTAATTGTCAATCGAATACCTCCACTGACTGGGTTCTTGGGGCTTTGCTCTTTTCTCAACCTTCCTTTGCATGGGTAGTTTAAAAAATATTTTCTTGAAGCAAATTGTGTAATATGCTAAAAAATATTTTTTTTTTAAATATTTAATTCCAAAATTTTATTCTTCATTTAAAAATGTATATAATATTTATGTTTTAGTGGACAAGAAACTTGGGTATAAGCTGTATTCCAACTTTCCGTGTGCCTATCCACCCAGCAGAAAATGGCTATGTTCTCACTAGACCTGTACCAGGTCTAACACCTACCACTCCAAGTAAATTATAAGTGTGTTTTATTATAATTAATTAGAGTTTATTTTTAAATTTTTTCAATTATATTTACTTTTTTATTTGAATTGTTTTTTTTTACCACAATTTTATAGCAACTAAGTGTGTTCATTTTTTTTTTCTTTTTTAAACTTTTGCTTCATATTTTAAAACAAAAATACTCTATTTGCAAATTCAAATTTCATTATGTGTTATTTTAATGGTATTTTGTACAAATTTGTTCAAATAGCATGGCAATTAAAGATGTGGTTGTAATTTTTCAAATTAAATGCTGTTTATTGTCATTTTATTCATAGTTGATGATTACTTAAATCCTATTACTTTATCTGAGGGAATTATTAAATTTAAATGTCAAAATAATTGTTTAAAGGCAAACTTGTTTATGACAAAACCTAATATCTTTTGGGAAATGATTAAAACCTTTTAAGAAATGAAGTTAGAACGAATTAAATCGTCAACTAATTAAATGACTGAATTAATTAAATGACGTCAAATGAATTAAGTTAAAACCTTTTAAGAAATGATTGGTTTAAGAAACCTATAAAATATGTGGTTGAAGAATATCTTGTATATATCCAGAAATGTTTCACAAAACTTCTTAAAAGTTTTTTTAAATTTTTTCCCCTGATTGATTGTTAATTTTTTTAAAATCTATGTTGAGAAATTTGCATTATTTTAAAGTAGGTGTGGTAATAAATTTGGCCGAAATAAAGAGTAACGCTAAATCATTTAAACTGGAAGCAATTTTTAAAAATTTTCTTGCCCTTTTTGCGCATTGTGCCTCGGTTCATTCAAGTATTATAATTCTCAGCTCTTTTTATGTATAATTTCTGTTGCTTGGTGTTTAACACGCAAATTGTTTCAAACCCTTTGTTAAACCCTAACAAATTTGACCTCTACTTATGTACCGAGAAAAGAAATTCAGTTATCTTACATAATTGCATTCGTTGTCAAAATTTACTTTTCTGTGATCATCTATGGCTTTTTTTTATAAAGTTTTTAAAAATATGTAAATACCAATACTATTTGGATTAAATATCTTAAATTATATCTTTTAAAGTTGTAAATTTTATGAAGCAGTATATTTTTTTAAAGCTTATCAAATTGAGAAAATTAATGAAACAGTAACAATAAATTTATCTTTAAGAATATTTTTATTCTATTGCTTCAATTTTTCTTTATTGCTTCAAAAGATGGAAAGTTTCTCTATGGTTTTTTAGCATAATTTTTTATGCTGTACCATTTTAATTTGTTTGTTTTACTATCTTTCCATGAAAATTTCATTTTTTTCTTTTCTTACCCTGAAACTAAATCTTCTTTCTTTATTTTCTCCAATTAGTTTGTGAATATTTTATGTTGCATTACACTTACATTATAATTCTCCATAGTCACATATTCTTATAAAACTATGCTTTTTAACTAAAAACATATGCTCAGTTTAAAAAATAAATTCAATGTTGTGGTTTAACTGGGTTTTGTTCTGCAGTTGCACTTTTAAACCCACCCAGCTTTAGATTGTTGGGACGAAACTTGCCTTGAAAAAAAGTGGATTGTGCACAATGCTGACAACTTTGTCATAATCATGCTAATAATCACAAATTTGTTGAGTATTATTCTCCTGGCTCACAACAGTCTGTTGTGGAAATGCTTTACTTTACTGTTGCAACCATTATGTTTTGTAACACCCTGTATAATTATCTTCATTGCTTTATCTGCAGGAAATTGTTCTTAAAAATCTTTTTTCTTCCCCAGTTCTTAGGGATTATGATGCTGGCATGTATTGTCGAGTATATGATACAGGCTTTCTTGTTGGTGGTTTTCCTAAAAGAGCTAGACCCTTGTTTGTCGATAAAATGCCTGATTACTTTGCATTTCAAGAACTCACTCCAAATTGGGATTACTTCAGTAAGTTTAAATTGTTCTAATTAAGATTATATAATATATTCATTCAAATACGTGTGGAGTAGATTGGTATGCTTTTGAATATTTGTATTCTTTCTAGGAATTTTAAATATCCTCTCTCTCGAAAAAATTCTATCTTTCTTTAAACAGCGAGCAAGATGGTTGTGGGGATAGGGTGCTGGTTTCCCAACAAGGATACCCATATTCGAATCTCAGCAATGGCTAACTGATATGAATTCTGCACCCGGCTTGCATCAACCATAATGCTGGCTTTAAATATCCTCAGTGGTAGACATAAAATAGGTTAATAAACCCTTGGGGCGAACAGTGGAAGGTTTTCATTGTTTTACTCTCCATGTTATTCAAAGGTGGGTTAGATCTAACAAAGAATCTTTTATGAAAGCTTAATTCAATGCTAATCCATGTCCCAATGCTTCAAAATTACAAAGCTACAGAGATGAACATTCCTAGTCACAAACCCAAAAATGGGTTGGTATTCATTATTATAAAATAAAATAATACTATTATAAAATAAAATAAAATGCTTAATCCAGGAGTGCCCTTGTCTTCTGGTTTGAGTTTAAAATTGCAAAACTATGGAATTGAACATCGATAGCTTTAAACCCAAAAATCGACTATGCATCATCATATTGGCTAGGCAGCCCAATATGGACAATGCCTTCCTCTGAAGATTTCTCCCTAACAACTTCCGATTTATCTTTGATCTCCAATTCTTTTTATTAATTGCAAGAAAATCAGACTCTTCCGAATCAACCCATCTCAATCTTTTAAATTAAACTTTTCAGTTTTCTTGATATTTGTTTTTTAATAAAAATTGCTGCTCTTAACTAGCGTTATGCTATATGCTTCGAACAGAAATTAAAAATTTTGAAGGGAATGGGTAGAAAACTTAACCTTTTTGTCAAAATAAATATAGTATTTAAGTTGTGAGAGTAAATATTTACTAGTATTTTATATACTCACAATTTAAAGCAACCTCATGTAACAATGCTCATTTTCATATGGAAACGCAGCTCATTATATCAAATGTCAATAGTAGCCATTGTGTTCTCAGTATCGTTCATAATGAGCCAACTTTGAACTGGTTTCCAGTTCAATTTAATTAATTAATTTAATCATATTATTAATTTAATGATCATTTGTTTCAAATGAATTATTTTTCAAAATATGCACTTACCATTCAAGTAAATAATATTTTTTTGTTTTTGTTTCAGAACCTGTGTATGAACAGGCACTTTTTCGAGTGCCTATTTTGAATCAAGTAGATATTCATCGTTACGTAACTGGACCAGACACTTTTTCACCTGATGGTCATTGGGTTCTTGGTGAAACGTCAGAAGTAATTAAAAATTTTTTATTCTTTTTAAAAAAATGCAGTAATTCTTTGTTTCTATTGAAGCCAAATGATTTGCTCAATTGGATTTTAAGTTATTCAAATTGTTTTCTAATGTGAACAGGTTGATAATTTATATGTTGCGGTTGGCATGAATGTTAATGCAGTACAAGGAGCTGGAGGGATTGGCAAAGAGTTGGCTGATTGGATCACCACTGGACAACCAAAAGCATATTTACTGCCATTCGATATCAGAAGATTCATTGATTTTCACAACAATCTGAAGTTTTTAAGTGATCGAGTTCAAGAAGCTGTTGGTAATAATTTTTTTTTAATAGCAGGCACTTTCGTATTGGCCTCATAATTGCTGCTCTCTTATCGTTACCCAGTGGGCACCTGTGGCTGAGCCACGGCAGTGGAGTAGCGTCGCCCACATCATGCAGCCACAAACCCGTTTATTGGGTGGGTTATATTCACACAGAAGAGGCGGGTATGGCCTAGTTGGGCCCACATCCCATATCCAAGAGGATGTGGGTTCGATCCCCTCTGGTCGAGGCCCTCCCGTGTAGTAAATGGTGATTGATACATCTTAAATCTGTCGAGTCACAAAGTCCTCCATGTTCCCATAACAAATCATACCTCTGGGGATATTGATCCAGGAGTTTCCTTGTCTTCTGGACTGGGTTAAAAATTACAAGGCTACGAAGTTGAACATTAGTAGTCGTAAATCCAAAATTGGGTTTCATTCAATGACGGTTATAAAATTAAAAATATAAAATCACACTGGAGAAAGGACATAGAATACACCCAGTGAAGTTAAATCCATGCCTAAGGTGGGATTCGAACCAACAACCACTGGCCCCGTAGTCCAGTTCAATAACCACTAGACCTAGAAAAGTATAGCAGTAAACCTCGAAAATAACCAATTTTAAAATTGTTAGTAACAACAGGTAATTAAAAAAATTCAAAGCTATTGGTATTTTTTATTTTGGTTAAAACAGTTTTCTCATTGGGTCAGGAAAAACTAAAATTGTCAGGGAATTCAATTTCGGAAATAAAAACCTGGGAAATGTCAGGAAATAAGGTAATTTTTTTCTAAAACGTAGAAAAATATGACAACAAACCTGGAAAATAACTAATTTAAAAAAATGAGAGTAACAATGAATAGCTAGCTAGGTTCAAAGTACAATGGTCTGAAATATATTTATTTGATTGTCGGGAAAATTCTGCTGCAACACGAACTTTAGAATGATTAAAATTATAATATTATTTTGTGAAAAAATGCTATTACTATATTGTTTGTTTTACCTACGAGAATTTAATTTCTATGATTGTTACCCTGTTATGAAGTGAAAATTATGTTTTTGTCAAATTTGTTTTAATTTATTTTCCTCCTTGAAATAACAGATACAAGTACTTTTCAACTGTGAAAAAAAATGAGAGCATTAAGAAAAAACTTCGGAAAACATGTATGATATGTGATATGTTATTTTTTTTAAATCAAAATAACAAAAGAAACACCTTATAGAATTTCGTTCCTAAAAATAATACAGTCTCTCATTTTAGGAAAATATTGACTACCTATTAACTAAGAAATAATTATAATACAAATTAATAATAATTTTCTTTTCCCCTTTTACTAGTGATTTCTAAATTTCTTTTGTTCCAACTAAATGTCTAATTTTTTCTTGACTAACAAAGCCATCTCTTTAAGCAAATTTAGGTATAAAAAGAAGTAAGTTTTATCTAAAACTTTAAGTATTAGTAAATGTGCTATAGCAGTGATTATCAACCACTGTGCTGCAACACGTTTGTGTGCCACCAAATTTTAGAAATGATATAGTAAAATTATAATGCTTTTTTTTATTAAGAGTAAAGTTTAAATTAAATAAAATTATGTTTATATATATTATCCCGTGATTATCCAACTATCCCATGATAGCCAAAACAGCTTTAAAATATTTTTGCAATTTTCTACATCTTATTTGTGTATAATTGAAGCTTATCCTATAGCACAGTGATAGGTTAAGAATCTCTCTGCTATAGGATAAGCTTCAATTATCCATTAGAAAACTAGCAGTTAAAAGAGAAATAGTGTTAAACAAAGCAATAAAATAATCAAAACTGGTTTCCCTTTCTTAGTTTAAATAGAAATATTTAATAATTATTATGATAATCAAAATAGAAAGAAAATTGCATTTCGATTGAAAATTACACCTGTTATAGTTTTTTATCTTTATAAAATGAAATTTGTAATTTCGATTTTAATATATGATAGTATTTTAAACTTTGCGCAATTAGTTTTGTTGATTTATACATTTATATTTTTATTATTTAGGTTATAACTACTCTATTCGCCATCCGTTGTTATGTGAATTCAAGACAGCTCGAAAATCTCGTTGTTCTCCCCTCTTCACAATGCAAAAAGAAGCAGGAGCAGTATTTGGTGAGAGGATGGGTTTTGAAAGAGTTTTATATTATGACCCTGAAAAGCCAAGTAAGTGATTTATTTAATCTTTGAGTTTTTAATATTGTTATGATAAGTAATAATTGCATACAAGATTTTCTCCTAGAACATGATATAGATAAACCACGACAGAGACAATCTGTCATATTTGATTAGGGATGGTTTACTGTATATTGGTTCTGCATTTAATTTTCGAAAATTAAAAATCGTTCTCACTTGATAACTTGAAAATGTAATAACTTGGAAATGTAAGATTTTTTTTTCTAAAAAAAAGTTAAACTCATACACTTTTACTTTTCCAACCGGACAAATCTTTAAATTTTGTCTTAAATTAAAATCTGCTGTTAAAATTTTGAAGAATCTAGTTTTCCCTCTTGATTCTATAAAAAAATTGTTTTAAATTTGTCTTATTAATAGACAGGTTTTTTCTGTAAGGATATATAAACAAGAATATATATTGCATCATTTTTCTCAATTTATTGATTTTATTTTAATTTTTGCTTCTCAACTGCACATAATGTGTTGCCTTACAAATGTACAACCACTAAAAATTATTCACATATCACTTTCATGTATATTATTCTCATTATTTTTTGTTTTAATTACAATTAAACAAAAGAATATATTATAATCATCAACATTATTTTTATTTCATTTCAGAAGAAGAATGCATGGACCCACCCAAGATAGAATTTGGTAAGCCATCCTGGTTTGAAAAGGTTCGCGAAGAATATTACGCCTGCAGAGAACGAGTAGGAATCATTGATATGTCTTCTTTTACTAAATTCCATTTGAAAGTAAGTTTATTGATTCCAGCCCACATTTTTATTTTATGATGGATCAGTGGTCGGAACTAATGCACTACTTCGAGTAATAAAACTACTGCAGTTACTAATTTTTTTCGTAATTTGTTGTGTAATGCACTACTTTTAGATTAAAATAGTGAAGTGAGTTAACGATTCCTTATTTGTTCACTAATTTTTATAGATTCCTTACAACTACTCTGAGGAAATAAATGCGGTTAAAACGTAACTGATTTTTTTAAATTTCATTGAGGTAAATCGATCAGTGCATCCAATGAGAATGTTCCCAATGTACTTTATATTGTTTTTTTCCCGTCATTCACACGTAACAAAATCACAAATATTTTATAATTTTTTAGTTTTTCTTGAAATAAATACTCACTGTCAAAAAAAGATATAAGTTGAAGGCTGAAAGAAAAAAATTTGCCAAAATAAATTAATAAATTTTCTTTATAAAGCTTTTTAAAAAAATTTTGAGTACGAGTGTAAATTAAATCAGCAGAATCCATCTCCTAAAAGTAGTTAAGCAATGAATGTAGCTCTTGCATTTAAAAAAAAAATGGCTATAGAATAGTGTAGTTCTTCCAACCACTGTGATGACACGCTATGAGTCTAAAAACAAAATATACTTGATTGATAAATATTTTGTGTTACAGTCAGGTGGGACTGAAATTGTAGATTTATTACAACTGCTTTGTTCCAATGATATTGATGTACCAGTTGGAAGTCTTGTTTCATCTGGGATGCAAAATGATCAAGGATGTTATGAGAATGATTGCCTTTTACTGAGGAGAGCACACAATTGGTAAGTTTATTATACTCTAGTAGAAAACTAAGGATTCTTATACCTGCATACTTTTTTTCAACAAATTACAAATAATAAAAAAAAATTAATTTGATAAGGGAACAAGAACTCTGTTTATTTTGATAGTTAAAAAGTGTCCGGTGTATGGACGTACGGACATGGGACTTGCCCTGTCTTTCCTACATAAAGCAGGATTTTGAAGGATGGAATATGATGATGTAAATTAATGACTCAGGGTTTCCAGGGGGAACAGAAAATGAGCCGGGTCTTGAAATACATTTTTCAGTTATTATCTTTCTTTAAAAATGCATTTTTAGCATAATCTTACAATAAACATGGAAAATAATGAATCTTAGCGTTCATAGTAGCCTGTGAAGTTTGAAGTTATAAGTCATTATAACATATTTTGCTTTTGTTTATTGTAAAAAGTTTACTAATATATAGCTTAGTTTTATTATTAAAATAATACTTATTATTATATACCAGGGGTGGCCATCCTGCGGCTCGCATNACAATAAACATGGAAAATAATGAATCTTAGCGTTCATAGTAGCCTGTGAAGTTTGAAGTTATAAGTCATTATAACATATTTTGCTTTTGTTTATTGTAAAAAGTTTACTAATGTATAGCTTAATTTTATTATTAAAATACTAATTATTATTATATACCAGGGGTGGCCAACCTGCAGCTCGCAAGCCACATACGGCTCTTTGAAAGATTATTTGTGGCTCTCGATAAATGTACCCGAGTTCCCTTTTCATTTTTGTGCTATTGTACTTTTTAAAAAAATTATCGTTCCGTATGTGTTTCAAAATGTCTTTTAAATTACTGAGAACAAATATGAAAAACTAAGTGAAACGTTGTTTAATTGTTGAATTAAAAAAGGCTGCTTGTCGAATTATTTCAATATTCGGAACAACGTACTTATGTGAATCATTTTATTCCACTTTAAAATTCGTGAAATCCAAACACCGATCAGTATTAACTGACCAGCATCTCAAGGGATTACTGAGAAGTGTTGTCACCAATTATTCATAAAATTTTAAAGAATTATCAAGAGAAGTAAAATAAATGTGCTTAATTTTTAATATTTAAATTCAATACACATATTTTGTACTTTTACTTACATGTTTTCAATAAATATAATTTGTGTAAAAAAATTTAATACCTTTTTTGCATACCTTTCAAATACGTATTTAATTGCGGCTCGCGGAAAATTTCAAATTTTGAAAAATGGCTCAACTATCAAGGAGCTTGGCCACCCCTGTTATATACAGTAGGGAACCGATTATCCGGAACGATCGATATTCCGGATAACTGATTTTTTCGGTTTTCTGAATCGCTACAAAAAGCCGTTTTTTTNTACTGAGAAGTGCTGTCACCAATTATTCACCAAATTTTAAAGAATTATCAAGAGAAGTAAAATAAATGTGCTTAATTTTTAATATTTAAATTCAATACACATATTTTGTACTTTTACTTATATGTTTTCAATAAATATAATCTATGTAAAAAAATTTAATACCTTTCAAATACGTATTTAATTGCGGCTTGCGGAAAATTTCAAATTTTGAAAAATGCCTCGACTATCAAGGAGCTTGGCCACCCCTGTTATATACCATACATTTATTAAAATACTATATATAACATTTATTAAATTATTTTTTTAACATAAAAAATTTTTTTTAGTCAGATCTTCGAAAATCTTGCAAAAAAACCTGGAAATTAATTACTTTTTTTTTCTTGAGATAACATTGATTTTAATGAATAGTATTCTACACTATAAATTAATAACGTGGAGTTCCCAAAGGGTTAAGAAAATAAATGCAATGGGAACAGAAAATGAGCCGGTTCTTCTTCTAAAAAAAGCTTGATATTGTTTAATACTGTTAGTAATGATTTAATTCTGTTTTAATTAGTTATTTCATGGTGTCACCCACTGCCCAGCAAACTCGTATTGGTGAATGGATGAGAAGACACATGCCAAAAGATGGATCCATATCCATGAGTGATGTCACATCCATGTATACAGTGCTTAATGTGGTTGGGCCAAAATCTAAAGAACTCATGTCTGAGTTGACAAGAACTGAAATGGATGTTCCAGGATTTACATGCAAGGTAAACATTTCATTTCAAAGTAGTATATAGATTAATTTAAGTTCAAATGCACATTTATCTGCTTAACTTATCATACAAAATGTAGTAAACAATAAACGGAGTCCGTTAGAAAGCGTTTGTGGTGAAACCTGACAATGGAAATGGCACCAAATTCGGTAAAGATACTAAAGGTATGAGAAAGAAGATTTCATGGGATTGCCACTCAAATCTGAAAAAAAAAGTTCCCTGTGTTTTCCCTGGACAAATGATACCCAATATATTAAGAGGAAACACAATTACTGTGCTCTTGTGTGAGCTATATTGGACTAACTATACTAGTTTTAATTGCTGGAAAAACTTAGAGAAAAAAAAAAGGAACAGCTGAACATACTCAAATAATGCTATAGTAAATAAAATAGTTTAGTATAGCTGAAATATTCCTAAATATCTCATAGGTTATGCTTTGAGTGACCACCATTTTTTAAAGACGAAAATAAGAAGCAAAATTCCCTATATTTTCCCAGTTTGCACAGAAAAACTCTAAATTCCCTGTTATTTTAGGTGATTTTTTAATTCCCTGTATTTTCCAGGTTTTCCCTATTCTACCTGTCGAGTGGCAACCCTGTTTCACGAAGAAAAAAACTCGTTTTAGTTTAAGGAAAGTAAAAAATGAAAAAAAAAACAACAGATGAATATTTTACTGAGCAACATAAATGCAAATTAAATATTTTAATTAAACAAATTATATAGAGTCTAAAATGATTTAAAATAAAGCAAAACACATCCTATCTCAAAATAAGATACAGCATTCAGTTGGGATTATGTTTAGTATATTTTTAACCTTAGGAAAGAGATTTTAGGAATGTTAAATCTTAAAACGGTTAAGTTACAAAAAGTTCGAAACAAAGCTCTAAAGCAGCAAACAGTTTAAAAATCAACATTCAAATTTTGAGTTTTGTATAATATATAAAAGTACTATCAAGATAAAAAAATAAATAAATAAAATAAGTTAAAATAAATATAGCGACTGAAAAAGAAAGATTGAAAAATAACATTGATTAACGATCAAATCAGCACAAATAAACCACGTCAAAAGTGAAGATTATAATGCCCGACTCGAAATTCGTTATAATACTAGATTAAAAATATCAGGATTTTTTAAACCCCACGGAAAAACCTAGCAATAACTATTGACAGAATGAAAAAAAAAAATTAGATTTGCGATGAAATCGGCACAAATAAGAGCGAACATTGAATCAAGTGTCATATTAATACATATTAAAAATATCAGGATTTTCAAAACCATGTAAAAGTGCAGAGTGCCAAGAAAAAAATACCAACTTCTTCTGGGGGTTGATCATTATAAAATGGTTTATAATTTGTTTATTTTAGAAAATAAATGTTGGATATGCCAGTGAAGTGCTTGTAATGGGCTTCAATAATACTGGAGAGCCAGGTTATTCACTTTATATACCATCAGAGGTAAATTTAATTTTTTTTATCACAGTATTATTCATCATTTTGATAGTTAAAATCTTTCTAACAATTTATATGATTTCGTATTTTTTATAGTATGCCCTTCATGTTTACACTAATCTTCTAAATGTTGGAAAAGACTATGGTGTTCGAAATGTTGGATACTATGCCTTACGTTTCCTCAGAATTGAAAAGTTTATACCATTTTGGGCAGAAGAACTTGACAGCCATACTACACCTTTTGAAGTTGGAAGAGGCTTCAAAGTTAAAATGCAAGTAAGTATGAATTTAAAAATCCTTCTTCAACTGCAATAATTGTGTTAATTTATTTAACAATAAATTTGCTATATTTCAAATGCTGTTAACATGCTCATTTAATATGCTTTAATAATTCTGAAGGGTAGAAGTGCTGAATTAAATTCATTAAAAAGTATTATGAATATTTTTGTCTTTTTTTATTTTCTAATATTAAGTTAACTTAATTCTGAGCAAAAAATAACATTTTAGGATCCAATAATAAAGTAAACCACAGCTTAGGGAAAACTTGAAATTGTGAAGATATTTAGGAAAAACATTACTATGATGATCCTTAAAAAATGGCTTATTTTTTAAATGAATTAATAATTCCCACAAAAAAAAATTTATTTTCATTATTCTACATTTTTTGATTTAAAATGCAGTACAGAACCCGTTATCCGGAAAACCAAAAAACCGGAGCAATATTCGATAAATTTTCCCGCCATTAAAAATTTTTTTTTCCCTCATAAGATTTTAGGATTTTTCTTTCTTTTTTGAAAGATGTTTACCTTACCATCATTTTGGATATAATCATTAGTGTATTACTTCATCGTTTTTTCTTCTTTTTAAGATTATTTCCAAATATTTTCTTTTTTAGTTGGGTTTAACAATAAAAAAAAAAAGGCTTTTTGTAGCGATTCAGAAAACCGGAAAAATCAGTTATCCGGAATAGCGGTGGTCCCGATCGTTCTGGATAATCGGTCCCCTACTGTAGGATAAAAACACCATACTCAGTAATTTCTTTAATATTTAACAGCTTGTGTGTATAGGTCTTTTTTAAACAAAATAGTGGCCCATCGAATAAAGAATGCATTAAAGTAAAATTTTAACGCTATTCATTGAGAACTACTCAAGATCAAGAATATGCTATGTCAGGCATGAGAGGAACAAAAAACCTGAAAATATAAAAAATCTGAAAAAATAAATAAAAAAGCATCAGAAACTATTTTGTAAATGTTTAAATTATATATTTATTTAAAGTATTTTTTTTTAAAGTATTCAGTGAAAATCCAACTAATATATATAAATCATAATTAAAGAGAATAAAATAATAATTAAGTTTAAAAATTTAATTTCTGCTAAACTTTAGAGAGTTGGAAGAAACTCATGCCCACTTTGCACATTGAAAACTAATTTGGTTCCATATATGTTTCCAGATAAAAGTAAATTGCATAAAAATGTTCGTTTAAGAGAACTTAAAGTTTAAAGTTGTGAGCTCTTTAAGAAAATGAGAGCTCTTTAAAGTTTTAAGAACAAACTTTTCATTAATACAATTAAAATTAAACTTTAAATTAATTGATACCAGACGAAGGGAAAAGCCTCTAGGAGAATTGCCTCTTATAGTTAAAAGAACTAAAATCATGGGAATTGTTAATTGGAGTAATCTAACATGCAATAGAACCAGCTAAATAAAACTTTCGCGCTGTCAAAGAACATGGGGCATCTTATCATAGAATATGTGTTAGCAGGCCACATTAAGAGAAGGAAAGTTGCAAAAATTGTAATCAAGCTCGGGGGTGTAGAGGAGATAAAAGGTGAAGATCAGTTGAGGTTTGTCCTATTTAAATAAAGCACACTGGAAAATTTAATAGTGTAATATCAAAAGGGGCTTATGTGCTTTTAATATCTTCGGCAGATATCAAAAGCACAGTTGTCATCTTTGAGCATGGTCATTAGTAGTTTTTATGTCATTGTAGACTGTAAGAATGTCAGTAGATGCTTCTTCAAAGATGTAATTATTAGTCAAATTAATCTTTTTGTTAGGACATTTGTACAGGGTGTGTAACGTTTTCAAAAAGTGCTTAAAGGCTTTTTTTTTTATTTACATTTTTTAAAAGCCCTTAAAGGTGCATTTTTTTTACTGAGGGTTTGTAAAAAGTGCTTAATTTTCTATCATTAAAAAAAAATTTCTTTGCCGTGTCGATAGTCATTCTAAATTACAAAAAAATTCATGATTTTCNCACAGTTGTCATCTTTGAGCATGGTCATTAGTAGTTTTTATGTCATTGTAGACTGTAAGAATGTCAGTAGATGCCACTTCAAAGATGTAATTATTAGTCAAATTAATCTTTTTGTTAGGACATTTGTACAGGGTGTGTAATGTTTTCAAAAAGTGCTTAAAGGCTTTTTATTTATTTACATTTTTTAAAAGCCCTTAAAGGTGCATTTTTTTTACTGAGGATTTGTAAAAAGTGTTTAATTTTCTATCATTAAAAACAAAATTTCTTTGCCGTGTCGATTGTCATTCTAAATTACAAAAAAATGCATGATTTTCACAATTTTCTCTACACAGAAACTAGTTATTTTATAATGATTCTGTGAAGTTTTTGATAATTTTTTTGAATTTTATTGACTTTGTGTTCATAAATTACGAACTTTAAACGATTGAAAAAATAATTTTAGTTACTGCACACATCCTAATTATGATTTTTTTTTGGAAAGTGATTACAAAATATTTTTTTGAGTGCTTTAAAAGTACTTATATTTTTGTTGAAAACGCTGGCTACCCGCCCTGTTGTAGTATCTTGAGTTTTTTCCTGATTCTCACAATTTGCTACCCCAAGTTCTTTAGTTAAGTTTCAAGTTCCTTATCACCCCTCGTATTTGTATGTGAAATATTGGAACAACTGCATATACCAAAAATGTGGATTACCAACATCATTTCAAATTTATTTGAAATAGTACAATGTGCATAATTTTAGGTAATAAAAAGGACAAATCTTCGTTGAAAATTTTATAATGGTAGTTACACCTAAATTCCAGGTAATTCCCTTACTTGCAGAATATATACATTTCCTAATTATGGTACATTGTACTTTGTTGCAGAAAAATCACTTTCTGGGTAAAGCTGCATTGCAACAACAATTGGAGCAGGGCTTAACGAGACGTTTGGCACACTTCCAACTTGAGAAACACAATCACGAAGCAGACATATGGAGTTGGGGCAGAGAACCTATCTACAGAAATGGCCAGTACGTGGGGAAAACAACCTCCTCTGGATACGGCTTTACTTCAGAACGAGTCATTTGTTTAGGATTTGTTCACAACTACGATGAAAAGACTGGAGAACCGCAAGTTGTTTCGCCAGAATTCTTTTCCAATAATGCTCATTTTGAAATTGAAATTGCTGGGAAGAAGTATCCAGCTAAAGCTAGTCTGCATGCTCCCCAAATACCTATTGTTAGTATGAATGGAACAAGTACAAAGTATATGCCAAAAGCAAGGATAGACACAATTTCCCAATCCACTTTAGATGGCTAGCCTTAGGATTTTACTGCAGAGGACAATAGCGTGTGTAAATATTTTAAAAGTTTAACTGGTCAGTTTTTAAAACTTATTTTTAATAACAATATTTTCATAAAGCTTTCCTGTGATAATATTAGTTCAAAATATATTGTAACATAGTAAATTTTAATTTATCAATATTGACAACTTGAGCCATTTCTTTTACAAAACAGTATATATCCTTGAAAACAGTTGAAACTCTTTAAGTTTTTTTTCCCGTTAAAATATATATATAAATTCTACTGATTTTTTATTTTGTTTGCATGACCAAAACATCACTTACCTAATTCTTTCAGGTTTTTCAAAATTCAGGGCTCCCACTCAATTTCAGGAAAAAATTCCCTGACTATTCCAGGTATATTAGGTAAATTGCAATGAAAATCCATACCATGTTTTATCTATATCATGCAATTTTTCTTCAGAAAACTTTGATTTTTTTAATTTGTAATGTCAAATATTGGATTTTGTGAGCAAAAAAGAGAATGGAAACCTGAAAAAGTTTCACTAAAAAGTGGAATTTTATAAAATAATAGTAATTGATGTAAAATTTATTTAACTCGAATCCCAATAATTGTTTACTGTTACTGACAATTCTGAGACTGGTTATTCTCCCGGTAAAAATATAGCAATTTTTCAGGTTTTTGGTAAAAAAATTGCAATTGTCCCTGACAATTCCAGGTTTTTCCTGTTCTCCCTGACTCGTGGGAGCCCTGAAAATTTCAATTTGAAGTCGGACTTTGAAAGTACTATGGTATCAAAATTCCAGTTTGAATACTCCATTAGTGCTCTATGAGCTTTTTGTCATATCTCAATCGCACATAAAGTATAATGTTAGGAGTCTATTACAGTACAGAACCTCTTATCCGGAAATCAGAAAACCGGAACGAAATTCAATAAATTTTCCTGCCATTTTCTTAAAAAAAAATGTTTTTTTCCTCTTAGGATTTTTCTTTCTTTTTTAAAAGATGTTTACCTTACCATCATTTTAGAAATAATAATTAGTGCATTACTTTACCGTTTTTTCTTCTTCTTTTTAAGATTATTTCTAAATATATATTTTTTTAGTTGGGTTTGACAATAAAAAAAACTGCTTTCTGTAGAGATTCAGAAAATGGGGAAAATCAATTATCCGGAATAGAGATGGTCCCGATTGTTCCGGATAATCGGTTCCCTACTGTACTTCATTTGTTGTTTATACATTTAATTACATTAATTAACATTTTTAAAATAATTACAAATAAGTAGTATACTTACAATTTAAAACTATTTCTTTTATAATTAAAGAGTGTAAGTGGTGATTATTACAAATATTCATTTGTAATAACTGTAAGTATTTTATTCAAAACATCAAAAAAGAATTAACAAATGTTGCATCAAAACATAGAACAAGAATTTTTTTTTAATTTAAAGCACATACAAATATTTTATTATTTACAACAAAATAATTTACAGCATAGCCCAATAAAAGCAGAGTCTATTTCATAGTGATGTTACCTGAAATAAAAGTTACTATAAATTAAAATCAATTTGAAACTGAGAATAAAAGAAATTATACTCTATAAATTAAGACCAGTGATCAAATTTTGTTCCAGTAATTGTGTAAAAGTTACATCTTTGTTTTAAAATAAAACAATAATAATTTAATTTCTATTTAAATAACTCCAACCATGACAAAGTAAAACATACTAAATTTGCCACAGTACTAATTTTTACTAAGTAACCACACTGGTTTTTTATTTTATACAACAATTTAGTAGCATAATATATCAATAAATTTAAAGTTCATAAATATATGTTAAGAAAGAGATTTACAGACAATAAAATAAAAATTAGTGAATGATAAATTTGTTAAATTTTGGTTCACAGATTTAAAGGTTAATGCCATAATTTTATAATCAGACCATCCTTAAGAATAAGGATTTTTGCCTTTTGCGAAGGATATTTTAATATAATTTCAAGACAAAAATTCTGATCAGAAATTTCAACGAAAGAAAACTTAAAAGTTGTCAATAATGGGGAGGAGATTTAGGTTTAAGGATCATATCTCCTCCCGTGTCATTTTCATGATTGAAAAAAAAAGAGTTTTTAAAACATTGTTTATTAAATTGAAAAATATATTTCTATTTACTTTTCTAATCACATTACTTTAATAACAAAATTCAAATAAATCAATTTTTAAACTATTTACGACACATATATATTATCTTAATGAAATAAAATTATGCAGGTTTCTTATTACAACAGCACAGTTAAAATAGTACATCAATTAATTTAGCTTTTAACCTTTTTTTGTATTGCCCAAATACTGATGCAATATTTGGGCAATTTTATATGAACATATCCACCAACATTTGAGATTTTCATAAAATGTACTTATTCAGCAGTAGTAAACTTTGGCAGAAATCTTTAAAATATGTATAAATACTTTTATTAGAAGTAGATATTCTTCCAAAATGCCTTTTATATATCTGTTTTAATTATTTATATATAGTGGTAGACAAAATTCTTTTAATTCTAATTGATTAAAATACTAATGCATTACTTTTGCTACCATTAGAAAAAATATTTCCTGAAACTAGTGAAATTACAAAGTTCTTCAAAGATACATTAGCATTATTTCTTCCGAGTACAGTTTCCCCATTGAATAGCATGGTGTAAAACCAATTCAATTCATGAGAAAGCAACCCTGTTTCATTCAAAACTGAATTCAAAGTTGACAGTTAAGTGGTTAAAAAGGGGGACCATTATGTCAACTAAACTTACATATTTAAAAAAAATTAACATCATAGTAGCAACTGAAAATTTAAATGGAAAACAGATGCAATGTTTTATTATAACTCCAGTTTTTGTAAATAAGCTTAAAAATTTTCACTAAAATCTTACCTAAAAAAGTCTAATGCAGAATTTTGACTTTTTTTCCTCTGAAAAAAATAAATATAAACTCAGCATTAAAACAATGTAACAAGAAATGCAAAAATCCCAATGCACAATTTAGATAGAAACTTTGTGATGATGTTAGAAAAAGACAAAATCAAAGGATTTAACTCATGTGTAATATTAAAAAAGTTATTACTAATTTCGATGCAACAGTAGTACATTGTATTTAGTGCACAATACAATATAAAAAAATAGAATCTCTAAACATTACAAATAAGTGGAAAAATATAAAACATAAACAAAATTAGGCAATAAAAAAGCAGGAGATTAAAAACACTAGTAATTTCATTTGACTTAAAAAAAGTATTAAATAAAGTAAAACACATAATTATTTTAAGCGATGTTGTCTACACCTGTTAGTGTAATTCGAAAATAGGCTTCCATACTGTGAAAAAATATGGTATGGCAGAAGATATATTAACTAACAATGTATTGATTTTGATGGTATGATAGGCTTCCCAAAAATCTAAGCATGCAAAAGAAAATATTTTCAAATAATAGTAGCCAAATTGGATTCTATGAATCTTGAATCTGTTATGCAATAAATCAGTGTTGAAATTTGCTTATTTTATTAATGATCTCATTAATGTACATGAACTTAGTGTATTTTTTATAAACATAGAACAGACAACATTTGCAAGAAATTTAGTAAATTCCCAATTAAATTAATCGAGATTAAATTAATTGTGATCTGTTCTAAATAGGTCTATGCTTAATGGATAGAAATATGCAAACAATAACTATAGCTGATTTTAAAAACTAAAAAATTAACAAAAACTTATAAAAGTAATAATAAAATTTTCTTACCTTTTTTTCTTTTTTGCTTATAGGTGTAGTATCTAGTTCACTAAAAAATATTAAAGGAAATTAAAACCTAATTTAGGAAGAAAAAAAAAACTTTTATTCAGCTGGGTAGCCATAAACACTCAGATAAAAATAATTCCCTGATTTTTTTTCTGACTAATTTTAGCAAACTTCAATGAATTTCGTAACTAATGGTATATATTTTATTTTCATTTTTTCTATTTAGACTTATCTATGAACAAAAAAAAACATATTATAAGAATAAAATAAACCTATTACTTGAAGAGACACAGGTAAATAGCAATAAAGAGAACTAATGGAAGATACACACACACACATTTTATTTTATAAATAGATCTAATTTCTACGTAATTTTATAAATTTAATAAATATAAATGCAATCATGGGGCAAAGAAGAAACTAATAGACATATATTTGTTTACATACATTGAATGAAAACAAAGCATTAAAGAATATCTTCCTGAATTCATACAAATTTTTTTGAAAAAAATTCAGTGCAAAGTCCAATATTAAGATGTCCATTTACAGGAACAGTCTTTTTTTTCCGGACACTTTTTAATTATAAAAATAAACAAAACTTTTCTCTTTTCAAAAAAATAAATCTTTTTCTCTTTTCTTTTTTTTTGAAATTTTTGACTTGATAAAAAAAAAGAAAAGAAAAGCAGGGATGAGGATTCTCCATTTTCCGCTACCTTCTGCTTCTTTTGGACCAGACTTCGATATTTGTTTGATTTTAATCCGATTTACGCTACAATAAGAAAAAAAATTGGGCAGCATGGAAATGAAATTCAGCGTTTCACTACAGCACTAAAAAATTGCATATTTTTTACATCTCACATAAAAGGATTATTATCGTTAAGAATCACAGTAATTTTCAAAGTGCTCAAAAATGTAAAATTCCGAAAAAAATTGTGGATTTGATATGAAATTGTCACTACTAAAGCCGGGTCATTAATTGATTATTCAAAAGTGCGATTAGAAATCTGCGGATTGTAATAATATTAAATTAAAAATGAAATCGAAATTTTAAAAACTATGTAGAAACCTGAGACCGTTGAAGTGAGATCGACAAAACCAATGGGCAATCATCACAAATCAAGATATAAAAAAATAATTCTACAAATGTGCGGTCTTAAATCCACGTGAGATTGCGTATGAATTGTCAAAATTGAGTGAATGCATGAATTGAAGTTAGTCAATTAAAATAATATCATATTAGGAGATTTTAAAAACAAATTGAAAGTCCGTTTTAAAAGCTACCAAAAAACAATCGGCAAAACATTGCGGAATTGCCGTGCAATCGTCGCCAATCGAGTAGTTTGAAAACTGATTACTAACTGAAATGCGCTGTTTGAAATTTGCATCACCTTAATTAACGTCTATTTGTTATTTCTTACTGAATTAGGATGTTTTGATATTTGTTTACCTTAAAGACCTATTATTCGAAAAAAATCTATTTTCCGGACTTGCTGAAGTTCCAACGATTTTGGATATGGGTCTTTCTACTGTATTAGAATTTTATTACCTCAAATTTCTTTTCTATCATTTTTCCAGACTCATGAAATTCTGTAAACCTGTAGTTGTCTTTAAGTATGAAAAAAGTCTCAAATTTTCATTTAAAATTTTACAAATATGCAAATACTTGAAACTAATTACAAAATCAATCTGACATAGTAGCAAAAATAATTCCCAATTCTTTATATTCGAAAAATAAACAATCATTATATTTTTTAATAACTGGAAATGGAGAAATGCCTCTTATAAAAGATGTCTTTCAATAAGAGCATATCATGCTCTGAATTTCAATGTATAGTGTACATAATTTAATTTTGTTTACTCGTAAAAGCATAAGCGTTATACTTTGGTATAAATATACTTGGTTACAAAACTAAATAGGTAAAATACTGTCTAATTAATACTAAGTAAAATCGTCTTACTTTTCATCTCTCAAGTATCTCGATATAGACCTCAGAATAAAAGAGTAGTTCTCCTGCGTCCAATTACGATTTATCAGAACCTCTTCATCCACTTTCAAAATTAGGTCAAGGTAACTGTGTGCAGGCCTTTCGAAAAACAAAATATATATAATACATAACAGCTTTTAAAAATTAATTTGCAAATATTTATTTTTGTTGAAGTAATACAATTTGTGATTTCACCCATTCAAATATTTTTAATTCTCTACGTAAAAAGCATTATACTGACCTGCCAACAATAATAAAAAAGAAAGAAACTCATACATTCTTTTAAGTTATATAAATAACTTTTTTAACTCTAAAAACTGAAAAATAATAAATTAATCTATTCCTTTGAAATAAATTGAGTTGATTCAGCACTCTTTATTGTTGTTGTTGTAGTTCATTTACGTCGCACTAGAGCTGTGCAATGGGCTATTGGCGACGGCCTGGGAAACATCCCTGAGGATGATTCGAAGACACGCCATCGCAATTTTGATCCTCTGCATAGGGGATGGCACCCCCGCTTCGGTAGCCCGACGACTTGCACACGAAGTTGAGCACTTTACGGTAGAACAGTTTAACGAGGACCAATACTGTACACCCTTGGCCCTTACGCAGACTGCTCCGAGTGGTCACCCACCATCACACTGACCACAACCAGTGATGCTTGTCTTCGGTGATCTGCTGGTCCGATCAGTCCACTGTGTGACTCAGCATTCTTTAAAAATGCCATACAAAAATATTATGAAACAATTTCTGGTTAGCATTTCCAGGTCGACCAATTAAAAGTTTTTTCACACTATTTTATATCGATCTTCTCAAAAAAATTAAAAAACTTTTGTTTTGTATTTAAATATTACTCAAAGTTGCTATTTTCGCATGAATTTAAGATACCATAAGCTTTGCTAATGCAGTGCTTTGTATAAATTTTGTTAAAATCCTTGTTACACTTTTGGGTTTATCTGACTTTCCAAAATATAATATTTAAAAAAAAGCTCTAGAAAGGAATTAAAATGATAAATGAAATACACATGAATTACAAAATCACTGACAAGGAGGAAAGTTTTGAGAGTTAAATAAGTTATTCTTTCCTGTGATCTAGCATTTGAGCCGAAACTTTTTAATACTTCTTTGCGGACTGCAAACAAGCTTTTACCCTATTATAACAATTTTATTTTTATGAAAAGCAAAATCATGTAAAAACCTCAATTTTAAAAACCACACATTTTTGACCAACAAAGGCGCTCTTAAACATAATTCTTTTATACGTTGAAACTTACGTGTTTTTATTCATACTATCAATAACAGCTCTGTGGAGAGTATGAAAGGCATTTTGAAAAGAACCTTTAATCTGGTGCATCAAATAAGTTCCTTTGGCAATATCACGACCTACATAATGGAAAGAAAGTTTATCAGCATAAATCTAATTTAAAGATTTCATAAATTACAAAATAAATTAACAAGACTTTTAAATATATAGTATATTTTGCACTAACAGGGTGCGTAGCCAGATTTGTCAACAAAAAATAAGCACCTTTTAAGCACCCAAAAAATATTTTTAATCACTTTCCAAAAAAAATCACGATTAGGAAATGTGCAATAACGAAAAATTTTTCTTTCTATTGTTTAAAGTTTTTAATTTATAAAACATAAAATCAACGAAATTCAAAAACATTTACAAAGATTTTACATAATCATGATAAAATAACTAGTTTCTGATAAATATTGCAGAGAAAATTGTGAAAATACATAAATTTTTTTTAAATTTATGATGACAATCGACACTACATTGAAAAAAATCTCGTTTTGAAAGATAGAATTGAATTGAATTGAATTGAATGTAAGATTTAATGGCACAAGGTCCAGAGAGGACATGCTGCGCCAGACACACGGTTTTAAAAACATATTAAAAGGTAGAATAGAGTACAATTACACAATAAGTATAGTAAAAATGATGAGAATTCTAAAACAGTGAAAATGCAAAAATTTTTATATGTAGATAAAACTTGATAAATCTCTTATATACTGTTTAAAATACCAATAGTGCGAAGAAAAGCAAAGATGTTAGGATGATGGTTTTCATCTAACAAGTCTTTTATGCATAAAATGGAGCTACCAAAAAAGGTGAGGCGAAACTGGTTAAAACATGGACAAAGTATTAAAATGTGATGAATCGTGAGTAATACGTTGCAATCGTTGCATTTGGGAGGAGGTTCTCCAAATAGTAAATGAAGGTGAGTAAATCGAGTATGTCCTATTCGCAAGCGGGTGAGTTTGACATCTGTCCTGCGCATGTGCAGTGCAGGCCAAGGCTCCAAAATAGGTTTAACAGAATGTAATTTGTTTTCGCCTTGCAGGTCCCAGTGTTGCTGCCATAAACACTGAACAAGTTTGCGAATGTGGTTTTTTAAATCAGAAAATGGGACAGATAATGTTATTGGAGAAGAGGCNAATGATTGGGAAATGATCGCTATTATGAAGATCATTATCAACCGAAAATTCTGAAAAGGGTAAAAGCGCAGGTGAACATAAAGCAAGATCAATGCAATGAAAAGTTCGCGTTGGTTCATGAAAGTGAGTGTCTTCACCTTGATTCAGTAAACATAGATTATGGTCATGGATGAGCATTTCAACTTGATGCCCTCTAGCATTTGTGTCGGAACTACCCCATAGTTCATTGTGACCATTAAAGTCCCCAAGCAAAATGAAAGGTGTAGGCAGCTGATGAATTAATGAGTTTAAATCATGTTGTGAAACTAAAGCATGTGGAGGTATATAAATTGAACAGACTGTAATCGTAATGTTTATATGAATCTTAACTGCAATAGCCTGTAATGACGTTGACAATGAAAGACGAATTGATGGAAAACTTGTTGATGTTAAAATCGCGACACCACCATTAGGTCTACTACCGGCGTCATGGTCGTTTCGGTAACATGCATAATTATGAACATTAAAATTATCAGAGGATGTTAAATGAGTTTCTTGGATTGAAAAACATGATGGCTGATATTTAAAAATTATATCTCTGATGTCTGAGATTTTATTTCGCACACTGCGACAATTCCAAGAGATAATGGAACTTGCCATTATCTTTTGGATTTAAATTTTGATTTAGACGTGACATCCATCGGTGGGTCGTCGAAAACCGATTCGTCATCCGATGGATGTAGTGTTATTTCTGTGTCCATCTTCTGCAAGATATCTGAAGTGGACTTTTTAATGATCTGTATAAATTTTGGGTCTTTATTCTTTTTAGGAATACCTGGTTTTTGGCTAGGTGGCAACTTTACATTCGGACGCTGCTTTAAGGCAGGACGAGGCTTTTCTGGGGATTTCAATCGAGATGTTTTTGGAGGTGGAGATTTGGATGCAGGTCTGCGAAAAGTAGAGGGTCCGGTAAAATTAAATTGTGGTTTTTGTTTTGTTTGCTGTGAGGTGATGATATTGAGGGATCTGTCTGCGTACTTACTGAGCAATATGAAGTTTTGGCTGCGGCTGAATAGGATACACCCGGACGGGGAGTGCGGGCCATAACTATTCGACGGGCTTCGCTAAATGATAGGTTTTGCAATACTTTGATTGTCTGAATTTCCTTTTCTAGTGACCATTTCGGACAACTTCTGGCGTAAGCTGCATGATCACCCTTGCAATTGATGCAAAGAGGTGGCAACTCGCAAGAAGTGTCTTCATGGTCAGTACTTGAGCAACGGGCACACACCGGTCGACTTCGGCAAGATGTTTTAGAATGCCCAAACCTTTGGCATTGATAGCAACGCAAAGGATTTGGGATATAAGGTCGGACCGGGCAGTTAATCCAGGCCATTTTAACTTCAGATGGTAAATTAGATGGGTCAAACGTGAGGATAAGGTGTTTCGTAGGGATGAGCTTACCATCCCTGCGAATCTTAATCCTTCTGACAGATGAGACATTTTGACTTTGTAGGTTTTCCAATATCATTTCTTCGGTATCGTTTATAAAATCTGCTTCTGATATGACACTGCGAGAAGTATTTAGTGATCTATGAGGTGTAACAGTTACATTGAATGAACACATGGTTGTGCATGAGGATAGAGCAATAGCTTGTTTTGAGGAGGAAACTTCAACTAATAGGTCACCAGAGCGTAGCTTCTTCACAGAGGCTTTTTCTCCCAGAAACGAAAGAAGAGCCTTGTGAATGAGAAATGGTGAAATGTTAGTGAATGAAGTGTTGGGTATAGTGGGATTTTTCAAAGTGATAACAAAATATCGTGCGTTTTCATATGGTGTTGAGGGTGTTCCGCTGTTTTTGTTTTGGTGTGCGGAACTGAACACCTGCCCATTTTCGTCCATAGAAAGCAAAACTTACTTCCACTATCAGCGGCACCACCCACCACGGAGTCCAACTTAGGGGATGCAAAAAACAAGTTGATGCTGCCACCAGCTTGTTACTCAACACCGATGCTGACCGATAGTTATACCCCTGAGGCAGCCTCCACCCTTAACGAGATGCCCAGTAGATGACCCCGGCCTTGACCCTAGTCAACAGATGACGATTGTGATCAGCCGATTGATGCACACAGGCCAATATGCACCTCCCGTTTACCTGAAGCACGGGCCAAAGCAGTGTATTGGGGTACCAAGATGCCCCTCAACTGCCAGGATCCCCTTTTCCAGGGACACGGGTCTCCACGCACGGCAAACACGCGGGTGGTCTCTTCCCATCTATGTCCAACACAACAGAGCGGTAATCAAACACAGATGACAAGCCCTCACCAGTAAATTTGGCAACCACGTCAAGGGGGAAGAGAAAGGGGAAAGTAGAAGTAAAGGGAGAGGAAAACGAAGGGAGGACAGATCACTAGGGTACCCCGGGGCGTGACTCCCTGTGTTTACCTGAAGAAGGTAAACCCCCTCAGGGGTTTGAAAGATAGAAAATTAAGCACTTTTTACAAACCCCCAATAGGAAAAAGCACCTTTAAGGGCATTAAAAAAGCGTAAATCACAAATAAGCACTTTTTAAAGACGCTATGCACCTTGATTAATATAAAGTATAATCAAGTAAAATGCATTTCTTTTATTTGGTATAATACACATCCTAATGAAACTATCATAAAATTTTTATGATAATAAATTTCAAAATTGTTGATGTATCAAATCGCCTATTATCTGATAAAACAAAGTTAAAACAGCACAAATTGTTCTGGCGGTATGGCTGAGATAAAGTTGAGGAGAATAGTTTCGGGGAAAAGGCAACATAGTTTAAGATATAAATATGCTGCTAATTTAAATTTTAGTAAAATTCTATAAAAAAAAGTACTATAAGCATTAGATAATAATCAAAAGTGGTATTCTTCTATTTTTAGAAATTCTTGTATAATGCTTTCAATAACTTTAGTATTTTTCTAAAAACACCCAACTTTTTGACATTTAAAATTAAATTAAATGTAAATTCTTTAAAACATTTAATTTAAAAATTACATTGTCGGAAGTGTATAAAACTAAGCTACACATTAAAACCAAACCCAATTTTCTAAATACTTTTTCTCACTTTTTTTGGCATTTTGTGTATTTTTTAAACGAGAATATTATTAAATTTAAATGCTACTAAATTTATGCCAATTAAATTCTAAAGAAATTAATTTAAATCATTATAAAAATAAATAAAAATCTAAATACCAGCTATAAACGGATCTTCTACAGTCAAATAGGATCCAGAATCTCTATTCTTCGGCAGATACTTTCCCCCATTGTCAAAATGAATTGACACACGTTCATAATTAAAATTCACACCATAGTGTTCAAAAAATTCCATTAACATTGTTCCCAGATTAGTTGATGGATAACATTTTGGTTTATAAAATCCCTGAAACAAAAATAATCAATAAATATGTTTACTTTTTGTCGTAAAAATTTGAAAATGTTTACTTTTCAAAACTTCTATACTGTTAAAAGGATAATTACTTTTAATAGACCATTCTGAAAGAAAAGTAGTTAGATAACTATAGACTTTTTATTTTCGTTAATAGTTTACTTTAATATTAAATGCACAATTTAAAAGCCTTTTAAATATCTGAAATGGATCTTTTATAAGTTCTTCTTTAACTTTTTCGCACTGACTGTCACATATACATGCCAGCATGAAGGGAACTTTTCTGGTCAAAACCCCAACATTTTGATCCAGCCGGTCGAAACCTTAGATACTACTTCTTGTTCACCCCAGTTATAACATACTTGTGACAGTGTTCAAAAATGTTTTAAAAACTATAATTTGTATAAAATTGTAACATTTATAATATATACAATATATAATACTTATAAACAAATAGTACTCAAGTACATACAAATGTAGATTGTAGATAGATAAATGCAGATTTGACCTTTGTCTCGAAATGACAGACATGACCTGATTTGATTGAGACATGATAATATTGACACTTTACATAGCATTAGAGTAAATAAAAAGTTATCTTGTTTTCCTGAATAGCAAAGAAGTCTCTAATGTTATTATAATAATTTAGATTAATTATAAATGTATAATATTAATTATGCTTTAGAATGATTTATAAAATATTGTATCAGTAAAATTCATTTTCAGAAATGTAAAATATAGAAAAAATCTATAAGAAATTACAATAACTAAATACAAGTTAATTAGATTTTATTGTAATGTTTGATGTTTTCTTCTTTACTGACTAATTGAACACCGTGCTCTGTTAATCTATTTAGAGTTAGAATTTCTGGATTACAAATTTGACTGCTGTAAAATAAATTGTCAGAGAAAGCAAGTTTTTAAATTATTTAATAATATAAAGTATAATATGTTTACAATATTTTTTAGACTAAAAAATTTTTGAAAAACCAATAAGAAATTAATGAGCTAACTAACTAAGTGTTTATGAGGTTTTAATGTAGATGTGTTTTTTTCCTTACATTAAAAAAACACATTAGTTAAACATAGAGTGATTAAATACAAATCTATTTCACGATAGATTAAAGGAATGATTGAACACCAATATATTGAGAGCATGAACTACAGGACTAATAAAAGATTAGCATGTTGAAATTTTTTTTTCACAAATGAAAGTAAGTATTAAATAATTTTTTAAAGTTAAGTATTACTTAACAAGAATGTTAAAAAACATAATCCTGATTAATTTTTTTTAAGAGTAAAAACTGACAGTAACCTGAATTTAAGGACCAGTTACTATTCATAAATTTAGTTTTAATGAATTGTTGGATGATTTTTCCTTAACTCATCAAACATTCAGACATACTGATTGATTAAACACCAACATATTTAAAATTTGAGCTTAGATTTGTATCTTGGAAAAGATAAGATTTTCCTAAATAAAGTGTTCTTAGTAAATTTGCAAAATAATGTATGAATTAGCATACATTTTTTGGGGTACAAGTAAAGTTTTTATATATATTATGCATTATCATGTAAGTCAAAAGTGGAAATAATATACTTATATTTACTGTGTGTGAAGTAAAAAATATGTAAATAAATCTTAATCTAAAGAAGATTTTTTAAAACCATTACTTAAACTTCAAACACTCAACATACTGGCAACAGCCAACACCTCCTAAAATAAGGAAGGCCTCAGCACGGATCAAATTAGTAGTCCGATGTGACGAAGTTAACTGCGCAGCTGATGAAAAATAAGAAAGATGTCATTACGTTCGGGGTACTGAGCTGCGCAGTGGTTGAAAATACGAAATAAGTCATTACATTTGGACTACTAAAGGATATTTATGGTAACCCGTGCAGAGGCCTACTCTTTTCTAGGAGGTGTTGCAACAGCCCCAACTGTTGAAGAAGAAGAGAAGTACTTTTGCCATTAGCGGATACTTTATTGCCAAAAAATTTTTTCTTACATTTCTTCAACAAATATGGAGATATTTGAGCACATACGGGTAAACAGGAGATAGTCTTAAAATACAGGGGCCTTCGTTAAAAAAACAGGGGACTTGGCCGGTATAAATTAGTAGCCATTTTCAGAATATAACAAAATAATTTTTTTTAGAATAAAAAAGTGAGACAAACCTGTAAAAAGCTAATGACCAGCAACGTCAAACAATAGGAGTTCATTCCTCCTGTGAAAACTTCATTCAAACCTCTATGAATCAAAAACTGCTTGAGTACTAATACCAGTTTTGGTAATGGTGGATATTCTTTGATATTGTTCTGCAACAATATAAAACAACATTGTATTTCTAAGCAACAAAAGGCAAGTGAGATTATAATTAACAAATGAAAAACTGTTTGAAAGGATAAAGAACATAGTATTATGATTAAAAATGAATCGTATTTCCTATACAGGGTACATATCCAAATTACTCAACAAAAAATAAGCACTTTAAAAAAATATCATAATTAGGCAGGGTTGGAGAGTTTTTACAATTGATGGTTTTATTTTGTATTAACCGTCATGTCAAAAAAAAACTTATGACACAGTTTTTGACAATTGTTAAAAATCATGAAATTTAGAATCATGTAAAACAAACAACCTTTTTATACGCCACGAACTGACAATATGCCAAAATAGTTTGGGGTTGAATTATTTGTAAAAACATTGAATAGAATAATGTGAACTGTGTCTTTTTGCATAATTCGTAGCGAAAATCAACATGGTAAAGGAAAAATTTCATTTTCGAAAAGGGAAAATTAAGCACTTTTTAAAAGCACCCAATGAAAAAAGCACCTTAAAGGGCTTTTAAAAAATGACAATCGAAAAAAAGCACATTTAAGTACTTTTTAAAAACGCTACGCACCCTGCTATACAGGGTCGTTGCGCTTCTTTAACAATCACATTTCCTACTTGCAGCATCTGGTCAAATTTGATCATCACTGGCTGTACAACGTGTAAAAATTTTTTTTATTGAATTTGTTCCCATTGCAGATCCACCTAGTATTTAATTTGAGAAATTGCAAATTAAATATTATTGCAAAACAAGTATTAACCTCCTCAAGGAAAAAATTGTTTTGAAATTTAATTCAATACAATAAATTTTCAAAAGGAGCATTCTACATTAAGAAGGGGATAAAAAAAAAGTTTTTCAACAGTAACAAAATTAAACGATTTTTGTACTTGCATGTGCAATATACAAATCAGAACTTCCAAAGGAACAATTTCTCTTCAAATGAAACAAATGTGTTGCTAATTTTAACAATCTTATTATAAGTAACAGAAACAGATTTCAACTTTGAAATCATTAGAATTGCTCCAGAATAAAAATATATGAAATTCAGAAGACAAAGGCTCATACATTACATTATTTATTTCATTGTTGAAAACAAAATCAGCTGTATGAAAATATTGTACAACTGGCATAAGCAGCTGTCTTCTTTCTAACCCAAGATGTAGTATGTATAGTTTGAGATCTGTTTGGATTTTCTTTTGTATTGAAAACATTTTTCAAAAAAGTAGAAGACTAAATTATTTTCCATCTAAGGTCTTTAAATATAGTGATTTTCAATGGAAATATAAAATGAGATTTTGTAAACAAACTATTTAATTTTTTCAATTATAGCAGATGTACAAGACAATGTACAAGTACAATGCTATGTACAAAACGCTTTTTAAATAAGAGAAAAAATACTTGAAATTTGAGTAAGAAAGAAGTATGTCTAGAATATATTTTTAGAATCAAGGTAAATAAAATAATCAAGATCAATTCTTTCTAAATCGCGTGAATGTGAATCTCAATGTACGATTTTTAAATCACATGAATATCAATATTAATGTGTAATTCAAAATCCCATGAATACAGATAACAATGTGTAATTTTAAGTCGCATAAAAATTAATTACAATGCGCCATTTTAAATCATGTGAATGTAGTTTTATATCACGTTTGAATATGTAGGTAAAAGCGTAAAAAAAAAAAAATTTAAAAGAAAAAACTTTTTAGGAGGAATTCCAAAAAAATGGGACTCTTGATAAGGCAGAGTTTTTCTTTTAATTAAATTGGGGAAAAAACTCTTCCCTCATATATGAACAATGACAAATATTATCACAGGTTTCCCTGTTTAAAAAATAGCAATTAAAATTATAGAAATAGCATATTAGTGAAAAACAAAGAAAAAACAATAAAAAATAATATACTTTAATAAACTTTGCTGATTTTCCACCATTGGACGCATTGAAGCTAATATCAACTCGTATTTTTGATGAAGTATGAATCATTTTTACAATTGGTACCTAAAAGTTAATTAATTAAAATAATTTATAAACAATAAAAATAAATCAATTTATAAACATAGCTACTAAGTAAAACTGTATAATCATTATTGATAATAAATATGCAAGTTTGTGAAAACATCAAAGGTTTAATTAGGACATCATTGTCAAACTAGCATACAAGCATTGATACAATATTGTTAAATTACTATGTTATGCTTTCGTACACCAGATTTGAAGTAACTGTGCACGTGCAGCTGAAATGCATTTGTGCCAGTGTTAGAAAGAGATTTCCAGAAAATTAGAAAGTTAATTAAATAACGTAATTAGTGATGCACATAGAATATAGAAGACGGAATACAATATAGATACAGAATATAGAAGACAGAACACAAGTATTTATTAAACATAAAGTATAACAGAAAAAGAATAATGTATTTTTAGGTTGCTTTAAAAGTAAAGAACAGTCAATGCAGTCAGAACAGTTATGCGAACCTACAATTCTTCGTTCTCAAAAATGCTTTTTATGGAGCATTGAAATATATTTATTTTAGATGTCCATAAAATGCAAATATGAAAAGGAAAAAGTCCAAGTGATTACATTAAACGAATTTCATGCTAACTATTAATATCAAAATTAATTTAGATACTAGAAAATTTAAGGATTCTTATAGTAATAAAATATGAAAAAATATATTACACTAATAACTATAAACTAAAATTGACTGCATTCCATTTATGATTCACATTACATGGGCTTGAATTAAAATTAAACACATTTATGTTTATTATATTTCTGAAAATAAAAAGATAATAAATATATTTTAAATAGTTATAAAATATTCTTGAATAAGATTAGAAATAGAGAGTTTGCATAATGAAAAGCTGATTATTTTAGAATATTTAAAACAGAAAAAGCTTCCAACTGATTACTATATGTCAGGCTAATTTAAATTCAAGCAGTTATACCTAATTAGATGCTTATACAAGCATCTAATTGCGTAAAAATGTTATTTTGAAAGGGAATTTTTTAGAATTTTCTTAATTTTAAGGAATCTTTCAAAATGTACAAAAAAATTAGGAGACTTTTTAGTTCAACCAGCAGCTATGTGTATTGATAAACTTTAAAAACTTAAACTGAATGATTCTTACTGATGCATGGGGAATAATGGTTATATCATCTTCTTCAATGCCATTTCTTAGCAAAGCTTCACTTAATGTGCTCAGGGGTACACATTTCCATTCTCCAGTTACAACTAAATCAATATCACTGATAAAAGATATAACAACTGATTAGTCATTATCAGATAACTGTTACAAATATCAAACTTAAGTGAGTTTCATACCTGGATGGAAGGTAAAGACCTGTTCTAAAACTACCAAATACTTCAACCTAAAAAATGAAGAAAACCTGATTACCTAGTTAAAACTTAAAGTGGAAGTTAAAAAATATTATAAAAAATAATCACAGTTAGTAGGAGAGGAAAACAACTTTTACAATCAATTCTGGAATTTAAAAGATGTGATATTTTTAAAATAAATTTAAAAAATTACTTTTAGTACATATTTGTTTTCGTATCAAAAAATACAGAAAATTTACAGTAAGAAAAATGAATGTTAGTTTTAATTGACAAAGTATATTGTTGATTTTCTCAAGGGCCTTAGGCCCCTGATTTTGATGAGCCGGCCCTGATAAAAATTGATGAATCAAACCACTAGGAATTGACGTGACATTGCATTGGGGACAAAGAATAGTAATAATATTTTTTTTTAATTTTTTTTTTTCGAGATTTTTTTATATTTAATTCAAATAAAAATTTATTTGATGAAAATTTTTTTTTAAAATTTTTTTTTTTACTTCTTGTAAGCATTGTAAGCTAAAATACTATTAAAAAATGAAAATAAATATTTTAATGAGAAATATTGCTTAAGGATACAAAGTTTCACGAATTGAGAAATAATGTATAAAATGCAAAATCATATTAAATTAGCTAACAGGGAATTTCATATAAAACTGACAACTCTTTTAACAGGAATATATTGTGAGAATAGATAATGTAACCAAAGAAGAATGTTACCAAAAAGGAATAAATAATAATTAAATATTATTAAGATATTCTTTTAAGACATTTTATTTTACAATATCATTATAATATTTATAAATATAACAATTATTAAAATTTATTTTTAATTAGAGTGGAAAGCCCCATAACTCGAAAACAGCGAAACTTGGAGAGAAAAATTTTTTTTTCTTCAAATAATAAGTCTTTAAGGTAAACAAACATCATAGCATCAGTTACTCAGCAAAAATAACAAATCAATAATATTAAACATTAATTTCAAACGTTTCCTTATAGTTTAGAAAAAATAAAAATGCTATTGTTTGAACTTGCTCTTTCTTGAATAAAGACACAATTTCCTTTTGTTGCATTTGTATTACCAAATTATTCAACAAAAAATAAGCACCTTTTAAACACTTTTCAAGCACTCAAAAAAATATTTTTAAGCACTTTAAAAAAATAACATAATTAGGCAGGGTTGGAAAGTTTTTGACAATCAACGGCTTTATCTTGTTTTAACTGCCATGTCAAGAAAAAAGAAAACCTTTTGTCGTTGTTTTTGACAATTGTCAAAAGTCATGAAATTTTGAATCATGTAAAACGAATGGTGTTTTCATACGCTACATACTGACTATATGCCGAAATAGATCGGGGTTTAATTAATTATGAAAACATTGAATAGAACAATGTGAACTGTGTCTTTTTGCATAATTCAAAGCAAAAATCAGGATAGGAAAGGGAAAATCTCATTTTGAAAAAGGGAAAATTAAGCACATTTTAAAAACACCCAATGAAAAAAACACCTTTAAGAGCTTTTAAAAAATGAAAATAAGCACCTTTAAGCACTTTTTAAAAACGCTTTGATGCAAAAAAAATTAACTAGGTAGATAGTCAGATAAATACAACACTAAAAAAAGGCCTTTTATTCCAAAAGTAAATTTATCAGATTTGATAAAAAAAATAATAATATAAAACAAGGAACAAAACTGAGTAAATTATGTTAATAAAAACAATTATAATTAAAAGAGAATCAAAGTTCGTCTACTGGTGGTTCAGGGTTTATGCTTTTCACCCAAGTTTGTTTTTCTTTGGCTGCTTTTATCTTTACAACCAAACTTCTGTGTGCTTATTGAAGCAGAGTAAATATTTAGGTATCAAAAAAACAGCAAGAAAGAAAAAGAAAATTTTTGTAATACCTTTTTTAACAAAATCACAAATGAAAAGAAAAAAAATTAAAAAGGAAAAGTTATTTCTTCATTTTGATTGTATAAAATTAACAATTCCAGCAAAAAGATGTCTAAATAAGGGACAGCATATAGAATTAAAATAATTACTTTCACATACATATCTTATGTTTACAAATAAACCTTTCTTCAGAATCTCATTGAAAAGTTTGGGGATATTTTTCGCAGTTCTACAAAAGGAATTAACGCTGCTCTTTCTATGTACTTAATACTGACATGATGAAATATCTCTCTCCAAAGATACCACATCAAAGCTAACTGGTATTTGGAATACCATATCAAAGATATTTTTGAAGTTCAGGGTAACTGTTATTTAAATCAAAAATTCACCAGTGTTAACTTACCTTTGCTTGAGGCCACAGCGAATGAACAATTCTGGTGATGTGCTCAATGACTTTTAATCTCACTTCCGCTTCTTCCGTAGTATGACTCATGAATGTAAAAAAATCATTAATTTCTTGGTGTAAACTGAAAAAAAAATTTAATATATTAGAATGAAAAGAAAATATTTTATGTTGAGTCTACATTTCAAATCATGAGTAGTACATTTGCAATAAATTTAAATAAAGAGGATTTAGTGTTACATGGCAAGGCATAATATTTTAACAAAACCAGTCAATAAATACATGTGAAATAAAATTTTAAGTTTAAGCGACTATTTTAACATTTCATAACTCAGAAACTATACTTACGTATTTTACCTTCTATCATTTTGATCAAATCTGAAAATAAATTTGGTTTAAATTGAAATATAATAAAATTTTTGTACTAAGAGGCGATATTTCCATATTGTGCCAACTACAATCGTCAAGGTGCCATGAGTTAAACCTTTCCAGTTGGTCCATTTCTGTGATGTTTGTTTTTAGTTTCTCATGGACCCCTGCCTGGAAGTTGTAAAGACTTGCTGATTATTCTGCCACAGATCACAATACGGAAATCTCCCCCTAAGCTATTTATGTATTTTGTCAATTTTTTATAATCAACTATTATATTAAAATAAATATGAAAGATACCAAAATAACCCAGGCGCGATCTTGGTGAAAATGGCTGACAAGGTATTTGAAGTCGTACCCAAATTTTGCCATATAAAATCACATTTTTTAGTCTTATTTATTCAAAACTGAGAAATAAACTTAAGAATACAGGAGGTTCAGAAACTTGTACTTTTTTATCACTTGCTTTGGGGAAAGGAAGATTTATAATAGGAATAAATTATAAATTGACTATACACATAATTAAAAAGTAGATAGTTAAGTGTTTTTTTAAAAAGATTATGGATTTTTTTAAAATGTCCAATAATTAAAAAAAATCAGAAGATTGCAAATTTACATATTTTTATTTATAATCATTCAATATTTACAGTAGATTATAATCTTCTTCACTAAAATTAAGGGTTTTTAACAATTGTCTAAAAAGCTCTGTAAACCTTTTCGACATGACAGTTAAAACCAGAAAAAATCCAATCTATTCTCAAAACTTGCCAACCCTGACCAATACGGAAATCTTTCTGATATCCAAGATAACGAAAGCTATGAACGTAGAAGTAAATGGTCAATAACATCTTTAAGCTATATTATTCATCATAAATTTAGTTATGCTTTATTTGACATAAATACTATTTATATTCTTACCCCACTATACCACATCGATAAATAGGTTTTTTTTTCCATGGCAACATCGTAAATTGACCTGGAGATTTGGACATCTTGGATACACGCTTAGACTTGAAGGATTCACAGTCATATTTTTTAATATTTGATACTTCCGTAGGTTTGGAGCATTCCGCAATAGGAATAAATGAATCTGAAGTATATTGAGGATCAGTCTCCATAGCAATTTACTGATATAATAAGCTCCTTTTTATGAACAGATTTCGTAAAAAGAAAAGCATAGAATAGAAATCGTCAAGGACTTCAAGAATAAGCAGTAGTATCTAATCTTTGCATGCCAAGACAATAGCAATATCTATGGAAAGGGTAACACGAAATTATGTAAGTTTTTTTTGTAATGTTTATATTTGTTATGTAGTCTTAATCCTACATATTTCACCTTTTTCTAATCTGAAAAAAATCGATCACGTTTAAAAAGTGCATTATTAATACCCTCTATTCGTATGCTTAATTAAAAACTGAAAATACGGTTTAAATCGTTTTATAATTTTCATAATAATGAACCCATTACGTATTATCCAGTGTTGTGCAATGCCAACACTTCACACGTGTTTTAAATTTTTTCTATTTTAATTTATTCTAATAAAATTGTTTGTTATTAAAAAGAATTACTGAATACAGTTCATTTAATTTTATCTTACCTTATAAACTGATTCTTTTTAATCTCTTTATGAAATATGGATATCAATTTTAAAAAAAACTAATGATTTGAAAATATTTGTAACCGTTGTAAAATTCGGTCCTTTTTGTTTTTTTGTTGCTGCCTAGCTTTCACTGTAAATTTAACTTTTAAAAGGCGGTTTAATTTTATTTATAAGAAAACTAGTCGGTCAATACTTCTAGTCCGAATTCTCGGTTTTTTAAAAGAATTATTGAAGGTCCAGCATGGATGAAACTAAAGAAATTAAAACAGACTCTACTTCTGACGAAACTTTAGCACCCGCTAATGATTCCAACAAGTATGGGCTTTCATTTTCTTACTAAACAGATGTGTTTTTCTTTGACGTGTTATTCACTCATATAATTATTAGTGTAGCTCGCTGGTTTTGTTATAAACTATTCCAAATTTTTTTCAGAGAAGGGTCCGTCAGTCTACTATTCAATGAAATGATGGTTTACAAATTTTCCCCTCTATTTTCTTTTAAAACTATTGGTGGCTGCTAATAAGTACTTAACTCTAGTTTAGCTTTTATAAATGGTTTATTACAAATTATAATACTGTTATTAGCCTGAATTATTTAAATATTTTTTTTCTTAGTTTATTATCGTTAATTTCCTATATTGTGTTAGCTTATCAAGTATATAATTAGACTAAAAATTATGAAGAATTATTTTAAATCTATGTTTTCATTTCTTTAAGTTTTGTTATTTGCATATTACACAACGTACTATAGTATACCTTGTTTGTGGAAATATTATCAAGTTGAGATAAAATGTGCAAAGATTAGACGAATTTTCTAAAAATTTAGATAACTTGCCAATTCTTGAAAAATTAAATGGGCACATTACCTGTCTGTCAAATAATTTTCTGGTAATGAATATATTTCAATTAAACCCATTTAGTTCAGAGTTGGCTAGGTTTAGGGTCAGAATGGATTAATCCACATTTTAAACCAGTGTTTCTTAACCTTTTTGATATAATGGACCCCTTTTAAAAAATTTTAAGAAGTCATGGACTACCTCCCTGTGAAAAAAAATTTTTGCAAAAAACCTCAATTATTAGAAAACATTTAATTTTAATAGTAAGCAAAATTTTTATAATTAAAATTTTTAATGTGCAGGTTGCTGCTGCTTTTCCTTAATTAATAAATTTAATTGGGGGATTGTTTTCGACAAAGCAACGTGTATATCTCGTTCAACATTCAATCGATTTCGATGTTATATTTTTATTGTCAGAAATGTGGAAAATCCCGCTTCGCAAAGATACACTGTAGCAAACAGAATTATAACTGCCATAGTTCGCTTTACAAGCAATGGGTAGGCTTCCAAGCATTTTAAAAATTAGGAGTAGTCAGTGGACCTCCAAAATATAACTCATGGACCCCTTAGGGGTTCATGAACCACAGGTTAAGAAACCCTGTTTTAAACCGTCCTGTACATAGCCTCTTTGTCTGAAAAGTGTCCAAAACCCTTTTATTCAAATTATGTCACAGTTTTAAAAAAAATATTGTGAAAAATGAAAGGTTAATTTTTGAATAAGAAACAGACAAGTTTTTGTTTTATTGAAAGAGTTTATTGTTATTTTAAATATTGCATTCGTTTATCCTTATATGCAAAAGCATAATTTAAAAACATAATTTATCAGTTTCTTCATATTTAAGGGATAAGGTATTCACTTTTGTTGTTTAATGAATTATGGAGCTTCAAAAGCATTATTTTCTTATATTATTTTTATTTAATAAGTTAAAGCAAATTGTATAAAAATTATCCAATATTTATCCAATATATATTATCCTTTTACCAATGTTCAAGGTTTTAGAAAGTTTAAGACAATAAAACCCACATGTCCTGTCAAAAACCAGTTTAGGGCATGCAGAACATCAACCCTGATTTAGTTTTATGTTAATTTGGATACTAAATCCTTTTAAAACATATTAAAATACATAGTTAATGTTTACCAATCCGAATATTGAAGAGACTTTCTGCCCAGAAGAACTTAAAATATAATTTTCTTCAATGTAATCTAATCTAAGCTAATTTATTCTTCATTAGATATCTGACAAATTGCTTCCCTATCTTTAAACTTTTACCATTTTTAGCTTGAACAAAAATAACCAGGATTTATTTATTCAGTGATAAGTTTTTAAAAATTGAAAACTAATTTTTGAAACATTTTTGTGAGAAATATCAATTTTAGCTATATTATTGTTTTTAAAAATATTAAAAATTGTTAATATATTTTGATAATTTACTTGGTAAGTGTTAAAATTACTAGAATCTGATTTAAATCAGATCTTTTTTTAATGATTTAGGTTAAATAAATTTAGGGGCATATTTCTGTATGGGGTCTGACGCTCCAACTGCAAATGCCAAATAGAACTTGTGAAATTTTAAAAAAAAAAATTCATGTACACGCTTGTCCGGGGGTATCTGCAAGTTATACCTTTCAAGTTAATCCCTTTCTGTTTTTTTTTTTTTTTTTTTTTTTTTTTTTTTTTTTTTTTTTTTTAATCTTGCGGGTCATTGTCAGGAAGTTGCCAAGACTTGGTGATTATTCTGTCACAAATAATGTTGCAGAAATCTCCCTGCATTTATTTAGTTTGAAACAGTATATTGAAATTAATTTGATAAAAACCATAGATTTTCTTATGTTTTAAAAATTAAGTTCCATCTTGAAAGCGGTAAATCCATCTGAAGAGTTCTTTTAGCTATGGACTGCAGATTGTGCTCACTTAGTGTATAAGAATGATATGTGTGTTTTAACAAAACTTTCAGAGACAAAAAAAAAAAACTTTTTTTATTTTAAGTTGGTTTAATTGCTAAAAATAATAGATCTTCCATTATTTTTATAAATAAATTAATGCTGTTGATAGTGTTCATTGACTTATGCATGGATATACAGGAGTAAAAAAATAAATTTAGTTGTTGGTCTGAATGACCTGTCACAAAAAAATATTACTTGTCCATACCCATGCATTTCCACTGGTTGTTTTACATGCTCCTGTTAAAAGTTAATAAGGGAAATATAATGAAAAATGTCAATATAAAGAAAGTGTTACTCTGTGATTAAAATACAAATCAAAGAACAAAATTGAAATCATAAAAATCTAATTCTAAATCTAGAAAGAAATTTAAATGTGAAGAACCTATGTAAAATGAACTGTTTTATTTTTCAATGTTTATGCTATGCTTGGTATATTTATCAACTATATGGTTGACTTTTTACTTATAATTTCAGTGATATAAAAGATATTGTGGAAAATTTGTCAACAATTGCTGACTGTTTAATATGAAGTGTGAGTGATATTTTTTTAACTCTAAATTACATTTCAGAACTGAGGAAATGGATGTAACACCTATTGATGGTGCACCTTCTAGATCAAAGGATTTAAGCAAGTAAGAATTGATTAACAAGACTAATAATAATATTGATCTAATTTCTATCACTTTATTTATGTAAAAACAGTAGAATTCATTTAAATTGTTTTTTGTTTTTTTTTTTTAATTTTAACTGGATGATTTGTAAGTTTGATGCGAGAAATAACAAACTATATTCCACAATTTGCATTATTACTTGATATTTATTCTTCTACATTTTATTTCGATTATAGCTACAGTTTCGATAAGTTTTAACATAAGACCAATTTAATTTTTTACTTAATTGTTAAATCAATTTGTTATAATTAAGTTTTATTCAAAATAAAATAATAACTGATGTTATGAAGCATGACAATGATTTTAAATGCAGGGTTCTGTCTAGGTTTTTCTGAGAGGTACCTACCTATTTTGTGAAAATTTAGACATAATTTGTGAAAATTAAAAATTATAATAAAAAATCAACACAAAAATATGGATTTATTGTTTCTTACAGGATACAAAAATAAAATTTTAAGAAAAAGTATTTTGAGAAACTACCTTTTTTCCTAGAGTTGAATTTGTGAAGGTACCATTAAACGGTAGTAAATTTGGCCTGAACAGACCCCTGAAATGGGTGTTAAATTTTGAGTCAACCTGTGCATGATATTTGTCCTTCAGACTGGTAATTTTTATAATTTCTAATGCTGCAAGTTAATTTTTGATTGTTTAAAATCTATTTTTTAAACTTTTTGCTATCGAGAAACTAATCCCAGTTATGATTGTACACATGGAAGTATATTTTGCATTTAACTTTTTCCAGCTTACTTATATTGAGATTTGTCCATTTTTTTCTAGAACTTTACCTGAAGAAGCATTTAACAATTTCATTCAGGGAAAGAGACACATGCTTGTTCAAGATTATACATTTGCTGTTCAGAGTTTAGCTGTTGCATGTGAGTTATATGTGAAACATTTTGGGGAGCTTGCTGTTGAGTGCGGTGAAGTTTATTTTCTCTATGGAAAATCTTTGATTCGTTATGCACAATCTCAGTCACAAAGAGGAGTTTTAGGAGATGCTATAAATAAAGGTTAGTTTATAAACCAGTAACAAAGTAATGAAATGTTAAAATTCATTTTTGGCTTTTCAAATTATATGTAATATGTTTTTTACTTTAATGTGTTTTTTTTTCCAACTGTGAGCAGTACTCTATATTATTAGAATGAAAGTTAAAAATAAATGTTTCGTGATGTTATGAGGGCCTCTGCTAAGAACATCAAATTATTAGCCAAATTTCAAAATTCTTAGCCAAAAGCAAATCATAACGCTTTTTTATGATTTATTTTTTCCCCGCAGAAAACTCAAAATCAAAGTATAAATTTATTTAAAATTCAAATGAAGAGTCATTTTTTATTTGTAAAGTAGTAAATGAGCAATACATGGGGGAGAGGATGAGTAATGTAGGTGTTATATCTTCTTTAAAGAAACGAAAAAGGAATAGATCGACTAATTTTTTATAACTTAAGACTAGAGCAGCAATATAAAGATAAATCTGAAGCTACATTCTGTTATTGTCACAAGAAAACAAAACAAATTTTCTAAAAAAAATAATGGGAAAGAAATTGGTTACGCATTGTCTTATTCGGCAACGATCATAGTGACCTGTATTTTTCCGTAGTTTTTATTCTGCCTTCTTAATTTCTCTTGCTGATTATGCTTACATTATCTGCACTTAATATAATTCTGATTGTTTATGCAACATATCTAAAGAATATATATTTTTCCTTTAGCTAGAAAAAAACCATTAGACAAAAAGTACAATTATTTTCGCCTAGTTTATAATTTTATTTTTGAATTTGCAATGTAGTGAAGGCTTAGTGTGAGTCCCAGTTATGTCTCATGTAAGAAATTTCTACTTAAAACTTAACCACTCTGTAAATTTAATTAAAAATTGTAGCTTTATTTAATGTATTATTCAAAATGAAACATAATCTGCTCATACATCAGTAACACCAAATTAACAAAGCTTTTATTAAATCGTATTAAACAGTTCACATGTTTTATGAAGCAGTTTTTTCTTAATACATTGGAAATTAAGTTTTATGAACTAAAAATTAAAATAACTGCTGCAAATAGACAATTTTCAATTTTATGCAGTTTAAATATTCTATGATAACGCTTATTTATATGTTTTTCTATCATACATCTGATTCATTAAATATATCTATTTTTATGAAGTTATAATTATGCTATTTACAATGTTCTTGAATGTAATATTGCTACCGAACTCTTTAACATTCTAAGTTATAAGATTTTTATGTGGTAATTTAAATTTATATAATTTAAACTTAATTAATTTTTAATTTGAAATAAGTCTGATATTTTTTAATCTCTAACTATATGTATTAATCCCCTCACTAATAAATTGTATAAATTTGATGTTTTATCTTCCATGAAGCAATATTTGAGCAATTATATTCTTATTATTGAACCAATATATTAAAGTAGTATTTTTTGTTTGTTGTAAATTCACGCTTGTATACTAGATCTGAATTTGCGTAAATATTATTTGATATTGAAATCTAATTCACAAATGCCAAAAATTGCACCAAAAAAAAAAATTTTTATTGCAATAGCCTTAAACTTATGGTACTTCTGTACTATCGAGTCTATATAACTACCACTGTGATCTCATTTTCATTTGGAAACTAAAATGAACATTATAATCTGAGATAGCTGCATTTTGAAGGCATAAAACTATAGCAAATAATTTCTCTTACCTCATAAATACTGCACTTATTTTGACAAAATATTATTTTTCTATCCACTTTGTTCAAAAGTTTTAATTTCTCTTCTTAGCATATAGTATTATGCTAGTTAGTCATTTTTGCTAAATAAAATGTAAAGATAACTGAGAAATCTAAGTAAAAATAAAATCTAAGGAACATGAATACCATGTGCTTAAACTCAAAATATATCTCTTATTACAACACCCAACAAAAGATTGAAAAATATTTTCATCGGATAAAAAATGATTATTGAATAATTTGAGAAGAAATTCACAAAGCTTGCTTGCATACAAGAGAATCTGAAGTGTATACGAGAATACACTTCAGTAGAATACACATAAGATAAGAATAGGTGTTCCTGTCCCTCTTTTTCTATTTATAAAGAACTTTTTATATCTATTAAACGGTAGTGTCAAATGAAATGATATGAATCATTTTCTAGAAAATAGTCATTAAAGTATTACAACATCTATGGAATAGCAAATAGGACTTTGTCTTGGTCAGTATATTGAACCAGTTGTACTAATTGAGGGTCATACTAAATTACATAGACTGTACTATTATAAGTTGTATTGTTACCAAAAAATTTATGTATAAATTAGTTCCTTTATAACTTTTGATGAAACTACTCTTTTTAGTATTTTTATATTCAGGTTATTTTTTCCTTTTTATATACATTTCTTAACTTAATTGTTATGCAATTTTTATTGAATATTGATAGCCTAAATTATATTGGGTTCTTTTCTTCATTTAAATTCTTTATTCGTTTTATCTAGTTCCTGGTGTTGCTAACGACGATGATGATTGTGATTCTACTGGTAAGATATTTTTTATTTTTAAAGTTTTAGGAGATAAAAATCTGTGCAATATTTCTCTTATAACATTTGTTTATGTTTTTTAGACGAAGAAGAAAATGAAAACGAGAATGAAAGTGAATCAGGTTTGTTTTTTGTTTTTTTCATGACCCTGGTTTTGAAAATGTTCATTATTTTTTCATCGAAAAAGATCTTTAGTTCCCTTTTCTAATAGTAGCAAGTCTAAAATTTAAAGAAAAATTTGTTTTAGTCAGCAAGTACACCAGTTTGAAATTTAAACTTTAATTCTTCAGAGACAAGATTCTTAGTAGAACACTAAAGTCAAGCATCATTGGCTGCTGTCAATATAGGGATTGGTGACTACTTTGATCATCCTGCATAGGGATAAAGGGTGCTTGTTACCGGTCCTTATTAAACTGTTCTTAAAAAGATTGACTTGGTGCTTCGTTAAAGTGGGGGGCATCTCCTATACAAAGAATCAAAGTTGTGATGACGTGTCTACGAATCATCCTCTACGATTTTCCAGAATGTGATCAATAGTCCATAATTAATCTCTATTGCAACCAAGTACCTAACTTTTAATAATTGATGCAATATTTTGGAATACCAAAAATGCTCTTTACTAGAGATAAAATTTCATATTCAATTCTGGAGTTTCTCTTTGCATTTTGTTTTACGTGTTAGGAATTAAAAAAAGTTTTAATGACTAATTTCCTTCTTGCTTAGACATCAAAGGCTAAGTGACGAAACTGAAAAAGTTCTCCTTTATCTGGCATATATCACAGGATCTTAGTATCTCAGGTAGGCTTGGACCCCCCAAAGTACCTAAGCTGAAACTCTTCTCTACAACTTGCTGCGAAGTTTTTGTAATGCAAGCTTTAGTTCTAAATGCAGAACTAGTTTAAGCTTTTTAACGCTTTGGAAAATCTAAATCTTCGGGTTTTTTTTTTAATAGCTTTTATTTTCTTGTTTGTTTTTCATTTGTGAATGTAGACATTTTGTTTTTAACTTATGGGCAAACTTAACTATTCCTTTAGTAATTTAAATTCAAAGCAATTTTTCTACTATGATTGTAAATAAATTACCTTGATGCAATAAATTGTGATGAAGCTCTTTCTATTTCGAAAAAAATCCTTGAAAATCAATAGAATGTTTCAGTTTTTAAAAAAGTGCTTACTACAACAAATTGTCGCTTGTACTATAGTAAAGCATGACCACAGATTCTCTACTTTTACTTTAACCTTCAAAGCTTTTCAGTAAATCTTGTACATATAAATTTTGTTGCTACGCATTATTTATTGGAGCAAATTAGTTGAAAAAATTAAAACTTTTAATCTGTAAAACTGTCAATAAAATCATGATTTTCCCTTGCTTGATGTGTGAATTACCCATTTTTATTTCTATGTCTGCATGTTGTCTACTTTAAGTCCATACAAACCATATGACTTCAAATAGTTAATTACATTGTAAGAGCGATAGTTCATAACAAAATGTTTGTAAATTAAAAAAATTTCTTTTATAAAAGTCAACAATTTTATGATATTCCTCACATGATCCATGTAAAAATTCTAGTCAGGACTTTTATGAAAGCAAGACTGACAAAAGCAAGAAAAATGAAGCATGCAATGCAGTATCATGAACATCATATGTAAAAAAAAAAAATTATTGATTTTAACATTAAAATTTTTTGATTGCAAGTTTTTGGATACATTTTATGTTGTGTAATAAATGATTTTCTTTTTTATTGTCTCTGTGTAGTTCCAATTGCATCAAATCAAATTATTGGTGGTTCTACTAGTCTAGACATAGACTGCTCGTCTAATTTCCCAATAATTGAAAATTAACCAAATTTACCAAATTCATTATTTTCTTGCATTTGTCAGCCTTGCTTTCTTAAAAGTCCTGATGATTCTTTTTGGTTATTTTATTTTTAACTTTTAAATTTAAGTTGTATTTTTTGTTCTCGTCTGGCAATGTGCCACTTGAATTTTCTTTTCTTGCTGTGCATTATTGTGTAATGTTCAACAATCTGCACTAAACAAAAAACATTTCTTTTTATCTCATTTTTTAGGAGAAGATAAAGAGAAAGAAGGTGAAAAAAATGGCTCAGGTAAATTGACTGTTTCTGTGATTATTTTTATTGTGTATAGAATTGAAATAAGCAATTTCTTTTGAAAAAATTGTTCTATGTCTTTAATTATAAAAACCATGTGTATCAATTTTAGGTTTAAATCAAATCTTAAGTTTCTAAGAAAATCTTTTTCCTTTTATTTTTAACATGTTTTAAAAAATATTGTTAATATATCTTTTTACTAGGTATTCTGCTCACTGCATTATCAAACTTTTAATAAATTCCAGGAAATAATTTAAATTTTAACAAAATAATGTATGGTTACCTTTGGCCAACTAAAGCAAAAAAGCGATCAACTTTCAATCAAACTTTTAACCAATTCCAGAGAAATATTTAAATTGTAGATACAATTGTGCAGAGTTACCATTGGCAACTAAAAAGACGGTTTTTGACTTTTTTGAGCAAAAAAGCGATCAAAAGAAACTATTTTTAAAAAGAGGCAACGTTTTGAAGATTCGGATGACTATTTCTTCAGAGATCATGTTATTTATATAATCAGCGACAGATTTTTCGGCACTTTTCTGCTGTTTCTAATTGCAAAAGAAAGAGATCCATTGTTAAGGAAAACATGCTAGAAAAAAAAAATTAAGTATAAGGAGGAAAAATTCAAAAAAAGTTTTTTGTTTTTCACCCAGGGTTGCTGCAATTCAATCTGCCTTTGTGTAGTAGTTCTTTCTAAATAATGCTATTAATCATTGTTTAAACTAGTTGTCTGAATTTCTCCCTAATAATAATTCTTGTACAGGGGTTTCATTTTCGCTTGATAACAATGATTCTTTAATCTTTATATTTGTTCTGTTAACTTAATTATTTCAATACATAACTGTTATTTATTTCATTAGTAAAGAATATTTTTCCTTTGCTTTTAATTTTTTAAGAGTAATTTTTATAGTTAATAGGTAAGATTTATTTCTTCAAATTTGCTTTTATTCTTCGCAAATTACAATGTACATATTACAACACAGTTAAATACTATGCAATCTGATTCCCGTATCAACTAAATTTTATATTTAAGAAAAATTGCACATTTTGAATTTGTTTTCCTGCAATTTTAAAATCAAGCATCAAAGTGTGTATTTACTTTTTTTAAAAATAAAATACAATGATTAACTGTGATAAATTATGAAAATTTTTTAACTCTATTCAATTTACATGTATTATAAAATATCATGATTCATTTTCACGGAATGTAAAAATCGAATGTTGCAACTCATTTTCAGTTGATTTTTAAAAAGTGTGGTTATCATGATCAGTATTAACATGATTTTTAAGAAAAATCAAGATTAAAAATAACACCTAACTTTAACTGAACGAATTTGAAAAGAAATGAAAAAAAACTTGCAATTCATTATTTTTGCAATTACCCCCTGTACTATTTAAAATGTGATACATAAAAAAAATTTAATTTCTGTTATTAGCTTTTTTATTTTCCTTGCCTAACTTACCTTTGTAATTGTAGAAGTTGGGGATAACGAACAGTTTTGATGGAAACTTGCCGCGGTTTAATTTACAATTGCTTTCTGTCTCCAAAATTAAATTTTATTTATCTTTAGTTATAAAATTTATCTTTATTTAATTCATTTTATTCTTGATAGCTGTAAAAAATATTGTCTTGATTTTGAAGCAGTAGTGGAAGTACTTAATATTAAATAAACTAAATGTTTTTAAAAAAAACACGATAAGTTCTAAGAAATAAAGTTTTGATTTTTTGTGAGTATAAGACCAATCTGCCTATGTTTTTTTAAACTATTGTATTGTACATTTGGATGATGCAATTTCTTTAATTTATTTTAAAAGGTTGCTACATGAAAAAATAAACTTAATTATTTCTATTAGTGGCCTATGTAAGCTACTATTTTTTATATTTAAGGCTACTAATGCAACAATTCTAGGACAATTGTGGTAGAAACCTTAACTGAGGTGAAGCCTACAAATGTACTGTAGAAAGTTTAATTGTGGGATTCTCTGCCATGCAATTTTGTCTACTCCGAAATTAAAAGTATTTTTGCTAGGCCATTCAAGGGGATTAACTTTTAAAGTCTTGTATAATTTTGTCAAAATATTTTTCAAAACTTTCAATAATGTTAAATTGTTTTCATCTAACTATAAATATGTCAAACTCCTTTGAAATCAAGTTTGTATATTGCCTATTAAAGCTTTTTTTATGTATATATATATAAAACATTTTGTAATATTTGTTGCAATGTTCAATGCCTGATGAATATAGTGTTTTTATAAGATTATTGTAGAGTAACGTAACCAGTCTTTAACCATAACTCCATCTTAATTTATTTATTTATTTTTTTAGCTACTGAAGAAAATGAGACTGAAACGGAAGAAAAAGAGCCTTCTGAGTCCACAGACTCACCACAACATGTTGAGAATGAAGTAGATTCCAAAGAAAAAGAACCTGAAACAAATGCCGCAGAACCAGATGTTTCAAGGCAGAATGAATCAAGTAATGAGGAAAATCCCGAAGCAGAGGTGAATGATTAAATATTTATGATAAATTATGTGGTTATTGATTTTATTAACATGCTGGATCTTAAAAAAGAAATGTTAACTCGAATTTTTCACAATTATTTTATTGTTAGGCAATAATTTCCAAAATACCATCCCTTGGGATTCAGTTTCTACTGCTTAACTTTTAAGAAGTATAATATGGTATTATAGTTTTGCACTTGAAAGTGTTTTCAATTTGCTCTTAAAGTGATGAGTGTATCACCTGTCATCATTGAACAAATGGCTTTGCAGCTGTTTTCAATCTTTAAAAGCTAGAACATATTTGGTATTTTCTTTTAGATTCACTATTAGTTATTTGAACATTAAAGGTTTAAAGAATAACTTCATGCTCTCCAGAATCCTGCTATTTTATTGCTTGCATATGAATAATCAAAATGCTATTTTTTAATCTTGTTATTAGTAGGAATATTTGATGAAAATTACTCTTCTCAAAAACCTATAAATATATTGTTTAAAATTTATCTGTACTACATAACTTTTAACGTGATTTAAATTTGAGCTTAACGTACTGCGATGTTTTTTTTTATTTTTAGTCTTTTCTAATATCCAGAGAATGTTTAGCAAGATCAAGTAATAACTTTCTTACACTTTCATTTTCTTACAATTCTTTTAAAGATTAAAAAATACTTTCTTACAGTTTCACCCAATCAAGACTTCTAGTGAAATGCTTCAAAATTGACATTCAAAGACTTGCTTGTTGCCACAATTACGCTTATATTTTACGGCTTTTTGTCAGGACACGTGTTTGCCATTCACAGAGTATTCATATCATGTATGTGACAAGCTGTATTAGTTCTGTAATTCATATTCACATAACTTTAAAATTATTCAAAAGCAGAGATGATATTTATTAGATCTTCTAAATCTCAATTTTTTTGTTGTCACATTGACTTATGCATATTTTATTTGATTAAATTGTTTCTAAGAAGATTTTTATTTAACAGTTGCTTTACTCATGAGGAATATCATTCCTTTTAATCAATTCTTAATTATATTCCTTGTCATAAACGTGCAAAATCTTAACTTTGCCTGGTAACCAGTTTTAAATGTCAATTTGAATTCACGATGTTGGTACTATTCTTAGCCGTATGTTTAGGCATCTTTGCATTGTTCAAACTATATCATTACATTAATTTCATTGTATAACTGCATTATTTTGCGGAACAATCGTTTTTTAATAAATGCATTAAGTGTTGGTAGTGTTCTATATTATTTTCTTTGAAGGTTTTTTTTTTTCTGCATAAATCTTAGGAAAATATTTCATTCCAGCATAAAAGGGTGCTCTGATGCATAAAAAGTTTTTTTTTACAGGCCTAGTAACAAAGTTTCTTTCACGACCATTTCATATATTAATATCAGACTACTTCCAGACCTTTTGTAAACCGCCCTGTTTTTGTGAAAACATTTATTCATAATTTTGTGTATTTATTTTAAGCTTTGATTTAGATTATTTCAGACAGTTTTTATGATAAAGTGAAAGTTATGCACAAAATCATATAAAAACAAATAATTAAGCATAAATGTCATTAGCTCCATTCTTCAATAGAATTTTGTGTAGAGCTTATTTTTTAAATTGAGATTTATGCATTTTTAAAGAAACTATGTTAATTTCCTATACGTTTCTAAAACTTTTAAAGTAATTTTAAAATAACTACTTTATAAGATAATTTAAAAATATATAGAAAGTTCCTGTGGCATTGAAGGCAAGATTTTTGTTAAATGTAACTCATGTATTGCAGGATGATGATTTGGAACTGGCCTGGAATATCCTTGAAGCTGCTAAATCTATATTTATGAGGTAAGGTGAAGTGAATTTGCATAATCTGAAATGACTTTGAAAAATTCCATATTCATTAAAAAAATTTTTATCTAATTCTGTTTTACAGGCAAGGTGAGGAAAATAAAGAGGCTCAATTAAAGGTTGCAGAAATTTTACAACTACTAGCAGAAACTAGTCTTGAAACTGATAACTATCCTCAAGCAATAAGTGATCTCAAATCTTGTCTTTCAATACAAGAAAAACATCTTGCCCCTGATGATAGAATTCTTGCTCATACGTATCCTTTTAATTCTGAGTGATTTAATTTGATTTTGAATAACTTATTTAAAGCTTACAAAATAGCAACATAGTCACTCAAGGGTGAGATTCATTCTTTCAGGAATTAAGAATTTATAGAGTTTTTGAAATGTATCAATACTTTTAAAATGTAAAATTTTTTTTTTTTTTAAATACTGAACAATTGTAAGGAATTTGCTATTTTAGTAATTATTATTTACATTTCATTTTTTGAATCAAAGATTAATAATTAAATTTACTTAGCATTTATTGGAATTAATATTAATGAGAGAAATCACTTATGAAACAGGCCAAAAGATTTGTTTCCATGACATACTATTATCGGTATTACATATTATCTTTTTTATATTAGATCTTTTAATATTTTTTTTTTAATAAGTATAATTGTTATTAAATGTAGTCGTTAAAAAGTATGTGCTGAATTCTATTTTTATATTTTCTTTCTTAAACTGCTAATGCATTAGCGTAAAAGTTCATTCTGGTTTTGCTATAATTTTGTAAGTTTTTTTTTAAAACTTTTTGCCAAATTATTTAAAATAGACAATTTATTTCTGCTGATTAGGTTAGATTGGTTTTATTTTTGATTTAGCAAACTTGAAATAAATTGCTGAATAATAGATCTTGCTTGCGTTAACTAATCCTTCCCATTACTATTGATTAGCTTTTGATCCAGATCAGTGATTCTCAACCTTTTTTTTGTTGCGGCACACAATGAAAAAAATTAAATTAAAAGTTGTTTAATTACCTATTTTACACTGTGTTAAATAGTTTGTGATAATAATTATGAATGTGAAATAAAATATGTACTACAAAAGCACATTTATTAAGGGGTTAATTATTTCTTTCGACCAATTTTTTATTAGTAAGTTATTATTTTTTTGCTAGTTATTATTTGTTAGCTTGTTTTCTATAATTAACTGTTATTTTTTTGTGATTTCATGTTAACTAGTTTTTTTGCTAATTATTAATTGTTAGCTTAATTTTTGTTAGTTATCCTTTATTAATTTGTAATTTTAGTTATCCTTCGTTAATTTGTTTATTAATTTCATAGCTTACTTTAATGATTAGCTCTTACAACATATTTTAAAATTGTGTGTCATATACAATTTAAACACTTCCATCTTATTTTAAGATTATCGGAGACAATACAATCGCGGACAAAGATGTTCACGCTGTTAAAGCGTGGAAAATTTTTAAAAAGTGTATATATATATATATATACACACTTTTCTCTAATTTAATACATGTTTCTTTAATTTTATTATAATAAGAAAAAGTATTATAATTTTTATTGTATTATTTCTAATATTTGGCGGCATGCAAAAGTGCCGCCACACAGTGGTTAAGAATCACTGATCTAGATTGTTACCGTCTGTGTCAACTGTCATATACTTTATTCCTTATATTTTCACCACAAAATTTTAGCTATTTCAAGGAAAAAGAATCATCCAAATTTTATGTAGATTGAGAATATTTTTTGTAAATTTCATACAATTTCCTATAAGTTACCTTATTTTTAATTCCTTCAATTAATTTCAGCAATTTTACCAATCTTTAAAATCAAAGTTACCATACTTCTTCAATGTGTAATTCTTTAACAGTTTTAAAAGATATTATCAATTGGGTTTAGCCTATATGCTTCAAAAAATGTATGATGGAGCTATAGAAAACTTCGTTAAAACTAAGAAACTCTTTGAACTTAGAAAAGAAAACCTAAAAAATACCCCAGTATCTGAAACAGTTGGTGGGTTTGAAGCCGCAGAGCGGCAAAAGGAATTGGAAGAAATTGATGGCATCATTACCGATATCAAAGAAAAGATTGAAGATACTGAAGAATTAGTACGGAATGCAAAGAACGAATTGCAAGAGGCAATTATCAAAAAAGAACAGGAAGCAGAGGTTTGTATAATTTAATTTTTCAAAATGATTTGCGCACTAGAACCCAATTATAATTTTTTGCAACTCTAACCTTAAATGCGCATTTTATTCTTGTGACGACTGAATGAAAGATTTTATTTCCCATCAAAATTAGTCAAAGCTTTTGTTATTTTATCTGGTTTGATAAATGTTTACTTTTCTGAGAATTTATAAAATGAACTTATATTTATCCATTTATGTTATTACAAATTCCATTTATTTTAATTTTATCTTTTAACTTAAATGAGTTCTTTTTAATCTAAGGTTTTTTTTAAAAATGATATTTTTGACTGTTATTTACTTATTTATTCATTTTTATCTAACATGTATTTTACTATTAAAGAAGTATAATATTAAGTTGTTAAATTTAAGGAAATGCATTCTTTTGTATCAAGCAATTCTTATATAACATGGCAGTTTCAAATGTGTAAAAACTGCAAATTGTATATTTTGTAACATAGCAAAATAAATATATTTTTTATTATGAAATTTTCAAATGTATAAATAACATACTGTCTAATACCCTGTTTTAAATGTATTTAAAAGAACTTTGAACTTATGAAAGTTTTGAAGTACCATAAGTTACTTTAACAAAAATCAGAACTGTTTGATACTTTTCAAATATGTGCATTTAAAGTTTGTAATCACATAGTATTACAAACCTGAGTTGTTTTTTTTTACATGCCCGTTTGAAGTGTCGAGAGCCTGCTAAAAAGTGTACTAGATTTAATACTCTTTTCTGCTCTGCTACACATTTCTTGCCAGCATTTATACCTTAATCAATCCATAATCTTTTATACATATTTTTTTAAAAAAACTTTTGAACATTGAAATTATTTTAATTTCAGATTGAATTTGGAAAGCCAACTAATCCAACTGTTTCCAGTAGTAAACCAGTGTCAAATATAACACATTTGTTAAAGCGAAAGGTAATCAAATCATCTGTTTTGTATTAGTGCTTTTTTACATTGATGATTTCTATATTGTGAATGAAATGTCATCTATACATATTGGCTGTACTGTAATGACTACCTTAATGTATATTAATGTCTGGTCAATGAGTTGTACTACACCTGCCCAAGGTTAAGAAAACTGTGGGGCAAGGTGTGGGTCATTTTTCTCACTTAATATCACTATTTTTAAGGCTTATTCACTTATCTCACTTTTTTTTTTTAAATTTTTATTTCACAATTTTTTTCCCATTTCAATGAAAATGAAGTTTTTACATTTCTGTCTTCATTGAACCTGTGATATTGCAGTCAACTTGCGGTAGTAAAGGACTGGCCCAAATATGTGGGGCATTAAGAAGGATTGATAATGTGAAGAGAAAGAGAAATTTTCCACTTTCAAATGAATACCTCTTAAAATTCATTGCATCGAGGAATGATTTTATTAATCATCTATTTTAAATTTTGTTTCCTTATCTGTAGTGGAGCTGCAGAACATGTTATTTTGCGTATTTCTTCTTGAATTGAATTTTCTTTTGCTATAGGGTTCATTTGTACCTTACAAGTGCTTAACTTCGCATCATAATTATAATGTTGCACTATAAATAACTGTTGATGAGAATGAATCAATCTACTTGTTTTAAGTTCAAAAAACTTTCTGTAGTTTATGATTATTTGACTTTCTTTTTAAGCAAAAATATTTTCTAATTAATTTGCAGCACACAAAATCGCCTTCTTATGTTATTCATATCCGTTTTTCTTTTTCCACGCTTTTTCTCTTGTGCTCTGCAATCTTGTACCTGCATTATTAAATAAAAATATTTTTATTATTACTCTGCTGAGTTTAAGTTAAGGTATAGGTAGTTATGCTCTTATCATAAACTAGTATAAAACATTTCTGGTAGAAATTTATAACACTTATTTAAAAAATAATATTTATTACCCCTAAGAGGTTAGAGAAACTTTTTCATAAATCATGTTTTAATACAACTTTGAAATACTATTTCCTGCTTAGATCTAATTAATACACTTTATTCATTTAGAAACCAGACGAAGATGGAAATGATTCTGAATCTAAACGTGTAAAGACCAGTCCTAGTGTTCCCAATGGAGAATCCACAGTATGTTTCTTACCCAAAATATGCATGCTTAGTTATTTTAGTTAGGGTTGGGATTTCAGCCAGAACCTAAAATTAAACAAAGAGAAACACTATGAGGAATTATAAATTATTCTTTTTAACCATAATATAAATCTTATAGTGTTAATAGAATACTTTGATTTTCTTTTTAGTAAACAATCTAGGCTTTTGAAAGCTAAATGTAGAAAAATTATTTTCTCAATTTTGTTTTTTTAAAATACTGGATAATTTATAATTATTAAAGTATTTATTAAATATCTTTAAATTTTAAATAATACAAAAAAATAAAAAAAAAATTTTTTTTGCTACATGTTAAATTTTTCTTGGAAAATGTTTATTTCAGAATTCATTCAAGAAGTTTAAAGCTTTGGAATATTTTTAATTTTAAAAATTGCTTGATTTTTTTTTTTCATTATTAAATTTTTTAATAAATATATTAATTTATATTATTTTGTTGGAAATGTTCTTATATAAGAGCTAAATATAGATTTATTCTTGAGAAGGATTTATTTCATAATTTTTTCAAATGGTAGTGTAGAGCTTTAAAAAATATTTAATACATTTTATTCTTACAAATTGCTAGTTTTTTTTTAAAATTGTTTAATAATTATCCTTTTTTACGTATTTAATTTAAATCTGTATGGTCAAAAATATACTGTAAGTTAATAATTCCTTTTTGACTTAATATTTATTTCTTTAATATACTGCAGCGGCTTCTCAAATTTTTTTTTGTTTTTAGACGTAAATATTTTCTCTAATGAAAACTGAAAAAATTTTGTCTCTTAATAATTGTGGTTTAAACAAAAAATTTTACTGATTATTTAGCTCAAAAAATTAATGAATATCTTTTTTAAGATCCATTTAAATACCTAAATTTTAATTTCTGTGCATAATTGCATTCTTGCATGCAGCTAATGAATATTTTTCAAAGCTTGCTGCTGATTTCTTAATTTTAGTTCTTTGCTTAGCTTTAGCATTCTTAGCTCTCAGAAAATTCATTTCTAAACTTTGAATTTGCTTGTATTAAATTTTCATTGTAATTTAAAAATGCTGTATATTTAAATTTATTAAAAATCATTTTGAAGATAAACAGGTTCCCTTTTAAATACATTTAAAAAGAATGATATTTGTGTAGTTTTAAAATTACTTCCTATCTAGTGGAAACTTCAGCTATCCTATCTATCTTCGAGCAGATTTAACAGGGATGATTGTATTTCGAGTGTATCCCAGATTTCCTGGTTTTCCGTATCAACCTTCCATGTCTAGAAACTAGGAGTACAGTGTTTTCACTACAACGCGAGAATCTCGCATATTTTTTTCTTTTCTCGCATTAAAAAATGATTACCACGAGAAATTTGCGCATTCTATAAATCAATTTCAAAATTCGCGAATTTCTCGCATTTTGGGAAAAGCTTCAAATTACGCCAATTAGTATAAAATCCGTTTCACTTTTCTTCCTGGATCTTTCATTATTTTCAACATTTGCCCCGTTATCTAGCTTCCCTATTTACCAGTATTGTTCAGAACTTTTTCGATCAACAGAACACAACCTCTCTGAACCACGGAACCCCTTTCAGAACACATTTCTATGCAACCACGTGTTTACCGTAGGTAAGGTTTTTTCATGTAAGACGTTCAAATTTTTTATGCACTAATGTAAGATGGACAAATACCTAGTAAAGGCAAAATCTTCTATGATTATGCAGCAAGAATATTCAATGCTTTAAAAAATAGAAGACGTTAAAAATGTATTATAATGAAAGAAATTTTTTTTTCAAGTCTATTTGTATTTTTTCAGTTTTTAGAAATCTCACCCTGTTTTTGAGAAAGGGTGAGAAATTCTCACCCATTTTTTTTCTATGATGAAAACACTGGAGTAGTGCATGCAAATTTCACGTATCGTAAGACTATAGATTCCTGATCTTCCACTAATCAAAACTTACAATCTGACTGTATTTTCACTGCAATCAAAAATTTAAATTTTGAAACTTTCACTAAATGTTAATGAGACATTTTCATTCGTGTTATTCTCCCAGCTTTTTTATTTATTTTGTTGTCGGATTTTCGTTTTTACTATTTGAAACTACGCTGAAATCCGCTAATACAGTTCATATTCACTCGATTTTAAGATAAAACCTTAAATTTCGTATTTACCTGATTTATAAGTGAAACATTGTGATTTGTATTCACGCAAATTTAAAATTCATTTGTATTCACTTATTTTTGATGTCCAACATCATAACTTCGGTAACTATAAGAACCAAGCTTTTTCCTTAAATTAGTTACAATTAAGGTATGATATTCTTCATTCCTAGATAATATCTTAGTTCCAAATATTAGGGTGACCTGGGGTAATTCTTGATCCAAAAAAATGCAAACATCTATTTTGTGAAAAAACTATTCAAGATAGAATTTTAATATTTACTGGAAATTTGAGGCTATATGAGACGAGTCCTATGCTACCTTCTTTCGTTTGAAAATCTAATTAGAATTTAAAAGATTTTAAATTTTTAGTGATCGGGAATTACCCCTTCTCTTGATCATTTCTGGGGTAATTATTGATCACCAGTTTTTATAGTAAATGGGCAGTTTAAAAATAATTATACAATGGTAATTAACAAATAAGACATTAAGATCAAACAAATAAACCAAAAAGATATTTTTTAGCAGCTATTAAGACGTTTTATTTAAAAGCCGGGATAAAGATTAACATTTCAGCTCTGGCAGCAGCTCTCACACTGAAATTTTCATTTTCAATCATTAAAAGAAATTTGCTATTTTTGCTTTCTAGAAGCTTAGTATCCTTTTTAAGCTTATAATTTCTCACCATATTTATATTAGGTTAATTTATCAACTTAAAAATTATTCTAACAATGTACACACATAAAATTAAGATAGAAGAAAGGTAAGGCAAGCTAGAAATGGTGCATATCAGAACAAATTTGTCTTGTATACAGTTAAAAACAAATTTTGTGATTATAGTTAAAATATATTTTATAGTTGTTCCACTTAATAAATATGATCTGTTATTTAAGAAAAGATAATTAACTATTTATTAGCTATTTTTTATACTATTTATAATAAGAAATGAAAATGATCAGGAATTGCCCCAGTGATCAATAATTACCCCATCTGTCGGGGGGCAACATTTGATATAGTTTCCTATAATCAATTACAATGTTTACAGTAGATGTGAAACAATTAAACAAAAGCTTACACTATTTTTATATCAAAGAAAAAGAAAGTAACTCAAAATATTTATTATTAAGAGAAGGAGGGGGATCTTAGCAGAAATGTGCACATTTTAAAACCCATCTTTGAAATGGAAAATGCAGAAAGCATTTTAAAAGATACTTATTTTGTTAGATTAAACAAAAAACTATTATTAAGTAAATGTAGTTATACTTTAGTAAAATGTACAAGCTTTCTTGTCCATGTCTCAAATTTAAAAAAAAAAATTTTAAAAAAAATAAAACTTAGGTGATCATTATTTACCCCAGAAACAGAGTGATCGTGAATTACCCCGGGTCACCCTATATTAAACATGCATGCATAGGTATTAATTTTCTTAATATAATTTTCAATTAATAATTAAAAATTTTTAATTAATCTTTAAATATCTAAGATATTTGCCTATTTCATAATAATTAAAAATAAAAAAAATGTCTTACTTTTGTTAATAGTTTTAAAAGTTTATTCAGTTTTATGAACATAGTAAAAAAATTTATTTTTTGTGAATAGACAAAGTATCTCATTGCAACAGTTGTTCCAAAATTATCTGTTACAACTTTGTACTTATTAGGATAAAATGAGGCACTTTAAGATTTGTAACTCAAATGTATGCAGTTTAGCAAAGCCCCTGCACTAAGGTTCTAAGGTTATTAGTCTGTAAATTAGCCAAATATCAAAAGCATTAGCCAAATTTCAGAATTCTAATCTTAGTTCTAATCATAAATTCAAAAGCTAATCTTGAAAAAAAAAATTGATAGACATTTTCTATTAAAAAACTTCAAATCAAAATACAAATTTTCTATAAATTAATTTATTTTATAAAATTCAAATTAAGTCATTTTGCAGTTGGAAAAAAGTAAATGAGCAATGAATGGGAGAGAGATTGAAAAAAGCATTTGATTTTTTGTCTTTGAGGAAAAGATGTAGGTTATTCTAATTTTTGATAACTTATTAGATTAGAGCATTAATATGAGCGCAACACTGAAGCAACATTATGTTATTATACATGATATTGTCGTGAGGGAGCATATTTTCTACAAAATTGGTTGGATAATAATATGCATCCTGCTACCAATTAATCTTTCATTGACTCAAACTGTAGGTCATAATTCCGTCATCTGGTATCGTGTGGTTTGGCTTACTTAGTTATCTGTATTGTACCATAGTTTATCTCAAGCTTACATAATCTCTCTTGATGCTTACATTATCTGGACATTCTGATTGGTTAAAGGCGATATCTAATGGAAATGACTTTAATCCAATAAAAAAATTACAGGATTTGTGCTGAAAATTCCCTTTGACCTTTTTTTTCTGACCAAGAATGTATATTCAGAAGAGAATGTATATCTTTTCCGAAGAAAATATCATTCACCAATACTTTCTCCGATACAATTTTCACAGAATTTACAATTTTATCGCATTTGGCGAGGTGGCGAATGCTTAGTGTGGCCCTGTATGAGATATAATCCCTGTTAGAAAAAAAAGAGAAAGAAAATGTCTGTACCTACTCTATGGGGGGGGGTACCTTGTCTGGCTGTTGTACAAGATCAAAACTGTTGATCCTGATATTTCTTGTCATGTTTCTGTTGAAAACTGGCTGCTGAAACAAACATTGATCAATTATAAGATCAACTTGTCTGGCTGTTGAAATCAATTCGTTTTCATTTTACACATCTAGCAATTGGTATTTCATACATATTTAAGATGCAGGAATTCATACAAGATTTTGTCAACTCTTGCCTTTTTTGATTTGGTCAAAAATTAGTTGGACATTTGTGTATTTGTTTATCTCCTAGAAAATTTCTTTTTTTTTGTCCTGTTTTATACTACACCGTTTACGTAATATAAGACTCGTTTAATAATTAAGATTATAGTTTTAAATGATAATATTGAGTTTTCATGCAATTTTAAATTTCTTTTAAACTGTTAAGATATGATATGGTAGGTTTTTAAGTTAATGAGTTTCCAAATTGCTCTTCATATAATATGTTAATTCGACTTTAAAGTTCTTATTAGTTTTTTTAAATTTTTTTTTTTTTTTTAGTGTTAATGATTTCTGAATTTTTTACAGGTTGCCAAGTGATTCCAAAAGTTAGTTCCCCACCGATCCGTCACAAAGCAAAGATGATTGTAAATATTTTTGTGTAGCGTAATTTGTGGTTCACCTTCTTTATTTTTTAGAATATCCATGTTTGTACATTTTTACATTAAAAATGCATCTTTTCTTAAAATAGAATTTTTCTTTTATATTGCTCAAACATGAACAAAATTTCAGACGGAGTTCCCTAATTTATCAAAACATATTGCTTTTTTATAGTCATTTTGTCACATTTAGATATAACTTATTTGTCACGAATCCTTTTTAATATTTATTCATTTCTGTCATTCACGGATGCCACTCTTCAGTCCTAAAGACTGAAATCAGTCTTGAGAAAAAGTCTGGTCTAAATTTAGTCCTGTTAATATCTATTTTCACTTTGTTTTTTTAATTTTTTCTTTTTTTTAAAAGAAATATGTAACAAATATTTTCTATTAAAAGTATATAAAAATACTACTTTTTCATAATTATTGCTATATTTCCCTAATTTAAATTGAGATTTTTTTAATGAAATTTTTAGAGCCAAGGTAAAAAATTTATAATGATGAAGTGAAAAATAAGTAAAGGTATGAATGACTCAAAGAAAAAGTCAGTGGTTACTGTTTGTTGGGTAAGTTAACTGTTACGTTTGCTGTAAAAATAGACTGATAAAGCAATTGGGGCCATTCTCGGGGAAAGCTACATTTTGCAGTCACTGAGCTTTTTCTGAAAATTCTGCTGAACAATGCTAGATCGTGTTAATTAGTCAAATAAGTTCAGTGTTGGCATTTTTTTAGAGTGGCCTCACCCTTGCTGTCATTACCACTTATTGCCCTATTTTAAATTGAAACTTTACAATATGATACCAAAAATAAAGGATTCTAAAATTGTATTAATTAGAAGGTTCCGCCCCATGCTCCTCAACCCCGGGAAAGCATTCGCAGTTCCCTTCAGATTAATTCATAATCTGAGTCACCTTCGCTTGTTCAATGATACATTCTGGGGTCTGTCCAGGCCAAATTTACTACCATTTAGCGGTACCTTCACAAATTCAACTTTAGGAAAAACGGTAGTTTCACAAAATACTTTCTCTTAAAATTTTATTTTTTTATCCTGTAAGAAAGGATTAATCCATATTTTTGTGTTGATTTTTTAATATAATTTTTAATTTTCACAAATTGTCTAAATTTTCACAAAATAGGTGCCTGTCAGAAAAACCTAGACAGACCCCTGACATTATTTCAGACTAGCTTTGTATACACTTTTGATGACTGAAATTTAGAGTAAATAGTTCATGAAACTTTTTTCTGTACATGCACACATTATTAATTTGAAATTGCAAACAGTTTTTACAAATTTTTCTTAAGCCCACAATCCTAAAATTCATTGTTCAGAAGCACAACATCAATAAATCCTTTATTTTATAAAGTTAAGAAATTTATTGGAAAAAAAAGAGTAAGAAAAACAAATATGGTTAGTAAGGAAAATTTAAGTAGTACTTTGTAGTTGAAATAAAATTTTAGCTTGAATTAAATTTTAACAATTCATATTTCTCTAAGGCAATTCTCAAATTTTTAATCCCATAAAATTAATTTTTTATACGTACGTGAACGAGTAAGAGGCTAAATCTTTCTATTTTGTAGCAAAATCAAACAATGTATTGAACGCTAATAAATAAATAAACAAAACTAACACTCTTAGATCAAACAATCGGACTTTCGGATGACTCAATTTGAATGGTCCGAGGGCCTAACTTTAAGAATGTGAAATGATTAGTGTAAAAAAGACTATATATTAAGAGTCAAGAAATTTCCCCCACCAAAACGTACTTGCTTTGAAGAAACATTTTTCCTTCAACGTATGCAGATTCTTGACCCTTAAAATAATGGGAATAGTCGCAATCTAGAGAAAAAAAATAGTCCCAACAAATTAGTGAGAGCAGTTAGAGCCTTCTCATGTTTGCATTTTTTAGTTATACACACGGCTGACGATTCTAAGGTTGCTCAGTAATCATTTAATTTATTCCTTTTTCTTGTGGCGTCAGACATAGTTCAATGCATTTTTTGACAGTATACTTGGCGCAGTAATTACGAATTTCGTCCCACTTTATTTACTTTCTATAGTTAGTCATGTATTATTGAAATACATTTTCCTCACTTTTTTAATTTTCAAATTTCGTATTTTACTTTGATTTTTCGTAAGTTATTTTAAAAAATATTATTTACATCGGATTTTTATTTTCTCTAAAATAATTTCTATTCCTCAGTCCTTGTTATTTTTCAAACATTTTTAAGTTAAATGGGACTTTTTGTTAATTTTTGTGATTAATTTTGTAACCCGTGCTAAGTCAATACACGTAAATTGTTATTTTCTGTCTGAAATCATGGTGCGATGCCTGTACATCATGGAAAATAAACGAGAAAGAGAAAGCATTCTCATTTTGACCAGGAATCATATTTTGGTTGGTTTCAGTAATCACTCTTTCATATCTTCCAGCTCAGTTGAGTGTTATGTGCATTGAGAACGTTGAACGACTATCTATTTTCTTGTATTTATTACATACACTTTTTTTTTAAAAAAAACTAAATTTCATTTAAATTTGTGCAGTGATTCTGGAGATAAAAAGACAGAATTTGAGAAATCTATATTTTGAATACTAGTGTCATTATGAAACAATGCAGCAAAGTCAATATTTTATTGGACAAATGATGACATAGACATAAGATTAAATTCCATTCAATTTTACAAACTTAACTATCTCTAATCTTATTCCAGATTAATTCCTCTTTTTATTAATTCTAATAAGTTCATTCAGTCAAGTTTTCAATTTAATTTTTTTAAGTGAATGAATGAAAAGTTACGAGACAATTTAGATAAACATGAACACAATCTAGGTACAGACAATTAGAGTAGTTAAGGGTTTTAAACAGAGAACACCTGATTAAACTTTGTTGTCTTTACTTAAAAATATAAACTATAGCATCCATAATTGATCATTTTTTCCCCTTGCTTCCTTTTAAAGTAATACAAATTAGTTCAAGGTATTATTTTTTTAAATTTAAATGTGTATTTACGAAACGAATAAAAACTTTCAATCACAAGTATAATTTTACAAACAAATTAATGAAATAAGTTTTTGTACATAAGTAATGCGAATCAAGATTATTTGAAGTACCTGCACTGCACAGAATCACAAATTAAAAGTGCGTGAGCATGCGAGATATTACGCGAAAGTGCGAAACCTCTCTAATAACGTTTAAGTTGAAACGAAATAATAGTTTGTGTTGCAGTAGTGCAAATGCTTACCGAAATTTTCAGCATACTGATGAATAAATTTATGAATAACTTTTACTAATGACTACTACTAATGAATAATTTTAATTGATAAATAAATTTAATAGGTAAACAAAATTAAAAAGAAATTATTTTCAATTCTATGACGCAATAACGTTGTCCTTGTTTTTTTGCCACACCCGGTAATTAAAAAAAAAGTGATAAAAAATCTAAATTTGATTCTTAAAATCGATTATTTTAATGTCTGCATTTGTATTCTGGAGACACAAAAATCAAGAAAATCAGGACAAAAAGCTCAAAATAAGGACAAAATATTTCTTATAAGGAGTAGCAGGATAATTACAAGTGTGTGTATCCAGGTTTTCCTGATCAGATAAAACTAGGAATTCACATATTTTCAAAATTCGATGTTTGATACCCAAAATGTTGCTACTAAAACAATTTAAAGAAAAAATTATTAAAAACAATTTCAATCACAAATCTGAGGGGAGAAAAACATAAAAGAAATTTTTTTTTTATTGAGAGAAAGTTTCTTATCTCATGTTAGTGATATAAATTTCCCTTTACTCTGTGGTGAGCAGATAATTTTATTTTAGTACTATCTCTTTGCCAGGATATATTTCATATTTTGGAATTCATTACAAAAAAATCTGTTTTCAAGATAAGTTTTTTTTTGAGACTTCGTATATGATAACATTTTAAGATATTGTTAAATTTCATACATGAAGATATTATTCACCTGCTCATTTTAATATTACAGTCGAACTTGTTTATAACGAGCTCGGATTTAAAGAGGGAAACGATAATATTTGGTTGGATCAATGTTAAGTTTATGGAACAGAAATCTCTTTTAACGAGTAAGACCCGGTTTTAGCGAGCAATATTTTTCTGTCTTGCAATCTTTTTTCGCATCTTTCTGTCTTATCTTTTTTCAAAATGAGCGAGAAATCAAAAAAAAATCGTGAACTGAAACTTAATTGCCCTTATCACTCTAAAGCTTTACCGGTTGACGAAAAAGTAAAAATTTTACAGGAGTTGGATGACGGTGTTAAAAATGTCGAAATCTGCAAAAGGTATGGATTGTCTTCATCTACTGTTTCCACACTGCTAAAAAACAAAGGCAAGTTAATGGATGCACACGACCAAAATAAAACAGACTGTAAACGACTAAAGAAGTGTTCAAAAGAGGATTTGAACGAAGCGTTATTGAAATGGATGAAGATGCAACGTAGTGCTGATTTACCTGTGAGTGGACCTATTCTAAAAGTGCAAGCAGAAAAATTTGCTGAACAATTTGGATATTCTGAGTTTGTTGGGGGGAGGGGTTAATTGTCATTAAATTAAGAAAAGTATTTAAAGCAAGTAAGTATTAATTAAATTTTAACTAAACTTAATCATTTGAACTCCCAAGCCCCCCCCCCTCTTCTGGTTGCACGCCTGCCTTAAGGATCCGTTTATTACGAGCACTCGGATTTAACGAGTACATGTTACGGTCCCTTTGTGCTCGTTATAAACGAGTTCGACTGTAGTACAATCCTAAATGAATCAAAGATTTTATTAAAACTATTTCACGCGTTTCATTTGTGTTTTAAACTATGTCTGACCGCGGTGCAGACGTAAAATATCTTCAATAGTAGACGGATCATGGGTTCCCTTTCCCTCATGCTAACCGTGGACGGTTTTCGTGGCTTTCTCTGTGTAACACAAATGCGATTTAGTTCCATCAAAAAGTCCTCATAAAATTTCTCATAATACTCGATACAAGAATTCCCTTGTCTTCTAGATTGGGTTCAAAATTACAAGGCTACGGAGTTCATCATTGGTAGTCGTAAACCAAAAAATTGGGTCAGCTGTTCAACG